TTCTGACCCTAAGAAATACACTTTGTGGCGCTTTCTGCTACTATCCGTTCTTTATATTACCCTACTCTGCTACTGCCACACTCCCCTATGTAATAGCACATGGCACTCTCCACTCGCTTAATCACCACCTCCAGATGGGAGAATGCTCAGGGTATACACCACACCACAAACAGAGCTAAAAACCATGTAATGTCAGATGTATGCCTAAATGTGATGCAACCACTGTGGTTTACCCATTAATTGTGCTTTTGCGGAACAGAGTGTGATATGCTTAAATCCCCCCCTTTCATTTCTGTACCCCTGATGTGACACTCTAACGTTCTAAGCTGTGACTAAATGCAAAATATTCAACCATAATGATTGCCGTAGATGCAAACATGTCAACAGATGTAACAAGTATAGACAAAGGTATTTCTAATGATATTAGAGGACAATTCTAAAAGGTGCATACAGGGCGCACAGCAATTACTATATATAGGCTTCTCATATCACAAATGTGGCAGGGTTTTGTTTGCTGCCCATGCTGCACATATCGCACCAAATGTACTAATTGCATTCAATGCGTTATTAACCATTGCATGTACTGTGTCACATCTAAACCCCTTCTCACCTCTATTTTCTGTAACCCCAATTTTTGACTTATGACAAAATAAAAATTGTCAAATTGAAAAAAAAAAAAGGCTCCGTTCAGGTGATTTATGTACTTATGTACTCCAGAAAGAGAGACTAACCGTTAGCCCTGATACCCTTGAACTTTTTTGGGCATAGGACCATGTGCACGGTCGGTCAATATTATGACTTCCATGGAAATCCCTGAACCCGATCTGGGTGATTTTTGGATATGTTGGTCCCCCAGATCAGGGCTATCAGGGGATGTGACTTTTGTGGAGTTTTCATGTGGTTTGGGGGTACTTTTGGGTTTTTGTAAAATATATGTTTTCTGTGCCTGGAGATAATATAGTTTAGTACAGTTCCTGATTCAATTATCTCCCAGGCACAGGATTATCTTGTTTTGTGTGGGTGTGTCCTGGACCTGAGAGCCAATGTAATCATGTGTATGTTTTTACTGTAGTCTACTCTAGGTCCAGTGGGGAATGCCCATGGAATATGTAACTGGAAACCCCTTGCATGGGGACCTGCATATAAGGCCAGTTGTGGCTGCAATTAAACAGAACACTTTACCCCTTCATACAGTCTAGGCTCATGTTTGGGGGATTGGAGAGCTTTGGTATTCTTTTTTTTTTTTTTAATTCTTTTTCATTTTTATTTGTGCATTTTTAACAGAGAGAGAGAGAATTAGCTCACTTGGTGTAAGGGAGCCAGTCAGATTCAATGTGTATAATGTGACTGTTTATTGTTAAATATGTAGTGTGCTCTCATGTCCTGCTGATGTTCTCAACCAACTAGGTCGTTTTGGCTGTGGAGCCTGTACAGAGTCATCTGTTGGTTGTTAGGATCTTGAAGGTTAACAATACCTGCCTGAAATAAGGGAGCTGCAGCCTGGTTAGGTGAAAGAGTTTTTGAGAGACCCCAGTCAAGCTTTGGGGGCCCAGTTTCAGCACTGATATTTCTATATGTTCAAGCAAGTAGTAAATCATTTAGTTTTAATTATTTATAAAACATTTTACCAGGAAAGATACATTGAGATTTCTCTCGTTTTCAAGTATGTCCTGGGTCCACAAAACATTGAATTGATGCAATAGGATACAATAAAATACAAAAACAAGATCAATACACAATATATACAGAATTTAACATAGAACAGGTAAATAAATATGACTATTAAGCCATTTCTACTCCTAGATACTAGTATACCTAGGTCAAGTGTATACACCCATATATTAAAGAATAAAATCTAAATGTCCCAAGGCAAAAACAATATAATAAATAAAATCAATAAAATGCCTTCTTCAGACACAGCTCTGAAAATAAACTGTTTCAACAAAGATAAACTCTGAAGTCTGAAAATACAATTTAGTAAATCATGGGTCCTATCACTCCCACCTCATCATATTTAATACATATCTGACTGAATGGAAACATGGAGTTTGATGCCCCCCACAACCCCTCCCCACTCACAAGGCCACCTGAAGGGAAGGGATTAATTACTTCAGTTCCAGAAGCACAACTTATTTTTAAGCGATTTACCAAACTATATGTGTAAAGCAAGCACACAATAGGAGCACCGAACAAACTAAAATTGATTCATAACATTAAATAAAAAATGAGTCATGTTAAAATAATGATGATTAAGATATCTCAGCTGTGTTACGCTGTACTGGCAAAATACATCTGATGTATTGTATTTAAGGGTCATGGAATGTAAATAGCAGTGATCACACTGGTGAAATAGGTCAACATATTTCTCTCATAAGCATGAATTTGTCACGATGAAATGGTAAATTCTATCTGGGTCAAGCACGTACCAGTGTAACCAAAGATATGTCACAGTCAATAAAGCATAGTGTAAGTACACTCATACTGATTGCCACCTGTTTTCAGAGCAGTGAGATCTTGGAACAAGAGGGTTGTTTTATTATTTTTTATTTTATTTACAATTTAGAGTTGTTGAAAATAAAATAATTTATGTATTATAGCCTGTTAGTGTATTACTGCCATGCATACATAAAGATAAATTCTCGTTTCAGGGCATCTCCTGGTTTACCCTTAGATCTGTGTAATTAACTCTTTTAAATCCATTTTATGCATCTTTTATCCACCAAGACCATTCGCAATTAAATTGACTGAATCCAGCTTAGAGTACATTTTTGAGATGCTTTGCACTTGCATACAACATCAAAGTTATTACTTTATTACTTACATGGTCTTTGATTGGGTAAGCGGTGCCTCTGACCAAATAACATTTAACGATGGCTACCCTCAAGGGGCATGGGCAACGAAGAGCTAATATACGTAAACTTTTATTTTAAATAATTATAAAACTGATGGGAGGACAATACGTTTTTCCCTCAATCATTATTAGAACCAATTGCTGGGAGAAGCACGAAGTATTAATTATTCATTATTATAAAAGCTAGCCTCTGGCATGGGGAAGGTGTACTGCTGTGGGGATCATATTGACCCTCTACAGGCTTTTTTTCATTTTACTATTTGCCCACTGACTGCCCACTAATGCTGCCAGTAAGCAGCAAGTCAAAAAAAAAATTTTTTTTTTGGACAGTTTTTTATGGGATGCCTTTTATGGCGGTAACTAAGTTGATCTGAACTAATAAAAGACTTATCAGGGCCAATAAACAACTACACATGTGATCAACCGATATGTAACAAAGGCTATAGTTGTACATATTATACACACAGTCTCTATAATAAGTCCTGGATTTGTCATAAGGCCATCGAGGTCATGGCCTCTGGATGGCAGGGGGGGTGGGGCTAGGGTGCACTGACCCCTGCACTTCATTTTCTGTATGTGTGTCAGAGAGGCACATCAAACTATGTTTTAAGTATGTGAGCATAGCCTTAGCTCCTCTGCCTGCCTGCAATGTGCATGTTGGGCCCACCAAACAAACTATGCACTGGCTTTGTAGGTTACATGTGTGCCGGCAAAGTTTTCACACTCTCTTTGTGGATTCCTGGGAGAGAGCCTGGAGTAGATGCCTGGAGTATTTTGCAATGATAGGGAGAGTTGGTGCAGTCACACAACATGGAGTCACTCTGGGATTTTGCTGGTTATATAACATGAAGACCTTGGTGAGTTTGCTAGTGACTCACATGGTGAATAACAGTCATCATTCCCTGGTATTTGCTGCATTCCCTCTCCCTATGTTTATGTATGTATATCTAAGTTTGCACAAGGAGGAAGAGCGAGAGCGGGGGCAGCAGCGAGGAGACCCACATGGCATTGGAAAAAAGATGAGTAAATCTACACACTAAATAATTTTATTTTAACTAATAACTAGTGTCCTTTTCTCTCTTACAGGTTATACACTCACTTCAAAAACATAATCTGTGATGTCATATACCTTCCATAGTAAATATTTACAAATGGAAATACAGCCATTCAAACAGGAGCTGTGGTTAATGGATAAGGACTGTGGTGGTTGGATAGTGGCAGTGGTGGGGAGGGGCAAGTGCTGTGGTGGGGCGTAGTGGTTGTGGTGGGGGTGTAGTGGCTGAAGGAGTGGTAGGGTCTGTAGTGTGGGTATAGTGGCTGTAGTTGGAGGACAGGGGCTGTGGTGGAGGAGATAGGACTGCAATGAGGGATTGAGGCTATAGTGGTGGGTATATGGTCTCTGGTGGGGAATAGGGATATGGTGGGGTAGGCGCTATATTTGGAGGATATGGGCTGTGGGGCAATAGGGGCTGTGCTGGGGGGATAGGGGCTGTAGTATGTGTACAGTGGCCGAAGTGTTTGGAGAGTGGATGTACTGGGGTAGTAGCTAGAGTGGGAGGACTGGATTATTGTGTGGGGAATAGGGGTTGAGGGGCTGTGTGGCAAACCTAGCCACTTATAGACTATTGCATGTGTGGATATCATAAGATTTGCTGGCTGTAAGAACCAAGTGTAATGTGGTATGGGGCGTTCATGCGAACGAGAGCGTTCGTATGCTTGTAATGCGTAAAACCCAGCATTGCCTATGCAGTTTCACGAACAGTGAGTTTACTGTTCGTGAAACGAATGAACTACCGAATGGTCGACCACACACAGGAGGTCGTGTGGCGCCCATTAACCGATTGCAAATTGTTGCAATCGGTAGTTAAAGACTTCCCTAGGTGGCCGTCGTTCGGCTACTGACCATGCGGCAGTCGGCCATCTTGATTCCTTTGTTAGCCCAGCGGGGTTTTGCCGTCGAGCGCCTGGAACTAAAAACGGCTACTCGATGGCGCGAACACCGCTGGACTTCTAGGCCGTTCGGGAGTTTGTTCCCCTAATATCAATCGCTATTTTAACAGTATGTTGGAAATAATGTCTATTTCGTGCGGCGTTCGGTTAGTTAGACTCGGAGTTGAGCGGTATTCGCACGAACTATGCGCTCAGCCTCCAGCTATCTACCGAACGTCCATTCGTGTAAAACAAGTGAATATTATTAAAATTATGTATTTTAATGTAGAATGTAAGTTCTGCTGCACGGAGGGATAATCCCATTAACTGTATATTCCAGTGGGAGTATCCCTCTCGTCCAGCAGTGCATGATGGGAGAAATGTATGTGTTGGTCAGTTCCCCATGTAGTCCCCTACTGAACCACCCCTGGAATGTCAGTAGGGAAACCCCTTGCATGGGGAATCCCATAAATACAGTGTCCTGTGAATAAAACCTCAGTTGACTCCCAGCCTATGTGTCGTCTAGTTCTTGGGAAGGAAGGATTATTACAACGCTACCGGGATTATTGTATGCTGTGCTTATTCCCCTGGATTATTTTATGCTGTTCCTGTTACCCAGCGGAGATATTGTAGATTATACTGCCTCTCCGCTACAATTGGTGGCAAGCGACAGGATTGAATCTACACAGCAAAGCAACGGTCGGCAGAATTAAAATGAATAAAGGAGAAGGAGCAGCAATTCGGGAATTAACCCATTCGGATGAAACCGGAGCCAGGAACACGTGGAAACCCGTGAACGGCCGGTGAATGAGAACGAATTATGCCCTGTTAAAACGAAGCACACTAAAGGAGTTGCTGGAAGCAAGAGGAGCAATAGCCAGTAACAAGGCAAAGGCTGTCCTAATTACAGAACTGATGGAAGGAGACAGAGCAGCAGCTGCTGCAGCACCTCTAATGGAGGAAGAACCAAACGAATTTGCAACCAAATTCAGAATGCGAATGGCTTTATTCCCGGAACCACCATCTGCAGAGATGGTCAGCAGGCTCTTCGCAGATGTACAGGAGTACATCATGCTCAGGAGGGCGCAAAGGAATCAACAAGCCGGAGAAAGAGCCGCAATGCCCGTCAATATTCTCCCAGGGAAAGCCAAAATTCCCTACCAAGCCTTTAAAAGCTATTCGGAGGCTGACGGTGGCGTGGACAACTACTTACAGGACTTTGAGAGGCTGTGTTTGCTACATGACATCAACAAGGCGGATCGGGTACCCCTACTAGCAGGGAGATTATCTGGTCGAGCCGCAGAAGCGTACCGGGCAGTACCGGATTAAGATAGTAGAGACTATAATAAAGTGAAACAGGCGATTCTAGCCCGGTACGCGATCACCTCCGAGTTCCGGGACATTGAAAAACCCACTAAGGACACTCATGTCGAATGGGCACAACAGCTACAGCGAGCTGCGAAGGGGTGGTTGGAGGCCACTCAAGTTAACACGTTGGAGGGTCTGTTCCAACTGATGGTCCTGGAGCAGTTCTTCAACGGAATCCCTGCCTACCTACAAAATTGGATCAGGGACAGAAAACCACACACCCTGAAGGAGGCTGCTAAGCTGGCAGACGAGTGTCAGGATAACCGGAGAGATCAGCCTGCACAGCCCCGACCAGCATCCACCTCCGCATCGGCGAGTACCGCAGGGGGCCCCACGACTCAACCACGACATGGGGTAAGTCAAAATACCTACCCCCCCAGGTATTCGGCACGTCCGCCAATTCGGTGCCACACCTGCAATCAACAGGGGCACATTCAGAGGGACTGCCCACGTAATCGACCTAGGCCCAGCTGGAATAACACAGCACCGAGTAACAGAGCGGCCGAACACTGCATACAGGCCGAATCATACCAGACCCCAGAGATAGGAGCTACCTTAGAGGAACCGCTAGGAACCCTGCACGAGGTGAACCCCATCCAGGCCGCCTCCGATAATCGACAAGGGCACCGCCAGGAGGTGCACATGGAGGGGAGAAAGGTACAAGGACTTCGTGACTCTGGGGCTACCTTAACTTTAGTCCGAAGTCATTTGGTACCCAAGCCCAATCTCACTGGAAACTGTGTTGCAGTACGGGTGGCAGGGGGAGCCATTTACAAAGTACCTACGGCCAAGGTACATTTGAATTGGGGAGCGGGGCACGGGAACGTGTATGTGGGGATGATGCAGGACTTGCCAGCTGATGTGATTTTGGGCAACGACTTGGGGGAGCTGACTTCAGCATTTGTTCCACAGCCCACCGTACAGGAGGCATATCCAGTTGTGACCCGACAACAGGCTCGCACCACAGCACCATCCAATCACTCTGAGGCTCAGGTAAGCAATGACCCCCCATGCCCACTGTCATGCCATGGGCCAACCCCCTAGAGTTTGGGTCAGAAGTGGCCCTAGACCCCTCCCTACAGGTGTACAAAGACCGTATTGATAAAGATCAGGCAGGATTAGAAAGGGAAAGGTATACCTGGGACAAAGGACTACTGTACCAACACGCAGAAAAGGTAGTGTCCGGATCTATACCTTTACTCATTAAGCAACTAATAGTGCCTCGGAAATATAGGTTAGAGTTATTACGTATCACTCACGATATTCCCCTGTCTGGGCACTTAGGCATCAGTCGTACTAAGCACAGGCTGACCCAAAACTTATTTTGGACGGGTATTTCATAGGACGTTAGGCGATATTGCCAGACCTGTGATACCTGCCAAAGGGTAGGGAAGAGAGGAGACCGATACAAAGCACGGCTCCGGTCTCTACCCATAATTGAGGAACCCTTCAGTAGTGTGGCAGTAGACATCATAGGGCCTTTAGCAAAGCCCAGCCCGTCCGGCAAGAAATATGTCTTGACCGTGGTGGATTACGCCACCAGATACCCAGAGGCAGTGGCGTTAACCAATGTACATGCTGAAACAGTAGCCGAGGCCCTGATACGAATATTCACCCGGGTAGGATTTCCCTGGGAGATTATTTCGGATAAGGGCACTCAGTTTACCGCTGAAGTAACACATCAGCTCTGGAGGATATGTGGGGTACAGCAAATCCTGAACTCTGCATATCACCCCCAGTCCAATGGACTCTGTGAACGGTTTAACGGAACACTTAAACAGATGATCCATACGTTCATGGACACCCAAAAGGACTGGGAAAGGTTTTTACCCCACTTATTGTTTGCGTATCAGGAGGTGCTCCAAGAATCCACCGGATTCTCTCCTTTCGAATTGTTATTCGGAAGGAGAGTGAGGGAACCCCTTGACTTGATACGGGAGGGAGAAGAGACCATTAGTGGCACCCCCATCATACCCTATGTGCTCGAGTTCAGAGAACGCCTAGAGATGCTGACCAAGACCGTCCGAGACAATCTCCAGGTAGCCCAGCAACAACAGTGCAAATGGTATGATAGGGGAGCCATGGACCGCAGCTTTCAGGTAGGGCAAAAAGTACTAATCTTACGACCAGTACACAAAGATAAGCTGCAGGCTTCCTGGGAGGGCCCATACAAGGTGGTGGAACAGATCTGTGACACCACCTATGTGATCGGCCCGGTCACAGGCGCGGGAGGCAAACGCATGCTACATGTGAACATGCTCAAACCATACCACGAGCGCACTGAGGAGGTGACCGCAATCTGTGCCCCTGCCACCGAAGATTTTGACAATCTACCCCTCCCAGATCTCCTAGACCAAGAGGGCCAGAGCGGAGATTTGGGAGAAGTACAGTTAGAAGAGCGATTAAATCCCCAAGAGCGAACCCAAGTGCAAAGGTTACTCCAGGAAAATGGAGCCACGTTTTCTAATTTACTCGGCTATACCCCGTTAGCTACGCACAAGGTAGAAACCTTAGATCAGACCCCGCTTCGCCAAACTCCATACCCGAAGCGGTCAAAGAAAATATGCGCAAGGAAATTGAGGAAATGCTTCAGTTAGGAGTGATAGAGCACTCCGACTGTCCCTGGGCCTCCCCGGTAGTACTAGTGCCGAAACGGGACGGGACGACCCGTTTCTGTGTAGACTACCGGCGGCTCAACGACAAAACGACCTCAGACGCTTATCCCATGCCCCAGATAGACGAGCTCCTAGACAAAATGGCCAGGGGCCAGTACCTCACCACGATAGATCTGTGCAAGGGGTACAGGCAAATTCCGTTAGCAGAAGACGCTATTCCCAAGTCTGCCTTTGTCACCCCGTTTGGCCTGTACCAGTTTAAGGTCATGCCATTCGGGATGAAAAATGCCCCAGCGACCTTCCAGAGGATGGTAGACAGGTTATTGGATGGGTTCCAGGAGTATGCATGCGCGTATCTAGATGATATCGGCATCTTCAGCTGCTCCTGGCACGAACATCTGACCCACATAGGAGCCGTACTAGACCGGATCCGGGAAGCCGGACTGACCCTAAAACCCAGCAAATGCCATATAGGGATGGCAGAAGTTCAGTACCTAGGGCACAGGGTAGGAAGCGGACAGCAGAAACCAGAGCCGGCTAAAATAGAGGCAGTCGCCCAATGGCCAACCCCTCGCACCAAGACCCAAGTACTCGCCTTCTTAGGGACCGCCGGGTACTACCGGAAATTTGTGGCCAACTCAGTGCACTCGCCAAACCCCTCACTGATTTGACTCGTAAGAATCTCCCTAAGCTAGTAGTCTGGGCCCCAGAGTGTGAACAGGCATTTCAACAGCTCAAGACGGCACTTGTTAACTCACCTGTACTTTCTGCTCCTGATCCAACTAAACTTTTTCTCGTCCATACAGACGCTTCTATGTTTGGATTGGGAGCACTACTGAGCCAAGTCGGAGCGGATGGCGGCGAACATCCCGTAGCTTACCTAAGCCGAAAACTTTTACCCAGGGAAGTCAGCTACGCTCCCATCGAAAAAGAGTGCCTGGCTGTGGTGTGGGCCCTCAAAAAACTGCAGCCCTATTTATACGGACAACCATTTACATTACTCACGGATCACAACCTGTTGGTGTGCTGAACAGGGTGTCAGGAGACAATGCCAGGCTGCTGCGCTGGAGTTTGGCGCTGCAGCCTTTTGACTTTACAATTCACTACCGCCCTGGGAATCAAAATGGCAACGCCGACGTTGTCCCTACAAACAGACTTGGAACCGTGATCCGTGAGTGCTTCTCCGGACATCCCCAAACCGATCCGTTGCAATCAGACTGTGTATGCCGGCTTGGTTCTGGGGGAGCGTTGGGGCAAACCTAGTCACTTATAGACTATTGCATGTGTGGATATCATAAGGTTTGCTGGCTGTAAGAGCCAAGTGTAATGTGGTATGGGGCGTTCATGTGAACAAGAGCGTTCGTATGCTTGTAATGCGTAAAACCCAGCATTGCCTATGCAGTTTCACAGTGAGTTTAAACACTATTCGTGAAATGAATGAACTACCAAATGGTCGTCCACACACAGGAGGTCGTGTGGCGCCCATTAACCGATTGCAAATTGTTGCAATCGGTAGTTAAAGACTTCCCTGGGTGGCCGTCGTTCAGCTACCGACCACACGGCAGTCGGCCATCTTGATTCCTTTGTTAGCCCAGCGGGGTTTTGCCGTTGAGTGCCTGGAACTAAAAACGGCTATTCGATGGCGCGAACACCGCTGGACTTCCAGGCCGTTTGGGAGCCCCGGCCGTTCGGTAGTTTGTTCCCCTAATATCAATCACTATTTTAACAGTATGTTGGAAATAATGTGTATTTCGTGCGGCGTTCGGTTAGTTAGACTCGGAGCTGAGCGGTATTCCCACGAACTATGCGCTCAGCCTCCAGCTATCTACCGAACGTCCATTCGTGTAAAACAAGTGAATATTATTAAAGTTATGTATTTTAATGTAGAATGTAAATTCTGCTGCACGGAGGGATAATCCCATTAACTGTATATTCCAGTGGGAGTATCCCTCTCGTTCAGCAGTGCATGATGGGAGAAATGTATGTGTTGGTCAGTTCCCCATGTAGTCCCCTACTGTACGACCCCTGGAATGTCAGTAGGGAAACCCCTTGCATGGGGAATCCCATAAATACAGTGTCCTGTGAATAAAACCTCAGTTGACTCCCAGCCTATGTGTCGTCTAGTTCTTGGGAAGGAAGGATTATTACAACGCTACCGGGATTATTGTATGCTGTGCTTATTCCCCTGGATTATTTTATGCTGTTCCTGTTACCCAGCGGAGATATTGTGGATTATACTGCCTCTCCGCTACAGGCTGCTTAAAGAAAATAATTGATTTAAAAAAACCTAAAATGTATTCATCTCTCCTTGCTTACTTTGGGCCATAAAGGAGGAAACTTGATCCCTGGTGGTTCGGTGGGTGATGTTGGCGCTGGAGGATTGTATCAGAGCGTTTCTGCGGTAACTTGTGGCATCTCTGTGATACAACATTGAGTGCAATCCCTGCCTGAGATCTCCCCTTGTCTGGCTCTATGACTGGAGAATAAGCAGGCTGAGAATCGGCTAACCCTGGCTTGCCTGCCGTGGCTTATGTGGCTTTATGGCAAATCTTAAATTGGTTCACCAGCAAGATAATGTTAATATTATGTGTGTGGAAAGGCTTGAAAAATGCTTTTAATGTAAATAAACAATCTTAACATAATGGAGGCATGTATGAATAATACTTCATTTGGCAATACCTCACTTATTATTACTTGTACATTTTTAATAACCTATATTCCTTTAAGTAAAAATGCATGAACTCCTCTATTGAGTTTATCTGATCATGGTTTTAACTACCAGGTTGAACATATAAGTGATTTTCCTACACCAGCTTCCAATTACCACTTTGGAGTCAAATGGTGAATACAATCCAGTGTACTAACGGGTGTGTTGTTTGCCTGAAATGTTTTTAATGTGAGGATCCCTAAAGAGGATATAAGTGCAATAAGTTTATACCAGTGCAATTTTTAAATAACAGTATTATGCAATGTGCAGATTTCTTTTGTTTTTTAGAATCAGAGCTGTAACCCCAATTGTTTGTCTGTACTAATATGTATATCTGGCAATACATAGGCTCGAGGCAGAATGTTTGCCCACGCAACATCGGAATTTAGCTTAATGAAAAGTTGCAAGGTACTAGTTATTTTTGGTGTACTGATGGAAGTATCTGCTGGACAGTGATAACTGGTGTACTGTTAAAGTAACTTGTCTTACATGAAGATTTTACGTACATCTGAACTGTAGGAGGGCTTGATCGTTGCTGTTAGAATGAACACCTTTAGCATCATTGCCACTTTATATTGTTCATAATACAATAGCTAGGATTTTCTTTTATTTTCCCTGCAAACTCATCTTATTAACATTCCATACTGTAAGGCAGTAATCAATGTAAATGAGTGCTGTGCTAGCAGTAGGTAATCCTTCCCCAATGAAAAGTAAATGATTTTTATGCAGTGTTCAAGTGCGAAAAAAAACCCTCCAAAAACATAAATGAGTAACCAATAAGTTATAATATTTTTTATTCATGTTAGAAATTCTATCAGTGTTCGAACATTAATATTTAGAGAGTTTGTACAATTTTTTTTCACTTTCAATGTCTGAAACGTACACCACACTAGATTACAAATGGAAACAAACATGCTCTGTATAGTAAGACTTGTCATGTTTTTGTTTTTTATATATTTAACCCATTCAGTGATGGAGAGCAATCAGCAAAACACTAAGCCATGGTGTCTCTGCTGGTCAAACCAAAATATTGAATAGGATAAACCAGGGTTAAACAACATGCCACTTGTCTAATATTGATAAACTACAAACCACCATTATCCTATGCCCCAGGATGTTGGGGGTTATGCGGTCTGTAGGTTATCAACAGCAGAAAAGTAACAGGTTGCCTAACCATTGGCAAAGCAAACTTATTCCGGGTGTAGTTAAATAGTACGTGTGCACTGTAACCAAGTTTTATGTCTCACAATGGTATCAATACATATAAACTCTTTAAAAATATACTTCTGTCAAAAGAATTGATGACTATTATGTACACTACAAAAATAAATTTTCATATAAATAAATTATATGGCATACGTTTATCTTTGTAAATGAAATGACACACAACCCACACCTGCCCGAAAAAAAGGCAGACAATGAGACCCAGTTTGAATATTTTCCATTTAACTCCTTAATCTAAAACGCTATGAGTCCTTAATGTAAATGTTATATACTCTCTCCTATTTAACATTAGTAAGCACTCTATACAAATAAAATTCCATTAAAAAAGAACATAGCTGTGATAGATGTTTCCCAATAAAAAATTAACAAAAAAATATATAAAAAAATCCCTGCATTGTTTTGTTATAAACTGGCATGACAAATACTGTAAGAACACATTATTATACAAAAATATAAATATTAAAAAAACAAAACATTTTTTCTTAATTAAACATTGCCAGATATGGAGTACTCCCTTTGTCAATGTGACTATTGGAGATTTAAAAAGTCTATACTGTGCAGAAGGCAGCAGACACGCTAACAAAGGGTAGGGAAAAGAGATTTGGCAGTGAAATGGTGTATAGTAGTATTCTGGGTAGGCCTTGAAAACTTAAAAATGAAAGGCAAAGTGTCGACTATTAACTGTTTAAATGTGTTACTGTACAGCATACTATGATCTATATATTGCCCAAGCAAAAATGTGAGCAAATGCATAGCTCAGTGACAATGCAAATCAGTTGAAAATTTAGTAAACTAAATGGTGGAGGAATTGGGTTGCCTGATCTATATTTCAAGAAAACAGTGCATATATAAAGACTGTTTTAACGAGTACAGCCATAAAATTAGTATTTTTTCAGTATTTCTTAATATCTATGTAAAACTTAGACCTTGACATCTGATGGTAATACTATAACCAGTTTTTAAAGGACCACTATAGGCACCCAGACCACTTCAGCTGAATGAAGTGGTCTGGGTGCCAGGTGCCTCTAGGATTAACCCTTTCTGCTGTAAACATAGCAGTTTCATAGAAACTGCTATGTTTACAAATGGGTTAATCCAGCCTCTAGTGGCTGTCTCATTGATTTTCACAGTGAGAAGAGGCCAGCGTCCATAGGAAAGCATTGAGAATACTTTCCTATGGACTGGCTGAATGCACACGCGGCTCGTGCCGCGCATGCGCATTCCGCAGATGACGGGGAAAGGAGGAGGAGATTCCCCAGGTAAGGGATTAACCCCTTCCTCCGCTTAGAGCCCGGCGGGAAGGGGACCCAAACGGTTAGAGGAACCCAAGGACCCTATAGAGCCAGGAAAACGAGTATGTTTTCCTGGCACTATAGTGGTCCTTTAAGTAGTGGATCTTTGTTATAACCAAGGCAAACAGTCTTACTGGCACAATGCTTAAAATGTAGCTGGCAAAAGCTAACAGAAGACCATCAGGTTTATTCATTGAAGTGAAAGTTCATGGTGAATTTCAAATTTAAGGTCAAACTAGCCGAACTGAAAATATTCTCTAAGTCAGCTGTGCTGCAATTTCGGCTACACTGACCTTAAATTTAAAATTCACTTAAAAAGTTCACTTGTAAATGTTAATGTCACCGACTGGATGAACCAATTTTAATAAATGTTTTTTTTCCAATATAATAATCACGCATATAAAGCCAGCATATTAATTTGCTACCAATGTTACCTGCATAATAGTATAGACTGTTTATTTACACATCGACACTTTTACAAACAGTTCCTTTAACCATGGTATACCCATCCAGCTCATGTGGAACTACAACTTGTCCTAAGTTTTGCTAGCCTGCCAGTGGCAGTTCCACAATGGGTACCTGCTGTCTACGTCTGCTTTGATCTGATCATAGTCAAGAACCTTCACTAATACCTGCAATTATTACAACTTGATTAAATTAAAATTTCTCAATTAACTTGAATTTTTCTTGTTCCATAGAGATCCAATTAAAGCAGCTTCACAACAGTTACTCAATACATTTTGGGATGACTGGGACATGGAGTGATGGGATATATTTTAGGCATGAGTACTGTCAGTGGTGGCTTTTTATCCCCCTCTTCCTGTATTTTGTGAATAGTCAGGGTTTACTGAAAAACAGTATACAACTACAGACATTCAAACCTTAAAAAAAAAAAAGCTTAATTAACGCAGCTTCACATAGCATGTAACGCATGGATTTAGCTTTTAATCGCAGTTATTGCACTAAAAGCAGACAGGGCCCATTATCTTATTATCTATATAAGGAGATTGTGCTGAACACAAAAAAAAGGTAATTGTTTAACCCAATCAGTGACACAATTTTAGCATTCCTCTGGCACTCACAGATTTTCGTTTCAGTGTGCTTATACAAAATAGCTTATATTTACAAAGAAGGACAGCTACATATCCCTTATTAGGATTTTTCCTTTTACATCAAGTGCCTAGTATCATATCCTCAGCTAAACCTATTTTAGGAGCAAGGTTTTGCTTTGTCAAGCACAAAAGTCTCCTGATGTGCACAGAGCTGCATTTCTACAGTATGCTGATGTTTAAACATGGAAACTAAACAAAAAAAAAAATGTTTGCATTAAATTAACAGCATATAGATAAACTCTGAAAGACAAAATAAATCTATGTATGTAAGGGAGAAAGGGAGGTAGTTAGAGAAATAATTATATTTTCAGAGTCAAGTAATAAAAATTAAAATTTGTTTAGAAATAGTTATAGTAGCACCAATGTACGGCAGAGTGGCCAACATATGCCAAAATAAAAATTCTGTTCTGACCTCTTCAATGTTGGAAGTGCTTCTGCTAAAAACATAAAATACTGCAGCCTCATATTTTACATACATGGGACATATTACATTTCTCTTAAAAGTCTGTAACAGCTATTAAGTCTCCAGCTATTAAGTGCTCAGTATGGAAAAAGGGGTCCTGGATTTTAGGGGTTTACACAAGCACACCAAGAATATGCATCACAATGGAAGAGACAGAACGATGTGGTAAGGCACAAACACACAATTCTAAATGGTATGATATCACATGACACAAACAAACAAATCTACAACATTACAACAGCAAGAGATCTTGCATATAGCTTCACATAGAGACAGGACACCAGATAAGACAAATTCTTCATATCTGCCCATTTGAAAGAAAAAAGAATTAAAAATCACGCATAGCGTGTTTGAAAATTATCAGTAACATACTACCACAGGATTGTGATATGAACATTTAACACATCTGAACATGTGACTTTACATGTATAAAATAACACCTATCAAATAAGCAATATTTGCATAGAATTATACAAGTAATTATACAATATTTAAGCAGCAGAAAAAAAAATACGCTGAATTTAATATCTAGATTAATCTTAATTGTGGCACAAAAGCTGTACATTGTTTAGAGAGGGCAAACATGTTTGCTCCCATCTGTTAAAAGGAGTCAAATAACTCCACAATTATTCTAACTTTACATTGCTCTCTTGTATTTTACATATGTATACACCTCTTAAATATTTATAGCAATATTTAACACAATTATACAATAGGTTACAGTAACAGTGAACTGTTTATCCTGATGCAGCATGTCCTTTCTAGAAAACCTCCAGCAGCTTTCATTAATCATTCTGGAAATTCTGTCCCGTCTTTGGCCATCAATGATTCAGAATGTGCATTCCCTGTGGAAAAAATAAATAAAAAATACTTATACATAATTTTGTGAATTGTACTTGAGATGATCAAGTTTGGATTTGGTTAGAGTCTCAGAGACATCTAACATATTGTGGACTGTGTACCTTGAGCAATCTTGTGCAGAGTTGCAAACGTGGAGTAGTTATCATGGAAGTGAACAAAAGTTACTGTTTTTGCCAGTTTTTAGAATGTTTTAAATGTTTTGCCCGAATCAAATACCTTTTAATCCACACCAGGACGAATAAATCGTTGGGGATTTACCTGTGGAGTCTTATTCTATAAAAAAAAAAACTCTTGCACAAGTCTACCAGATTTAGAGTTTTGATTCTGATTAAGTGTACCATGCCACTATCATTGAGTGATTATGTTAACATTCATTTTGAACTAAAACAGTATGTAAATATATTTGGAAAAAAGTTACAATTATGTAAACCATATAGGGTAATGTATTCAAAGTGTTATGTTCACTTTATATCTGGTTTATATCTCCCTGCCTCTCTGTCCTTCAGTTTTCTCAAAATCAGGAAACCGAAAAGCCTTGATTGGCTGAAAGCAGTCATTTGATGCTCTCATTCGATTAGTGACACCCTATTCATAAAACTGGATTGAAAAGAATCGTGACCTTTTCAAACTAGTTTTATGAATGGGGAGTCACTGATTGTGTCTTTTTTTTACTAGTAATATGACCCATTTTTTCTTATTTTGTGAATGTAATAAATGATAAAATCATTAGAAAAACAGGAGCGAAAAATATGACAGAGCAATAAATAGTCGTGGAAAAACAGATTATTTTGTCACACTACAGCAAACATGGAAAATAAGTCTGCTCTACAAAGGGTGAAGAACCGTTTCATATATATATAAAAAAATATGGTGTATGTGCACAAAAATGGCACATATGTGAATCCGACACTTATTATAAAGTGTTGGAAGAGAACCCAGGCACTGAGGAAGATGTTTTGTTGACAAACACATATGCTGGACAATCAGTTTACCTTAATTTAAGCCATTTCCTTGTGTCCTATCTTCACACTCAACATCTTGCAGCTCTATCACTTCTACTTTAGAGTCCCTTCTCTCGTACCGCACATTAAAAGGCACATGAGGGTCCTCAAAAGGTCCATTGTCATTTTCATGGTAAGAACTGCAGAATGGGTGACAAGCACGAGAGTTGTGGCTACACATAGAAGGGTGAACGGCAACAGTAACTGAAGCGGAGGCAGTCACAGTAGTTATTGGCTGACCGTATGTTGGCACTGAAGCACTAGTTGGAGCAAATGCAGTTTTTCTAATGTTCTGCGTGTGAGATCTATGTCCTGAGCGTTCCCTGGTACTAGGACCAGCATGCTCTTCAGTAGGAGACTCAAAAGCGTCCCTTCGAGGTCTGCATGGAGGTGGTCGTGACCCTTCCATTGACTCCCACCTCTGATTCCTGCTTGGGCGACATTGTTGATGAGGTCTAGATTCTGTGTTTGTTCTTTGACTTGGCCGAGGATTCCTACTGTCTGCTTGAACAACCTGCAAATAAAATATAACATCAATAAAATCTACATCAGGGTCACAAGAAAAAAAAACATATATAGTAAGAAACCTGAAAGATATCATATACAATAGGTACCCAACTCAATACCATGACTGCACCTCATTGACCAGATTTTCCTTAATCCTTAAATTTAGAACTCGTGGTTGTCATAAAAACTTAGGTGATTTATTCACTAAATGGTAAACTGTGGTGAAGTGAAATGCACAATGCAAAATTCAAGCTAAAAGCTTTGACTTAAAGGACCACTAAGGTCACCCAGACTACTTCATCTCAATGAAGTGCCCTGGGTACAGTGATGTCATTTTAACCCTGCAATATAAAAGACTGAAGTTTTATAGAAATACACCTCTAGTGGCTGACATCCTGACAGGCACTAGAGGCACTTCCTCCTCCAAAACTGAGTGAAACTTACAGCAGCATTTGGTGGGAGGAATGTCGTGTTTTGCCTTGCATGCCTTCTCAAATCCAATTCTTCTCTATGAGAAGCATTGGATTGGACGACATCCCGAGCGATGTCAGCTTGGATGCTGACATAGACAGAAGAGGAGCTGGAGGCTCCAGCTCTGGAAATTAGGAGAGTTATTTTTATTTAACTTAAATTTTACTGAGCAAAGAAGGGTGCACAGTGATTACATCTCTATGAGGGAATGTGTAATCACAAAATAATCATTGTTATTTTTGGGACTTCAGGTTTCTTTGAACAACTTGCAGATTTTTTTTAATCAACTATTTTGGCCCAAGTATTCACTACAATTAATGGTTTAGTGAAATACCTGTCTCGTTTTGCTTTGTATTCCGATTATAATATCAATAGATGTTATCCAGTAGCACAGTCCTGCAAAATTTGAGCTCCATCTCTTTTGTTTTATGTCTCTATTTGTTATAAATATCGTCACCAGTACTTCAAGACTTTTTTTCTTTGACTAATTAGTGATATGTTAGTGCCTCATGTGTGTTTCAAAAAAATGGTACCATACATACCAAATAATAAAGGTTAACCGATTAGAGTTTCTGATCCATCTGCTAAGGAAGTTATTTTTTCACTAGTTCCTATTTAGATTTTATTCCAAGTAAATTGTAAGCATCCATAAAACTATTAAAGGGGCACCTCAGGCACTTCCTCTAAATTAAGTTGTTATGGTGCCAGGAGTCCCCTGGGCTCACTCTTACCTCAAACTTGTCTCCAGCACTGATCTCCGCTTCCACTGCACAGGCGGCATCCAGCTTTTGAAATGTCAGCTTCAGGAAGCGTGGAGTGCAACCGGGCTGTGGCATACTTTTTCCAAGCCAGTTTTCTAAATAGGGATTCACTGATTGGCTGAGAGCGTCAGAAGACGGATGCCGCTTGGGGGAGCTGAGATCGGAACTGGAGCCAACTTTGGGGTAAAAATGAGTGAGCCCAGGGACTTCCTGCCACCATAACAACTTAATTTAGGTGAAATAGATATGGTACCTATACTGTCCATTTAAAACTATTTTGTTTGTAGATCATTCTAAAATGATAGAACATACTAAATGTATTATTTTCCACAATAAAACCACTAATCGATTGGTAACATGCGTGTTTGTGTTTCATGGGAACGAATGAACTTGATGGACGCATGTCTCTTTTCAGCTATGTAACTATGTGTATAATAAAGCAATACATATAATTAAAACTTACCGAGCACCTAGGAAACACTGGGTTCCCTGTGGCCTGCACAATGACTTGACGGGACGGAAGGCCAGAACCATGGTGTGCTTCGTAGTGATGTAGCTCTTCGCTGATTCCTGAAACTGTGGTCTGAGAACTGTATTCTGAATCAGAAGAATCTGACCCGTTGTGTGGTTGCCGAGGAAGGACAGGAAAACGTACGATATTTGGTGGAGGATCTGGGGAAGGCATGGATAACCTATCTGCTCCATTAATCGGAGATACCTACAAAAATATAAACATTTTCATTGTAATATTGTCAATTGTAATATCACACTTAAACACATGAGAAAGAATTCTGAATTTTATTTAACTGATTTTTGTGCTAAATTTATACACAGAAAGTAAATTTTTCCTCTTACAAAAAAAGCATATATTAGAAATGCATGAGGAAGGCTGAACTTGATGGACGTAAGTCTGTTTTCAGCTATGTAACTATGTAGTAAGCATATTATCTAAATTCAAATAGGAAATTATTTGGCTAGAAGTAACATCCAGTACTTTTTCAACATTTGTGGATAGAAGGAAATTAAATGTGTGTCTTTTCTCAGAAACACTTCCTGATAACTTTACAGTACAATGCATCATAGTCCAGCTGGAAGAGAAAATCCAATTAAAAAAAGAAAAAAAAAGGTTTCCCTAAGAAAGTGTAATCTTATTTTTGTTACTGTTATATATTTGGAAATAATACAAATGAGGTAAGGCTGAACAAAAAAATATATTTTAACTATAATTATTCTGTTACTGTACAATATCTATTTGCTGCACTGACCTCAGGATAAGGTCCAAAAAATGACAGCAAAACAGGAAGTAGCACCAATCCGTTCAGGACCCCAAGAAGAGTTAATATTGCCAGGACTGCAAAGAAGTATCTAAAGAATGGGAAAAAAAATTAGTATTTTGCTAAATGAACATTTAAGGAAAAAAAACAAAAACATATTCACATAGTAAGTTCATAAACAGTCTCAGTTACAAAACATGCATCAAAAGAATTTTGAAGTAACAAAAAAGCACACATATTAACAAGCAAACACAAAACAGATAGTGGTAACACGTTTTACCTTAAGTGCTACATTCCACAGTTCAGTGTTAGTTGGAAGAAAAGAAAATGGTTTATATTGTTAAACATCAGAAAGTCTTAATAAATAACAGCTATTCATGTAAGTGTTACACAAGGCACAGAAATATGGAATGTGATTTAAATAAGGGATTGAACTGAGAGCACAAACACAATACCACCCCTCCTCTACTCTACCCATTAGTGAGAACCCAGAAGATGGAAACAAAATGAAGGCAAGGTGGGGGTGGAGGGGAGAATTTAAACAATTTAGTTTACAGGGAGAATAAGACCTTCTCCCAGTGTCTAATCCACTGTGTGAAATGCTCCTAAAACTTACCAAGCAATCTCTCATTAAATCTCTAGTTGATCAGTTAAGGGTATTTTTTTTTCTTTCTTTAATGACCATTTTCCTCATGAAATTCAGTGTGTTTCTGTTTTACCACATAGCTTAAAATTGCATACATTTTGAACAGAGGAACAGGGTTTTTGTTTAAGAAAATGCTTTCCATTCTATTTGTGCCTCAGCATTGTACAGAGAAAAGAGCTCTACAATGGCCAAGCTGCATTGCAGGCTAATCTTTTGTTGATCAATTTAGCATCTCTGAATACTCTTGTTTTGAGTGAGCCAATTCAAATATAAAAGCTCAAGTAATGGGGAAGAAGTAGAAAATGCTCAAGTGGATGTTGTTTCCCATCGCTGAGAATTTATTGTGCTGCCTTATTTAGAAAAATACCAAGGTTTAAAGGAATAGGTTGCTTTAAACAGTTCTAAATTGATAGTAAAAAGTACCATAACTTTACTCACTTAAAATAGTATTGTTAGTCAAGACGTATTACCACTTTTCTAGCTTAAATTAGTACTAGTCTGGTAGTAAAAAGTAAATATGAAGTAGGTATGTAAAACTGAAGTAAGTTTTTACGTAAATAGAGACATTTTCCTGCAGTTACAGTAGTTTCATAGATAAAATTAAAATTGTTGTCTTGCAAGAAAATACTTTTTCTCATTTTCAAATATACAATCATTAACTAGTTCTATGTTACTCATTTTATCAGTCTCAAAAGGATGAAAGACTGATTTCACCCTGCTGAAAAAGTAAAGCAGTCACTCCAAGGGTTTAACTGACTGTGCGTTAACCATTCTGTCGCCATCTCTATGGCTTGTGTCAGTGGTGTGATGTATCTGGCACTGGTTGGGCTGTGAAGCTCAACCTGGATTATACGGCCAGCCATTACCTATTCAGCTAGAGACTAGTACAGATAATGTGTTCAGATTTCAATTAACTATCATATCATTCAAAAATTTTACGCAGCTCTGTCACCATCAGGGTTATTTCCAAAAACCCTGACGGTGACTTCGCTGCTGGCTGTCCATTAGTGCACAGGAAGTTATGCTTACCTGAACCTGTTGCTACTTAGTCTTATTGTATCTTTTGAAATTCAGTGAAATTCCAACACAGATAATGTGAGTTTTAAAAAAAATATATTTTTTTTATCTTTATGAAATACTCATATTAGAGGGGAGGGCTGAGGGGCAGAGCCACTTTAATTAAACACACCAAACTTGTTCAAATTAGATCAATATTTTTGTCATAACAGAGAATTTGGAAATCAGAGTGTGCCAATTGCTGGCCTCAGATTAATGCTTGCAGTTAGTGTAGTATTCTAAACATCAAATAGATTACAGATAAAATCAGTGCTGATTGATAAAAAGGTATTTCGAGTGTTTACACATTACAAGACAAGGGATTTTCTAACTGCACAGGTTACAAAGAAGGAGTTAATAACTCCTTGGCACAAACAGAGTGTTTGTTTTTAACTTTTTTTTCTACTTTTCTTTTTATATGAAATAACAACATACAAATATCCCAGTTATGTAAACATCTTGGAAAATCTTAGCTCCATTAGCACAATCAACAAGCCAATGTCCTCTTCAAATGTAAACCAAGCAGAACTTTAGACTGAGATTTGTATCAACAATGGGCCCCAGAAACATTTGCATGTCATCCATCTACAGCTAGAATAAACAATCCGATTATATTTCTGTCTACTTTGCATATACAATGTCTGTTAATTTACTCAATTTTAGTGGAGCACATCCTTGAGCTAATCTTTCTCCCTTTCCAAATGTTCTGGAACCTTGGTAATCCCTAGGAACAATAGAATTACGTTTGGTTATTCTACATCCATCATGGAAAAAAACAAGGACAATTCGAGCCAGATTTCACATCAAGGCCAATGGTGGAAAGCAAACCTAAAATTATAGATTTTAAACACACCAATGTAGAGACATATTCACCATCACCCTCCATCTATTTGGCAATACAATGGAACCAGTTCAAATATTAGCTAGTTAAATCAAAAGACTGACGTTTTACTACATGTTTCTTTTTCTCAATAATCAGAGAATCTTGACTTTCTCATAGAAACTGTGTTACCATAGTGGATATAACAGGACTGGCAAATAGCTGCATTTGCTGGAAAATTCCTAGAAAACATGTGTGGCCATGTCAATTAACACCAGAGATTTAAAATCATAGCTAATATTTTCTCAACTTCTACAAACAAAACCTTTCCTGAGGCGATTACAAAATGCATTCTACAATCTTCTCCATCTTGTGCTGTTAATAACTAGTCTGAAACCACTATATTCATTGTCACACATTGTATATTATTTTCTCAATGGTCTGTCTATTTTAACAAGAAAAAGTTCATCTGCCCATCCTCCACCAGGTTGCAATCTCTCTCCCAGGCTTATTTTCTCTTTTTTTGCCGCGAGGTTTGGCCACAATGAACCAGTGTTACCACTAAGATTAGTCATTTTACAGAGCTCCACGGGTTGTTTGTAATGGAAAAGGATCTATTTCACCGCACTTATCAAATTCCCTTTAAAAGAAAACCTTCCTTGGAGCTGACAAACTAACATTCTTAATTAAATCCACAAGAAACAACCTAGTATTTAATGCTTTGCAGAAACATCTTCTCATGTCTTAAAGTAACTAGCAGCAATAAGTCCTCCACTCAATGTACAACAATTTGTTTCATTTATTTTTTAATAAAATTTAAATTCTACTGTTATGCATTTTTCAAGTTCATTACAAATTGTGCGGTTTTTGGTAAGTAAATAAAATGCAGTTCTTAGTAAGAATACTTGTAGCTTTAAGTATTGATTTATTTTACTTTACAAACTGTTGAATGAATATGTTATATATGAACATGACAATATAATCAAATAACATATCTATAAAAGCTTTTAAAAGAATAGAGCTTAACTTAGAAGGAATTCCATACATTTAAATATCTTGTCATCAAAGACAATATCTGCAGAACATATTTCTTTACATGCTTGCTGCTCCCATGAAAATTCATACAGTAAATATGAACAGGTGGGGAGGCACACATAAAACCAAGTATAAATCAAGATTTTACAATAAATGTTCATACTTATAGCACATGATGTCTTTAACCTTTTACATACCTCGCAACTCCCGAAACCCCAAAAGTGGGAGAGGTAAAGGGGTGGGCCAGCAACAAAATAGTATTACTGGCTCCACCCAAAGGATGCCCAAGTTACTGGCAGGTCAGCCTGTTGTGAATGCATGCCAGGCTACCTACCAATCATGTAAGGCCAGCCCACTGAGGGCAGACCCTACAAGGAGCACTGTTTTCAGTGCTCTCTGCAGGGTCCTGGTGCCCTGGACATAGCAGAGGGCTTCTAATTATTATTATTATTATTACTGGTATTTATAAAGCGCCAACAGATTCCGCAGCACTGTACAATTAGTGGAGAACAAACCGTATACACAGACAAATACAAAAGGTAGAGAGGGCCCTGCCGGTAAGCTGAAATGGCTAGATCTCAGCTTACCGGCAGGGCCCTCTCTACCTTTTGTATTTGTCTGTGTATACGCTAGATAGCCCATGAGCTTACAATCTAAAGGATACCATGGGGATTTGAGACAAGAGGTAGCAGGGGAAATTTGGAAGTGATGGCTAAATAAGTAAACAGAGAGTTGCAGCTATTGGTAGAGTATAGAGGGAATGAAGAGGTAAATGAGAGAGAATTTTAAACAGCTGGAGGAGCATGCTATAAGTTTAGGGGAAGCCTGGGTGGGTGGGGGGGGGGAGGGGCAGGTGGGTGGGTTGAGCCAAGTAGAATTGTAGAGGCTTGCAGTAAAGATGTAATGGCAAATGGGCCTAGGGAGGGAGCAGAGATAAACAGTTATATCAAGGTATTTACTGCTAGGAGTGGCAAGCATTGGGGGGGGGGAGGAGTAGGAGGGGACAAGAAACAGTTGTGATTTACAATTTAGAATTTTGCCAATCAAATTCTAACAGCCAGATTATTAATTAATACATGTAGCTGCAAGTACAAGATACTACAGTAGTAAGCTATAGAAAACATTATTATAAGTAAGTAATCGAGTGGCAAAGGTGAAAGAGATCCAGTGGAGCATCTTCTGAATTTCAATTTGCACCTTAAAGCTGTAGCGTTCAATTGTAGAGGCTTACAGTAAAAATATAATGGGAAATGGGCCTTAAAGCTGTAGCGCTTGTGTTCTGCTTGCTGGGGAAAAAAGCGGAACACTAGGGAACTAAGCCGGGAAGGATGGACATAACCTGAAAATCTATTCTATTTTGATCTAGGATCTTTCATGGCTAGTTTATTATGATTGAATTATTCTGTAATGATCCTTAATTTCACTTTAGATAGAGATGCAGGGGTAAGAGACACAGTGAAACACGCTTTACCTGACAATGAAGTCAAACTCTGATCCAGCCAGCATAAGGACACCCAACAGGGTAGATACTGCTCCATCCAACACAGGGGCAAACATATGTTCCAACGCAAGAACAGCGCGTCGATTCTTGTCCCCAATAGCGGTAAGAAATGCCTGTAAAATTGCAGTTGGTAATATCAGTATAGAACATGGCTTCTACCCAATGCATGTAAAACAATGGCAGTGACATGGATAAATGAGCTGTGATGGATATGTATGATGATCAGAAGGCTAACTGACCCAAAAAGGAAATCACCGCCCGGTCAGCAATTAGCTTGCCAACCATTCTTATCTCATGTGCTAAGCAAAAATGGTTCCTTAATCTCTTCACATATGCTGTATAATGGAAAAAAAGAATATTAGTTTAACTTCTTGGAACAGTCATACTGGGTGAAATCCAAACTAACTGTAGCCAAGATTGGTATTATACAGAATGTTCCCCCTTCTGTTCTAACAGTTCTAAGGTGTTAAGAATGTGTGTCAACATTATATTTCCCTAAGATGTTAAACACAGACAGAATCTCTTACCTAGTGGATATATGTGTGAATGTATATATTTATATACATGTATACATAATTGCTATACTTGTCTACTTATCTCAAGTAGGATATTGGGAAAAATCCACCAAGGCTCAGTAATTCCAAAAGATCATATTTCTACAATTCTCCCAGAATTTACTCGACATGCAAATGTGCTGCTGGTACTATCAGCAATTGAGCACTGCTTTTTATACCAAATTCTGGCTTGTGATCCAACATGACCAATAACTCGGAACCAAACAGTTTTGGAACTTGTCAGCATGATGCAGTTTCTGGTCTAGGGTTGAAGTATTTCTGTCAACTTGTTACCTTTCAAAGACAATGAAATTTTCCCAGTAGTTCATGTCTAGCTGTGCTTATCTGCATAATAAACTGGTAATTCTGGGAGAACTGTGTAAGAAGATTGCTTGGAATTACCGAAGCCAAGGCACATTTTTTTTTAGGTCCTACTTGAGAAGGTAAGCTAATTTCAGCAGGACCCTAAACACCACCTTCTGTTCCTGTACGACCAACATGTCCTGTTGCACCAACTTTTTTTAGTTTACCTATTGTACAGCACTGCAATATATGTTTTATAATAATATGAAGATGATGCACAACAGTAAATTTTGAATTGTTAGCAGTGAGTTACCAAGCTAATAGATTTATCATTCGAGAGAATTATATCAATTTCTATTAGGAACCTTATTTTCATATCAAAGTTTTCAATAGTTCTGCATGCTTTGACCAAAATATTAATAGAGATATCATAGTTTAGTAGTGTCATTTTGGGCGTTGCAAATATCTCAAAGAAATGTGCATAAACATGCTCAGAAAGACGAAATCACAGGACTCAGACTTGCCAACAATCATTGCGACATTCTTCCATTACAGACTCTCTCAAGTCTGTAACAATCTCCCAGACACTCATATTTATGCATACTCGGACATCCACTCACATACATACTCTCCCAAAAAGACACTTCTTACAGTCATCATATACACAAACACTCAGAAGCAGTCACACACAGCTGGCAATATGCAATTGCTGGTAAACTTACGGAGATGTTATATTAAGCAAATAGGGCTGGCTAACAGGTAATGTCACTTACATGATAGACCAGCCCATGCATGACAGGGCCTTGGTCATCAGTGCTGAAACAAATACATGTCTCCCAGCTCCTCTTTGCACAGAAGGAGAGAGCAAGCTAAGATCCCAATGCTGAACTAAATTCCAATGATCAGGCTGGCTACTGACAAACTCTGCAATGCTGTGCAACTCTAATGGCCAGCCCTGCACAATAAATCAGGATCCTATTTCTCCAATTCCTCCCGGGATAAGGCAACCTGCACACCGTCAACTCATCACAATACTGTATGGGACTTAACCCACTCAGCACTGGGACAATGTCTGGTCAGCTATGTCTTCAATCTTTCAGCAGGGAGATTCTGAGGCTGCCTCCTGTAATCTATTTGCAAATGGTACGAAGTCAAGATTTCACTATCTCCTTAAATGGACACTATATTGAAATTACAGCTCATTGAAGTGGTCTGGGTACGGTGTTCCTATTGCCCTTAGTACTGCAATGTTAGACATTGCAGTTCCAGAGAAACTGCAATGTTTACATTGCAGCACTAAGTCTGCCACCAGCGGCTGTCTACCAGACAGCCACTAGATGGCTTCCTGGTTTGAAACAGACCTTTGGTCCGGTATCCTGCGCATTGCGCATTAGAGCCTGCTCGTCACAGGACGGAGGAGGAGCTTTGACCCGGCGCAGAGGGACATCAGCACTGGGATCAGGTAAGTAAATAAAGGGTTGTTAACGAGGGGGGGGGGCGAGGGGCACAAGGGAGGGGGGAGTGATAGTGCCAAGGGTAAAACTTTGTATTTCTGGCATTATAGTATCCCTTTAACCCGTCCATAATGCTGTCAGAAACTTGCTTGCCACTGCACACTTGCCTACAAAGATAATAGAAAAATGCTGCCACAAACTGCCTGGATACTGAGATAAAGCAATAGCTACACTTACCAGTGCCACATGGACAGTAAATTCCACTCCAATACCAACAGAGGCTATCAAGATCACTACAGGCACAGCACTCAGTTTAATGCCAATAAGTCCCATCATCCCAAAAAGTTCAACTGTCATGAGTGCCAATACCATGACCTAAAAAAGAAAAAGAAAAAAAAGACACAAATCAGAAAATATCAAGCGACATAGGATATAAAAAAGGGAGAGATAAAAACAAAACAAAATACAAAATAAAAGGAAAAAAGACAACCTGCAATAAAGTAAAATGTTATCAACTGTTTATATACATTTAATGATTTAGAAGCATGGTGAGTGTATAACATCTGTGTTACAAGTAGCAATGAGCACAGCAGGCAGGTTCTATGCACCATTTCAATAATCCCCATTTTTATAGGATTCCTTACATATCCATATTAAAGCACAAGAGGGATTGCAAATAACCCTTGACCATGACTACCCTCGCCTCTTTAGTCAGAATAAAATGAATTAATAAAGATTGTGATGACAAAGATGCAGACGAGTGGATTACTGAAACCATCACTTAAAGGGATACTATAGTGCCAGGAAAACAAACCCATTTTCCTGGCACTATAGGCTCTTGGAGAGCCCCCCTCCCTCAGCGCTGGTGACCTCTCCTCCCCGCCGACGTCAGCTCCCAAGTGGAGCCAAATGCGCATGCGCGGCCATAGGCGCGCACACATTCAAATCCACCCATAGGAAAGCTTTACTCAATGCTTTCCTATGGGGATCTTATTTGATGCTGGACTCCGCACTCAGTTAAGTGCGATTTACTCAGTGTAAAGTGCGGAAGGAGCCTCTAGTGGCTGTCCGTGAGACAGCCACTAGAGGCTGGATTAACCTTGCAATGTAAACAGGGCAGATTCTCTGAGACTGCTATGTTTTCAGCTGGAGGGTTAAAACTAGGGGGACCTGGCACCCAGACCACTTCATTGATCCTTTGGTCCTTTAAAAAAAAAAAAAATAGTAAGATTAAGTACCATAAAATTTAAATAAAGTGAGAAGTCTTATCTTATACGGAAGACGTGACTGTGACTGTGTAGACTGGCATTAAAGGGAAACTATAGTCACCAAAAGAACTTTAGCTTAATGAAGCAGTTTTGATGTATAAATCATGCCCTTGCAGTCTCACTGTTAAATTTTCTGCCATTTAGGAGTTAAATCACTTTGTTTATGCAGCCCTAGTCACACCATGCATGCAATTTGCAGAGCCTTCCTTAACATTTTCTGTTTAATTTAGAATTTCTCATCTCCTGCTCTGTTAATAGCTTTCTAGACCATGCAGGAGCCTCCTGTATGTAATTAAAGTTCAACTTACAGAGTAGGAGATAAAAATGTTTAAAGTAAGTAACATCTGATTGAAAATAAAACCATTTAATTTTCATGCAGGCTGTGTGGGCCACAGCCAGGGGGAGGTATGGCTAGGGCTGGATTAAGAAACAAACGTGATTTCACTCTTAATTGGCAGAAAATTGAGCAGTGAAAATTCAGAAGCATGATCTATACTCAAAAACCACTTCATTAACCTAAAGCTGTTTTGGTGACTATAGGGTCCTTTTAAGGGAGATAGGGTTACAAGATTTCTCAGAAAGATGACTCTTAAACAAAATGTACATTGAAGGTCTGAATATCTGTGGTGTTTCAATATAATTTTCCACATGTGCCTACTGAAACAGAAGTCTGTTTAAACTATTTTTATATTAAAAGCAAAATAAGTTACCTGTGCAGTATCCCAAATCCCTATACACAGAAATAACATGAGTTTTTAGTAGCATTCCAATTGGATTAACCCGTTCACTACAGAGCACTTTACATTTGGAAAAATATTAGTTTATCAGGTACCCTTGATAAAGGCAGCCAGTTGGTGCCAAAACGTTGGGGGGTTTGGTGACTCGTGTTTCTGTCTTGAGGCTTGTAAGAATTTTTGTGGTAATATATTATTATTTTATTGTATTTGCCCTTGCTTCTGTCACTTTGTTTATTTTTTCTTATATGTTTTCACTCTGGTACTTTTTTGTACATAATAAAGCTAAGTATTTTGAGATTGTTATAGTGTGCATTCTATATTCTATATACATTTGAAAAATATTAGTTTTACATGTATTTGAAGCAAAGAATGCATAGTTACCATATATAAATATATAAATATGTAACATATCAATTTTATTTATATATTATTTTGCAGACAAATGTATGTAATGTATGTAATTATAGAAATGTACACAATTTGAAATGTTTACGTATTCGTTCAGCCTATTTAAGAATATTTGGGAAATGAAAAACTTTAAACAGTATAAAGTGTTCTTTATCTTGCACTATTTCACACAGAATGTGAAATGTTCATATAAAGCAAAAAACGCCATAATAAGGAATTGACTTAACTCTTGGTCCTCAAGAGGTTAAGACGGTCTAAGGAAGTATTATATGATTATGTGATTGATACACAGAACAGGTAGTAGTACTACATAGTTTCTTTTACAGTACAGTGTACAATCCCAGGAGGCAGTATGAGCATATGAAAAATCCTATCTCAAAAATTACCATGGAATAAATGGCTGTAAACAGAATAAATGGCTGTAAACAGAATGCAGGATTAATAGGAGCCTTTACCACCACCATTTGGTGTCTATTGGTTTTGCTGCATAGTACACTTTCTACAACACTTTCTACAACACTTTAAAACACTGTTAAATGAAAACTCCAATACCATAACCACTACAATGCTCAGCTAGGAGTGCCTCTGTAAGTGGTCATGTTAACTCATTTATCTTGATCACATTTTGAGAATAACAAAATATGAAATGTAGCTCAGAGGAATATAAATTTGATACAAATGCACTTATTAAGCACATTATTGTCTTTATGCAATTTCATGAAAAGGATGAACTTGTTTTCAATGATTGAGGCAGTTGGTCAACAAGTCTGTCTTTTATTAGGCTTCTATTAACATGGTAGTTCACTAATGTGTGAATTGTTATGAATTCAAGTAAATTCAGAGTGAATTAAAACTATAGGGCAAAACTGCTGCTGACTTGGAGAATTTTCACAATGCAGGTATCGTGGCCTAAAATGCAAATTAACTTTCAATTAATTTTGACTTTCCAACATTAACACTTTAGTGAAACAACCTTAATGTATTTAATTGTAAGTAATATATACGTTTTGTAAAAAGTAGTAGAAAAAATTTATAGCTTGCCATTTAACTTAAACAAAATATAACATTTTTGCTTATAAGCAATTTGTAGAAAACAATCTGGTTGTCTTAAGATTTACAAAAAAGAAATACAAGTGGTATAAAGGATTACGTTTCGAAGGTTTACTGCGTAGCCATGAACCCTCCCTTCTCTTCCCCTTCGAAGTCGAATAAACATATCATGAATGATGTAACATACTTTATTCCAGCAGAGATCCAGACATAAACAAACCTAGCTGGCTGTAGCAAGAGCTATGCCGAAAGGAATTTGACTACAACAAAGAACCTTATTAACTTACAATGATTCCAGCAGTCCAGGGGTTCAAGAGAAAAAGGGCACACACCAGGAACGTACAGGCCAGAACTACGCTGATGGACAGAAGCAGCCAGTGACGAAGCCCAATGTACTGCTCCCAGAAAAGAAACGGGTAGCCATTTGGATAGCTTGACAACCCAAGACTGGTATAATTGTTGCAAATAGCTCGAACTTTCTCAATAGCTTCCACAAAATCTGACGTTTCACGCAGACCGTTGAGGTAGAAAGGAAACTGGGCATACTCTATCGGCTCGGCTGCACGAACTGCAAAGGGAAAAAAACAATAAATTGTAAAAATGTAGATGAAAACCACAATAATTAAAATGTCTGACATCCGAAAAGGTTTTTGATTTAGTTAATTTGAATCATTTATCAGTTCCATCTTTTATTTATTAAAGTTTCATATTTTATCTTTAACCAGTTTCATCTTTTATTTGTTATAGTAATAGTAATACAACATTTTTGTTGCATCGGTAGATACATGAACGGACTCACACCTCAGCCATTAAATCAGCTAGTCTTAAGTTACTGTCGTGTGTGTTCAACCATGCAGGGCCACTTGGTTGACTTGCTAAACATGATTTGTCCTATTATAATCTCAACTATAAATTTTCATTAAGACAAGACTTGGCTGGCTGCCATACAGCCGTAGGATATATATAATTTTCTTTAAAACTTTTTGTTTGGACATTTCAACTAAATCAAGCAAACAAACAATGTAGGTGTAATTACTTCAAAGATCAACCTACAAGAGGACAGAAAATGTGCATTTGCCAGCCACATTACCCATATTGCCAGAAAGGGGTAGCAGAAGAGTGGGGAATAAGGGAATAAGGTACGAGTGAAAAATAAACAGAACAGGCCTGAGTGGTAGAATTCTTTAGAACACGAATATGAAAACAGTCTCTTAGCTTCCAAACTTGGCACAAGCCGCATAGAACTATTTTATTTAGCCTACTAAAACACACACAGCATGCACTGTAATAAACTACAAGCTTAGGATATTCTACTGGTAGATTATTGCCTATGTTAACCCATAACATGCTAGAAGCTATATAAAATAGTTATTGTCCAGTATTTTAGTGCTCCTAAACTAAAAATTAAATAAATTAAAATAAATTAACACTTGGTAAATTCAATGTTTCAACAGAAAGTAACTATAAAATGGCTGTCAAAAATAAAATACTGCGGTCTGCTGAAGCAGTGCTAGATCTGCTCAATGTCATCTAGAAAACAGAGCTGGGATGGAGGAAACGGTTCATAAACATTTTAAGGCCAGAGGCTCAGTCGTACTTACTTGTCTTGGTGTCCGGCATGAAGTCTGCTTTGTCATGGACCCATTCTGGTGGATGAGGGCGGATATTGGCTTGGGATGCAGCATATGCCACAGGATCATTACTCACCCAGGCCGTTAAGTAGATGTAGAAAGCATTAGGATGAACGATTCCATCTGCATCTACCAAGCGTTGTTTAGTTAACTGAACAAAAGAAAAAGAAGTGAGAAGTCGGAAAGAAGTAGCTATAAGTTTGTAAAAAAAATACTAATTCAATTATTACAAAGAAAGGGTAAAAAAGATAAACACTTTGTTATTCATGTGAATGTAGTTCACAGAATTCAAATACAATTCTTTTTTGTCTCAGATCATGGGCAGGTAAATAAATAAAAAGCAAATATTCCATGCTAACATATTTGCCAAATTTATTTAAAAAATTGTACGTAAGCGCTGTTTGTTCAACTGACCAGAGCAGGAACAGTTGCTACATAAAAGTCAGTAAATAAGTACTTGCTTATTTCCCCATGCGTCAAAATTGTTCATGCTAAACAGAGTCAATTTTGTTTTTCCATAAAATAAAACAGGGTTATTCACTTCGGTGACAATTGTCAAGAATTCAAAGTGAATTTCAAATTTAAGACAACAATAGTTGAACTGAAAATATTCTTCAAGGCAGTCATGCTTCCAATTTGACTACTTTGATTTTCTGACAATTCTCGCTTTACTGCATAACCCTGTACGAAAATTCCATTTATACTTTACTAGTGTTAATAAGCCCTCCACTGATTTTTGTCCAGAACCTTTCTCATACAATTGCTGTGTTATGAAGCAAATGAAGGTCATTTGGTTGAGTGTACTTCTGAATATAGCTAACGAAGAATTAAATATTTTTTTATAAGTAGTGCTTCTAAGTGTAGCTATAGAAGAAAGTCATTTTAAATGGATAAAAGGAGTATTTCTGCATGTAGATAATGAATATATTAGAATTTCCTTGGTAGTTCTTTCAAATGTAGCAATAACACAAGCTATAATAGAAGGTAATATTGTTGGGAGCAAGTCCGAATGTAGAAATTGTAGAAGGTAATTCCTTTGGAGAAATTCCAAATAGATCTATAGCAGAAGGTAATTTCATTTGGAGTAATTCCAAATGTCGCTACAGGAGAGGACTATGTTGTTGGGAGTACTTCCTGATATATTAATGGTAGAAAGCATTTTGGAGGGATATAGCTGTACTATGTATTTCAAAGTTCTTCCTAGCAGAATCTCGTAACACTTTCTATTTCTAATGTTAATATCTTAATGAGTACCATATCAAATAGAAATGGCTATATGAGTAATCTAGTATTAATCCTTCATTTTTGATGATATTTTTTGATATTTTTTTCAAGTGATTATTCATTGATCATATATATATATATATACATACATACATATATAAAAGGCTGTAGATCCTTGCACTCAGGCTGTAGGTTGGTTAAGACGCCGGTTGCAATACTATGGCTCCAGTATCCAAATGCTGTATGCAGAAGGCTGCACTCACGGTCTTAAATAAAATTTAAGTTTTATTCCATAATTGTTAAAAGCAAGTCAACGTTTCAGTCCTAATTAAGGGCTTTCTTTAGGATCATAGTTAACTATGATCCTGAATAAAGTCTAAGTGTGATTGTTCTTTGTAAGAATTTGGTGGTGTTTAAAAGTCAGAAGGATCTGGAGCATATGATGTTGATTTGTTTTCTTAAAACAAAAATGATAAACATCTCTGCTTTTTAATTACACTAGAACTAAACGGAATGGCAATGGATAAACAGTTGCTGCATTCCAGAGAAATACGACTCTCGATCTAACAAAAACAATTCATTTTTTTTCTTCCCCCTTCTAATTACACTAGCAACCCTGTTCCTTCATTGCATCCAAGCCCTGCCTAATGGACCAGCATGAACAACAAATGTCTACAGCTGGGTGGAGGGGGTTCTGGGAGGGATGACCACGATGGGGAAACATTTTGCAGAAACAAAGCAATACAGAAAAAGAAAAAACCTTGCAAACATCCTTCTATACACCTGGGTGCAGTTAAAGGGACTCTACAGGCACCCAGACTACTTCATCTCATTGAAGTGTCCCTGTTCCCTTAACCCTGCAACTCAAATCATTGCATTTTTTTGTTTTTTAAACAATGTTTATATTGCAGTGTAAATACTGCCTCTGGTGGCTGAATACCAGACAGAACACTAAAAGCGCTTCCTGCAGTTTCACTGAGTTTGACGCTTTACGTGATGATGTCCAGCATTTAGAAAATCCACATAGGAAAGCATTGAGGCAATGTTCTCCTATGGGGAAAGCCTAATGAGTGTGTGACGTTGCTGTCCTATAGGGAAAGCCCAATGAGTGTGTGACGTTCCTTTCCTATAGGGAAAGCCTAATGCGTGAGTGGCGTCCTTTTCCTAGGGGTGTTAGTTAGCCTGGAATATGAGTCATGAGCTGGTTAATGTCATATGACCGCTCTCAGCCAAAGAATGGCTGGCGATATCGACTTCCGGTTTCTGCAGGAGCCAGACGTTGTCACTGGCCACTGTAGGACCCTCAGCACTCAGCAGAGACTCAGGTAAGATGACAAACTGCCCATTAGCAGGGAATTACATTATGGCAGTAGGCTGTTTTTATATAAAAATACGGAGCCAGTGTTCTCACATACAGGCTCCTTGAAATGTGAGTGTTCAATTTATCCAGATATCACCACCATAATTATATTATTATTTTAAATACCGTCTGCACTATATTGTATTTCTTGTATTTTTTCTCAACATGCACCCTATACTCTACCATTGAATGAAATACCATTTGGTAAGCTGTATATGTGTTGGAGCACTCCACTTACTGGTATAAATCTTTTGTTACTTAAACCGCACTAATAATTCTGTTATTATATATTAACAAACATATTTGAGTGAAGATGTTTGGAGCATCAGCTCAGGAGTAGCTGTACTGCAGGAAGCTGTTCCTTCTAACAGCCGTGGGAACAGCCCCTCTAGTACGGGTGGGGTTGAGTGTGTAAGGAAGGCTAGACAGGTTGTGGTGGTAGGGGACTCTATTATTAAGAGAGTAGATAGGGTAATCTGCCACTCTGATCGTCTCAACTGGACAGTTTGCTGTATCCTGGGTGCTCAGGTCCAGCATGTTGCCGACAGAGTGGAGGGATTATTGGGAGGGGCTGGGGATGACCCAGCAGTCAAGGTCCATGTTAGTACCAATGAAAAAGTCAGAGGAAAAAGGAAGGTCCTAAAGCATGAGTTCAGGGACCTAGGAGGTAAGCTAAAGAAAAGGACCTCCAAGGTAATATTTTCAGAAATATTACTTGTGCCGCGCGCTACAGCAGAAAGGCAGCAGGAGATTAGAGAGGTCAATGCGTGGCTGAAGTCTTGGTGCACCAAGACTTCAGCCACGCATTGACCTCTCTAATCTCCTGCTGCCTTTCTGCTGTAGCGCGCAGCACAAGTAATATTTCTGAAAATATTACCTTGGAGGTCCTTTTCTTTAGCTTTTGGGGTTTTAGAGCACTGGGCCGATTCTTTTAGCTTGGGTACAACCTGTATAGCCGTGATGGATTGCACCTAAATGGAAGAGGGTCTGCTGTGCTGGGGGATAAGATGGCTAGAAGGTTGGAGGAGACATTAAACTAGTAGTAGGGGGGAGGGTAAAGCAATCTAGAAAATGAAGATAGGAAAGAAAGGAGATGAGCTTTAGCTCAGTATAAGGGGTGTGGAGATGGGAGGAGGGGAAAGCTCAGAACAGAGGAGGTAGGTAATATTGATAAAAATTCACAAAAGTACAAATGACTCATGATAATATTACATGTATGCTTACTAACTTAAATGGGTACATGTTATTTAGGAAGGATAGGAAAAACAAGAAGGGTGGTGGGGTATGTATGTATGTATGTCAACCATGAGTTAAAGTCAAATCTTAGGCATGTAATTGGGAAAACTGCAAATCTGGTATTATTGTAGATTTTAATTACCCGGACATAAATTGGGATAGAGGGACTAGTACTTCAGCAAGGGGATTTTTGAATGTGTTAAATTACACCTTCATGTCACAACTGGTACAAACACCAACTAGAAAGGATGCTTGTCTGGATCTCATTATAACAAACAATGTTGATCTTTTGACCAACATTCAAGTAGGGGAGCATTTGAGAAATAGTGATCAGAATATGGTAATATTTGATATAAACTCAAAAAAGCAAAAGCATGTGGGGTATACTAAAACGTATAATTTTTAAAAAGCCAATTTCAATAAGATTAGGGCAGCTCTACAACAAATCAACTGGCATAAACTTCTTAGTGAAAAAAACACTGAGGATAAATGGAAGCGCTTCAAACAAATACTAGAAATGTACATTTCTCAGTATGTATCATCGGGTAATAAATATAAAAGAAACAAACCGAAACCAATGTGACTTGGTAGAGAAGTAAAACAAGAGATTATAAACTTAAGAAAAGGGCATTTAAAGCATTTAAATCAGACAAATCAGAGGCTTCCTATATAAGGAAGCCATTATTGCTTGCAAAAAGGCAATTAAAGTGGCTAAACTAGAAAATGAGATATTGATAGCCAAAGAATGCAAAACCAACCCCCAAGTTTTTTTCAAGTACATCAATTCTAAAAAAAAATTTAAAAAAATGAAGGTGTAGGTACACTGGAAACAGAGATGGGTCTGTTCGTTTATAAATACCAGGAAAAAGCAGAAATTTTAAATACCTATTTTTCTCCAGTATATATTAATGAGGATCCCATGGCAAGAGATATGCAAATGATTGCTGCAAAAAACTTGCAGATAACTTGTGATTTGGATGATTTGAGACAAGGTACTACAGGAGTTAAAGAAAATTTATGTAAATAAAGCACCGGGCCTTACGGTATTCACCCACGAGTACTTAAGGAGCTAAGTGGGGAAATAAGTGAACCTCCGTATTTAATCTTTCAAGATTCTTTTGTTTCAGGTATTGTACCGGAGGATTGGAGGAAGGCAGATGTCGTTGCTATATTTAATAAATCCTTGCCTGGGAATTATAGACCTGTGAGCTTAACTTCTGTGACTGGAATTACCTGCAATGTAAGAATTCATTGGGAATAACTTTGTTATTAGTAATTATCATCATGGATTTTTTCATGAAACATAGGTCATGTCAAACTAACCTAACTGCATTCTACGAAGAAGTAAGTAGAGGTATAGACTGGGTTTTTTGCCTTCTTTTGGATCAACAACAAAAACATATGTGAGGAAGGCTGAACTTGATGGACGCAAGTCTATTTTCAGCTATGTAACTATGTAACTATATAAATAAGAAAAAATCCATGTACTATGAAATAAATGAGAAATAGTGAAAGCAGCACAACTCTGTTTATTTATAAACCTGAAATATCTGGATATTCAATAATGCTGTGTTTAAAGAAGTATCTTCTATTGTTTATCTCAACTAAAAAGGCCACAGTGAAGCGGATTTACTCTTCTACAACTGCACCAAATGTTAACATTGGACAAATTCTTACTTAGTGTATTAAAAGCCATATTCACACCGAAAGTAAGACCATCACTTACCCTCATACACTTTCAGCTCCTAATGCAAAGCAGACAAGCTTCAAATTCCCCAAGTGTTCATATATATGATCACTAAAAATTCAGAAAAGTGGTAAAAACGTGTACTCTGAATTAAAAGAACACTGTAAGCTCTATAATATAACCTTCTGTGGTTCTTGCATTGTTTAGGACACAAGGAGCTCTACTGTTCCAACCTTGTTTCATGACGTAGCTCATAGCACATGAATCCTACTGTCTATGAAAGCACCTTGTACATTTGCATTCTTAATGCATGGTGTGTGCCGCAATAAAAACATGTTGCATAATGTGAGCGACACTGTGCAACACAGGAGCAAAGAACCTCAGTGCAGCACTGGAAACATGCAGGTTTTGGCAAGCTACTATTTACAGGTGCTGCTATTAATTCTGTTTTTCCTTTTATTTTAAGTCGCCTCATCTCTCACTAGTAGTTTATCAGCAGAAGTGCTGGCAAGGCAGAATTATGTAGTTTCTCTCTCTTCAGCTCCTCTCATGCAATACATTAGCAAAAGAGGGCTGAATCAAACTGGGAAATAGCAGCTGCCTTCTGTAACTCCCACTAATCTTGGGAAGACAGGGACGTCCCAATACTGTCCTTTGATTAGAGGCATCCATACAACACTGAGTCTATCATATTACATAATATATAAAACAGTTTGTCTTGAAAGTGATATATATATATAACATATATATAAAAGGATACTATATTTAAAAGAAGAAAAACTACCACCACAAGGGGACATAGTCTTAAAGGATCACTATAGTGTCAGGAAAACAAATCTCCCGCCGACGTCAGAGGAGCGGAATGCACATTCAATTTCTCAATGCTTTCCTATGGACGCTCTGCGTGATGGAGGCATAATATGTCTCCAGCGTCGCAGATGCACCTGTAGTGGCTGTCCGGAAGACAGCCACTAGAGGCTGGCTTAACCCCAAATGTAAACATAGCAGTTTCTCTGTTTGCATGTGAAGGGTTAACCCTAGAGGGACCTGGCACCCAGACCACTTCATTGAGCTGTAGTGGTCTGGGTGACTATAGTGTCCCTTTAAATTAGAGGGGCAAAGTTTTAAACATAATTTCAGGAAGTATTACTTTACAGAGAGGGTAGTGGATGCATGGAATAGCCTTCCAGCTGAAGTAGTAGAGGTTAACACGGTGAGGGAGTTTAAGCATGCGTGGGATAAGGATTCCGATAAGGACAGGAACTAATGAAAGTATTTAGAAAATTGGGAAGACTAGATGGGCCAAACGGTTCTTATCTGCCGTCACATTCTATGTTTCTATGTATGTATGTATGTATGTATGTATGTATGTATATATCTCTGTATCTAGCAAATCCCATATAGGCCCAGAACTCAGACTTTATCCGTTGTGATGCCGGGAACTGCAACGCCAGGGCTATGGTCAGTGTAATAATCCAAAAAAGTGTCTGGCACTCACAAGCTTTAAAATTTCAAACTCTTTATTGAAGTATAATAAAAAATAAGACCAACATTTCAGGCCCCGCTCGGGACTTTCATCGGGATATATATATAATGATATAACTATGGAAGAGTAAAAATTATGACACAAGGATCCCCTACAAAGTGACTATACACGACAGTTAATGTGGAATATAGTAATAGGACTAATTAAACACCATAAACATCAACATGTGATACAAGTGTTATTCTAAATTATATTTGCACCTTTTTTAGTGCCACCTGCCTCCAAAGTCAATAATTGTACAAAACCAAAGCACAGAACTAGAAAGAACTGTCACTAACCTATAATGATTAAAAAAGGTACAGCAGATATGTGAATGGTATTTCAAACTGTTACTGCATTTAAAGCATGCCTTAAACTGCCTGGCTCAGTTTACAGCAACCCTTCCCCCCACCTTTGTTTATACAGTTGATGGCCATTACACTTATCCATCAGGGAAAATTGTACAAGTTGGCAGATTGTAAACTGAAGTGAGCCAAATCTGCTTCCCCTCCTCTTCCCTTGGTGTTTACATTTGTTTGGTCACCAATTTATATGGTTTGTTGTACATTACTAGAGAATAAACTGGCACATACTCTCAATCATACTGAGATCATGTTCAGGGGTCTTATTCCCTATAACAGCTATTGGCAACTATTACCAAATTGCGGCACACTGTCTAATTATTCTATGCCAATGGTGTCCATCCTTGTCCCTAAACGATTGCCGGGGACAGCAATTCCCAGAACTAGCTGGCAGAGAATTCTGTAAAATGTAGACTAGCAATAACTGAACAGCCAGGCTTGAATATCCATCACTATATGAATTAGAAAATCTTGTAAATAAAATATTGACGTCTCTGGAAACAATTTTATTTATTTATTTTTTAACCTTTTCTCATTCACTGGAAAATATAAAGAACTTGCATGGTAGATAGCATTTATATTTATTATTAAAACTGAGGAACAAGTGCCACATTTTGGCTACTGTAGCAGTTGGGGCGCAAAAGTCCCAGTAGCCCTGCTCCCACTGTAACATCTTTCCTTTGTCATCTATGGTGAAAAGGTGGGAGATCTTTCTCCTGTCTTGCCGCCGGCCATAAGATAGACTTTAGATATTATTATTATTTATAAAGCACCAACGAATTCCATAGTGCTGTACAATAGGTTGACTAACAGACCTGCATTTGCAATAAGATGAGTGGGACTCACAGGGACAGAGGGTGTTGAGGGCCCTATAACATCATGTGCAAGAGATAACCCCCTCAGCTTTCTCACACTACAAAAACAGTGATGGCACTCCCCTCTTCCACCTTAGGTTTACTTCCCTTAGAAAGGTAAAATATATCAGGTTATAGTTCAGCACAAGAGGCCCCAAGAATGCCCCAGTGCAATGCCCTTACCACCTGCTTCTGTTGCAGGTACTTCACAAAATGAGAAATGTACACTCTGAAAGTACTGTAAATCAATATGGTTATAATTAACATTTTTCTTACCTGACTGATGTCAAAAGGTTTATCGGAGTTGCCAGTTTGTATTAAAAGTTTATAGGCAAGAACGGCATCATCAGATCCATTTCTGTAATTGTTATAGGTAATTTTTCCAGCTTCCCATTCATGGTCAAAAGTATCTTGTAGTCCTAAACACACACACAAAAAAAAAAATCTTACAAAACACTTCAACAGTCATTGCTATTGTTTCAAATTCTGGGTGTTTGAGGATTCATCAACAATAATTATACAAAATTTAAAAAAAAAGAAACCACATAACTCACAACTATAAATCAGTCATCCTCAAAGAGTTGCATCATTAGGTGATACAGATCACGGGATAAATTTGTTCAGTTAGTTATGCACTCTCCTGATACCTGTATCCCAGTTGTAGTTTTAAGAATATTCATGATGCTATTTCTGTATAACATAATATAACTGTGTGCCATTTACACCGGACACAAATTAACCCCATAATAAGCCCGTAAAAGAAGACCTATTTAGACACAAAAGGGAGAAAGTTTTTTTTTTTTTTTTATTCTTTATTTTTATTGTGCTTTGGGTAACATAACATATAAGCTCTTGGTGTCCCAATAGCAATCCTCGAGCACATTTTCCAGCAAAACAATTGGAACATTAGGATTATCAGCACATGGTTTGTTTCTTGGATTTTTTTAAACGTGAGAGTAGTATTGATTAGATCAGGTTATTGGTAAATGTAGGTCACAATAGCCAGCGTTGTGGGTACAAGAGGTTAATATACATGACTGACCTAGGTTAATAACATGCACAATTCTTTGCTAGTGTATCTGTCTTATGAGGCAAATGTTCATTAGTGTATGCGTGGTAGGCAGGCTAAACTGTGGGTCTAGGCATATACTCTAAGGCTACATTAACATATGAAGAGGTGAGATGCCTAGGGTTACAGTAGGCTGGCTAAGCGTATAAAACTTTTTTTGAGTAAAGCAAATAAAGGGTACTTGCAGATTGCACAGTGCGTAAGAGTCAATAGAGGGGGAGATCACCGGATTTTGTGTGCGTTTTACGGCTCCAGTGCAGCCGGCGGCCAGCACCCGCCCGCCCGCCTCAGGTATTCAGTCAAGTGCTTGTTTCAGCTGATGCCCAGTTTAGATATGGTCTGATTGCAGGCTGATGGCTTTTCCAGGGTAACCGACCTCCCCGTCTCCCGGTCAGTGTCGCGGTCTGTTCCATGGGTTCTCCTGTGCAGGAGCGTGCCACGCTGGGCATAGGTCTCTGGAGCCACTGTAGGGCGAGCGGGTCGTGTGCACTGGCTTGTCTCGCTTTGGTGCGTGGGGGGTGTTGGCGCTGGTGTCCAGGCAATCTTGCGTTGTTTCCCGCTGTGTTGACCTTCGGATCCGGTTCTGTCTAGGGGCCGTTCTGGCTCGAGGGGGATTTACTCCCAGGTGGCGGCGGAGTGCCGGGCGGATCCATCCGGCTACCGCTCTCATCACCTGCTTGAAGGTCAGTCTCCGTGTATCTAGACGTGTCCAGAGCCAGTCATAAAACTCCCGTGTATGCTTGGGAGGCTCGGTAAGTGGGCGCGTTATTGTAGGCTGCTTCCGTGCCGCCATCTTGCTTGGGCCTTGCCCTACCCGTTTTTCTTTGGACATCGTCGCTTAGTCAGGCAATATTGTGGGGGTAGTCGCCCCCAGCGAGAACCGGGATATTCCACGCCGGTCCAAATGTGGGTAGCAAGGCTGTGTGGAAGTCTCGCTTGTGAGTGTGTCCTGTGCCAGGTGATCGGCCGCCTCCCCCGGACCTCAGGTTTTGCTCTGATGTAGGCCGCATGGTCGGCACAGGTTTTTCTGTGTCGCATCGAGACTGGACCGTTACCATTCTATGTCTCATGTTGTCTTGGGTCGGTCCCTGGGCACTGTTTGATGCCATCATTGATAGGTTGCTCTGTAGTAGCCAGTTTATGCTCTTTATTACAGGAGCTCTTAGACTGTGCGACCGGCCATCTTGGCTTTCAGGCCCTGCCCCCAAAAAGGGAGAAAGTTAAACACAATTCACTTAATCACAGCCTAGGACAAAATTCTGTCACACCAAAAGTAATCTGGCTATGCATTAACCTGTGGATTCACAAATGCGCCTAGCACTCATTAAACCATCCTGTGCTACTGTGCTGCATGTTAAAATAGAAGATCCATTGTGGAACTATGCAAAAACTAATAAAAACCCATGAACTCTTGGACTTCAAATAGCATCTCAGCTGCTTCTTGAGCACAGTGTGAGTGAACACGATTTTGTCAATTTGTTCCATCTGTTCAACTTGTGCAGCTATTACAAAACGCGAGATCTGCTGCCAGCATGTGTAAAGATCACAGCCAACATCTATTCACCCTTAACTGCTTCATTCCTCTTTGCCATCCTTTCGTGAAGGGGGGACAGGGAGTGGAATGAGAGAAGGGGAATGCCTCTCCATACATGCGCGCTCACACATATACACAAACACAGAGGTAGGCAGTAGAAAACGCGTCTGAAACAGGAAGTCATAGCTCAGTGCATGCAGACCTCTGTACAAATACACATGACAAAGCACATGGCTCTAGGGAAAAAATGGTCGGGAGGACAAAGACTCCACATTGTTGTGCTAAAAGTGTGTAATTAAAACCATCGCATGAGACATTGCTATGCAAAAAGGTTTAAAGGAGAAACATGTTAGATTATAAATTGCAAGGGGGGGAGGGGAGTGAGGGATGGGGGAAGTGAAAAGATATTATTTCAAATGCTAAATACTATTACCCTTATTTTTTCCCTCTGCTTTTAGCTCTGTACATTAGAACATCTAATAAAGCTTTAATATTTTTATAAATACAAGAACAATCATAAACTGATCATGAAAATAATTGGGCAAACGCTACTAGCATGACTAGGGTATAATGAAAAAGCTGCCACTAAATATACAGTGGGCTGTAATAGACATTATGCATTTATATACACCTGTCTTAATTAGATCCCCTACTGTCACTAAACTGCAACTCTCATGATGCTTAGCCAGCTTTAAAGCTAATAAAGAAAATATGGGATCTGGGGATCTACCTTTTGGCTCCATCTGCATTGATAGTTAACATTAAAGTGATTTGCTGTCTAACTCAGTGCTACAGTACAGCGCTACGGAATAGGCTGGCACTATATAAATAATATAATAATAATAAAAATTATAATAATAATAATACAGCAATACTAGTAAGCTTTTTTTTTTTTTTTTTAAGTGCTGGCTTCAATGTGAATGTGCATTAATCCTCTATACACCTTAAGGGAATCCCATTAACTAAGATTATATAATAATTGTGTGACATATTTTACTGGCAGTTAGACTCATTCCGTCACCTAATCACATGGCACTGAGCTACACATAACCAAAGTAAAACCCCAATGGATAAAACTCCATACACACAATACTTTGACTTCTGAAGTGTGCTTTATGTTGTAAAAATCATGTATAATCCACGTGAACTGAATAATTACTTTATTTACAAAACAAAAATGAAAAATGCTGCATTTCCCAGATTACAGAAACTTCTGGGGTTATTTTTTATGGAATAAATATGGGTCAAAGATCTGAAAGGTGGAGCAAGATGGAGGGATATTCTAGTGGTTTAAATAGTGACTGCTCCACTTTAAGACGTTTTCGCCACAGTTGCTCTTTATAAATAACCCCTGTCAGTTTGTCAGCTTCCAGCTGTTTTCATAGCATTCATATAGGAGCCAATGACATCATTACTGCCAACAGGAATCCCTCGCTCACTAGCTTATTTACAAACCCTATTAGGGAAAAGTCGCATAGTACTTGAACATATGAAATGTTTTCACTTTCTAAATGCAGTTATCCCTGTCTGTAGGGGGAGCACCATTATATATTTGTTTTATAAAATTACTATGAATAAATATATATGTTTATATATATTTTTTTATTGGTAAATATATTTCTACTCTTTATAATTTGTATTATTTCAGAACCACCTTGCACAGAACATTCCTTGCTTTGTAAAGCCCCTCTGGCACTGAAATGTCTGAAACAATGTAACTAGCAACTACTTGCAGAGCTCTTAAAACAATGAAGTCTGCCTTATAGAGATTACACACTACTAGACCTACCCATTGGATAATGCGACTGGAAATGCAATACCACCCAAGTCTACCTAGCCACAAAACCACAACTAACACTAAAAGCATTTTCCAGTAAACACTCAGCCCTGTAATTAGTAGTAAATCAAAATCTGCACAATACTAGGAAACAACACATATTACAAAATAAACATAAAAGAAAATACAAAGAAAAGCATTTTTAAAATAACTTCTGTTTTCTCAATGTGTATTTACAAGAAAACAAGAATTTAAATTCTACTAACAATAGTGAATCAGGAATAATTCTAATAAACTGTTATCACTTTAAAATATTTGTACAGACTGACAATTTTTTTTCCCACACTTTAAATAAAAGGGACACCTCACTGCCCAAATAAAAATCAGTGTTTAGTGAACATACCCACAATAAAGACATGCATGCATTTAATTATGCATTTTGTTATTGGGGTAATTCTGTCTGCTGCGTTTGCAAACCCTCCCCTTTTAACCGCACCCAGACATTCTGTGGCTGTCCAATCACAGACTTTCTAATGCAGCTCAATGAGAAGTCTTTGCAAGGCAGGTGCTCTGGGCAATTGCTGCCTCTTGAGTTTAGCTCCACTGAGCTAACCAAACTAGGAAGTAACAGAACCTGTTGTCTGCTTGAAAGTAGGGGGAGGGGACGCGTCACACATAAAGCGTTTTCAGCAAGCTAACATGCTTTAGGGGTCTGGATTGTCCCTTTAAGCCAAATTTCAAACTGTGACATGAAAAAACTGTAGAATTAAAGAATTTCTATGAGTTCTGCTAATATGGTTATTTTTTGCAACTTGGCAGTCAAACAACTGTTTATTAAATAGGCCCCTAACCTAAAATAAAGTCAATAAATAATTATATTTGGTTATGATGTGCAAGACATTGTTGTAAGACTATGTTATTTATGGCTGTATTATGTGACCAAACCTCCAGATTCAACTTAGATCGGTGTTTTATATGTAATCTTTATAGTTTATCAACTGTTATTCATTAAATTAGTATATACTTTCAGTGGGTTACACTGCTAACATTTAGGTGTTTTATATGAAATTGCTATGAAGGTTGTAGTTTTATAAGGACGTACCTTGCAGCCAATCACGAAAATAATGCAGCCACATTCTGGGAAGCTGTTTGTCTCCCTCCAATAAGACATACTTAACGTCGGCGAAGCTTTTGTGAAGGTCGTATAGCAAATGCTGGATCCGGGGATAATCTGCTTTCTGTGTCACCACATACATGTTGTAGAATGAGAAGTATTTAAACTGTGCTGCAATAAAGTCATATTCTCTGGTCTCCCGAGGTACAATGTCTGTTAGATCAAGACCATCCCTTACTCGAGTGGTGCCATAGAGGCTGATGCCAAGCAAAGCCAAGAAGTAAAATATAACAATAACCTATGGAGAACAGAAAATCAAATGACACCTTATAAATTCAGATGAACAAAGTAGAAACAGAGGATCATAACAAAATGTGAAATATTTTTTATTCAGTGCAGAAGCAAATATCTGAGGATATAAAGTTCTAGTCTGTTCATATAATTACAAACATAATCTCTGATCAACTTTTGTTGATTGTGCATAGAATTTAATTCAATATGTCGATAATCTCATTGTCCTGAAAACGGAGAAAGTAATACACACAAAAATGGAAGAAATAAAACTAAAAAAATTAAAGTTTATGTATAAAACACTTGCTAGAGTAAACAGATATAATATAATTTTACATGCATTGGGTAGATGCATGTGGGGGTAGAAATACAGAAATAAATCGTAAATGTAGTCCCACCACCTCCCCCAAGAAAAAACGTATACTGACCTTTGTTTTTGGTTTTAGCAAGAAAGGGGCATAGTGCTTCTCTGCAAATGATGAAAGGGTCCACTTTGAACAGGGAGGTTCTATACAGTGCAAGCCTGCCTCGGAGAACTGGGAAAGAAGGTCTCGAGTGGAACTAGTGCTCTCTGGGTTCGGTGGACTCACTTCCTGTGGTGCAGAAACGGCTGGTTGCACAGAAATTTCAGATCGTGGTTCTGCTGTAGTGTAGTATGACTGAGTACGTGGGTCATACTCTGTGCGCAATTGTACAGTTGACTGCATCGTGATTTGCGTTTCATGGGCGAAGCTGTGACTGCTGTAAGGTGGAGGAGGGCTGTAGCGCGTATTTTCATTATTGTCTGTATAAGCCTGGGGTTCAATCTGAATCACTCTGCTGACACAGGGACTAGAATGCAAAAAGTGATAGCCCTTGTTAATTTGCTATACTCTTAAAACCCAAGGTAAGTGTTCTGCAAAATAAACTGCCATTTTAAAAGAAAGATTTCCACACTTAAATATTCCTGAATTCCACAAAATTCTATTTCATTTGTGGCCACTACTCTGTAATTATTTTTTTACATAAGTGAGCACCATTTTTCATTGTGGAAATGACTGGCATACGACAAAACTCAAAGCAGATCAGGGAATTAGGTATCTGTATGTAAATTCAGGCAAACACTCTTTAGTACATGTAGCAAGATAGCCACTGAGAAGTAAAAAGGCAGACAAATACATTACTTCCTGGAATATTACACTCACTCTAACAAATAAGATGCTTTCAGCAGCCATGTCGTTTCTTTTTTCTAAAATGATCTCACAACTTGTAATCTCCTAGTAAACTTCAGAATGAATATTATCCAAAAAGATTGACAGACATTTATAGTAACAATTATTTACACAGATACAGACTACTAGGGATGACATGGATTTAGACTTGAGGGAAAAACAATGGGACTGAGGTTTGTGCTTTAGATTGTGCTGAATCCTTAACTGAACAGTAACGCCCAGTAGGACTAAATACCAAAGAGGAGCGTTTTAATTTAAAGGGATTATGGTCTTCATTGCAAAAAAAATAAAAATCTTAGAAAGCCTGTAATCATGGTGACTGGTTCACCAAAAGGTGCTATCCTGTAGAGGATGCCTGAAAAATGAGGTCATCACATCTGCAGAGATTTAAAGGGGTCAAAATCACACCCTATCAGATATGTTTTTTTCCAACCTGAAAATCATTCCTGAAGTATAAAGAAAGCTAATTGCGGTTTTATTGACTACATTTTGTCCACGAAAGTAAAAATGTGTGTAAGTATTTTTTTGTAGATAACTAGTGAAGACGTTTCTGAATTTTGTAGATTTTTCATTCTTGAGATTTGTTAGTGAGAAACAAGATTTAAACAAGGCCAATGCTCAATCTTACAAAAAATATATAATTTCTTTTTTAAAAAGCACATTATTATTTCAGCTTTGTTATTATGAATATTTACCTGCTGAAACAGCAAAAGATGTCAAGTCTGCGATCTCTCCTTCGGTAAAGGTCCATGCTTAGAATAGCGGGGAATATCAACAGCACCATGGCAAAATTAAACACCACAACAACAGCAGCCTAAAAATGAGATGGGAGAAATGTTAGGCAGATATAGAGTAAGGCAGTGTATGTGTAAAGGGCAACTGTTGGAGCAAAGTTAAAATATGTCATTATCGAGAACATTTCACACTTTTTGTACCTTGATTAAAAAATATAAAGTGTGTTAACTGTGACATCCTGCTGCTCATAAAATGAAACTTAACCGCCTATTTCCCGTTCCCCCCACACTAATACTCCTATTTCTAATACTGCACAAGCACCCACTTGCAGTGCTTTACTTTTACATCTATCTACTGCCACTATTATCAGTGATCCAATTAGAGTATAAAAAAAACAAAACAAAAACCCACTAAATTTCTGGGCCCAATCACCAAGTGTATGATTCTATTCACACAATAAATAAAGACTATAAGATCAGCGTACAGGTAAAACCAATCTATAAATCAGAATTTCTTCATGATTGCATTCTAAATCCTTCTTGGCATTAAAAAAATTATCTGGATGGGAAAAAAAGCACTGCTGTAAATTTTGTTCCTTTCATTCCATTTGTATCACTGCTTCAGCACAAAAAAGTCATTTTTTAACATAATATATTGAGAAAGTTGTAAACTCAAGACTCTGCTGTACAAGGGTCGGTTGAAATCTACTAGACTATACAAGATATCTTCCTATTTAGACATATTTAGGCCTCTGCAAGCTTTCAGAGCATCCACTGTTTGAAAATATGAAGGCTGCTGCCTGTAACTGATGTCAAGAGAAGAATGGGAAGTCTGTGTTAGAGTTAACCAGGGAAAACTAACAGGTCTGCTCAGATGGGGCCCAGCCCAAGGTATGTATGTTTTCTTTGCCATTCCTGGCAGCCCACACAGAGAGAGAGTGTGGGTGACCTTCATAGCTTGAGGTGATGAGCAGATGAGAAGGTCTGTCAGCCAGAGCTGCACACTTTAGCAGCTGCCCATCTTCAATTGCCTTCTTTGGCCTATTATTGTGCAAATCCGCTTCTGGTCCAATACACTACTGCAGTCTTACCTATTATCTATAGATTATACATGCAGGCAGAGGTTAAGAAAGGTTATGGGCTATGCTTAGGGGAATATCTTAAAAAGTAGTTTTTTTACTTTCTCAAAAGGCCTGGGCATCAATATTGTTTATTTAGCCATTAAATAATGTAGCTTAAAGAAAATATATATATATATAAAAAAAAAATCAACATCATTCCCAAGTCCCCAAAATATATTAGAAATAATTCTGAATAAAAAAAATTGTTAACCAAAGCTATAATAATTCTTTATATTTTGTGTTACTATGATTTTGTTAAAATACAAAAATAGGATGTAAAAAGAATTAGGAGAAAGGTGGACATATAAGGACAGTAATTATGTTTTTGGGTTTTGCCTCACATGCAGCTCAGCTTAAATCTGCTCAGGTAAACTCGTAAGACAAAAGAGTTAATCCTTAGTGTCAGCAGGAGTATCTTTAATTGACAAATCTTCCTTCACAAGCCAAAAAAAGCTATCATATAGGTTATTAGGTTAGCTTTCATTTAGCATAAAGTTACGGATTGTTCCCTTACTTGTAAGGAGAATGCCCGGAGTGCAGGAATTGGTATTAGAGCAGCCATGAAAAATGCTGTCACATTGCTGATGGAAGTCAAGGCAACACTCGCTCCAGTTCTCTTTAGACATTCACCAGTCCTATCCTGGGAGAAAGAGAAAAAAACATAGATTGCATGACGCACAATAAAAAAGAATCCAACATACATCAAAAAAGGATTGGAGCTCATAGATATTATAAACAGAATATAGGTACATAACTCAAAGAGGAATATGTAAATGATACATGAATGTAAAAAAAGGTGAATTGATTCATACACAGTGGTCATGGTGAGCCACATGGCAGGTTTCACTGCAATGTCTCTTTACCTAGCCAGTACCTCCACAAATTTAAATAGTTTATGTACCGCATGAAGGATTTAGACATATTTCCATTCTTTTTATACTGTGAAAAATATGGGTTAAAATTTACTGGGAAACATGATTAATATAGTGCACAAATGTGTACATGGCGAAATGTTTTCAAGTAAGAAAAAGCATCCAGATCTACCAGGGAGAAATATTCCTGCAGCGTGGAAGTATAGCGCACCATTTTCCATTAATTAAACAATACTAGTAACTCACTGGGAAGTCTATTAATGAAAAAAGCCATTCATCAAATGCAGTCTTGACAACATTTCCAGGGCATATTGCAAAATAGATAGCAAATGTTTTGTTTTCAGCTATTCATTTTTATTATTATTATTATTTTTTTTTTTATCGAATTGCTTCCAATGCCCAAGGACAAACACATTTTTGTATTTCTGAGGCATTGCAGGTATAGGGCATCCAGGGTTTATAGACTCAATGATAAACGTATTTTATAATGTGCCTTGAAGACAAAATACCTGTGAAAACAAAAGGCTTTATTTTTTTTTCTTAAATATTTGTAATTACCTCAAATGGAATCCTTTTATTCTGGCCAGTTTCACTAAATGTGTGTGCCAACAGAAAGACATCATCTACACCAACCCCCAGAGCAAGAAAAGGCAAAACCTGGTGGGAATAAGGCAGGCAATCAGCACCCATCATGCATTTGGCTGTCTGAGAATGACTTCCATGTACTCGTTTCTACTGGGATATTTTTTAATACATACTGCTCTTACATGGATTCATCATAACCTGCATTTTTTATTTAAAAGTAATACCTGAGTTGTTGCAGCATTAAAGGAAATTCCAATCAATGAACACAGGCCCAATCCTGCAGCTACTGAAAGCGCAACCAACAAGACTCCAGCCAACCCTACGGCACCCTGGGACTTGGCACAGTCCCATCTCAGCATGGTTAAACAGGCATAGGCAAGCTGCAAATAGAACAGTAGGAAACAAAAAGCATATGTCTTTTAGGAGGCACCAAGTCACCCCAAAACACCCCAAACACTATGTAAATATCTAATGATGTAGTCCTTCCCAACATGCATGTCCCACCATCCAATGTTCATTCCCCATGAATTCCTCCAACCCAGAGACCTTGACTCACCATTAGTAGGTAGCCACTAGCAACTCGGATAACGCTCACATCAGAGAAGGATTTCAAAATGTCATCCAGTGTAGTCGTGGTAAAGGAAAGAACTTTCTGGGTGGAGTTTTGTGCAACACTTTGATGTACAACCTAGTGGCAGAGTACAACAATTCTATTTCAGGATGAGTAAATAGGGAAATCATCAAGTAGCATCAAAACAAAGCTAAAAAAAAAAAACAACAAATACACACACAAAAAAACAACAACATACAAACCCTAAAATGTCCCTTTATAAATAATAGGTTGCTAATTTTCCCAACATATTGCAGAGCCCTTCACACATCGGAAATCGGAAAATGATTTAATTCAAAAACAAACAAAAGTTTGTGAATGAGCTCTGTGCTTTGCTGCCAAGTTATGTTATTAAAGCAGCCAAGAAAAGAAAGAGTTAAAGAAAAAAAAGTGTTCTTACAGATTTGTTGAACAGCATCACATTGAGGCAAATAGCGTGTCACCATTCATCCCAATATGCTTGACTGCGGTGGCATTACTCAAGAATGGGTGTAATGAATTCAGGGGATGCTTTTGTTTTTAATTGGTTGACTGACTCACAGAGGTCACATGCAACTCAACAGAGGTCAGTGCCTGGGAAACAAAGGCCACAGAAATGTCACATGACCTCACCAATGGGAGTGCAGCTGTAAACAGATTCTTTGGTGCACTAATGTGTTCCAGACACCTTGCAAGTCACACTTCTAGGTTTTTTTTCAGCTCTCTTATCCTTTGCCTACATCACAGGGTAGGAAATATCACCTTAGCAAAGTACTTTAACGAAAGTAAAAAAACAAAAACCTTTTGCGCCATCAAAAATGGCTATTACAGAACAAAGATCAAATCATTTCCTTGTAAACATATGATATATTTGTAGTGCCCTTGGGATATTGTTATGAGTTTGCTTTAAATTCCCTTGTAGCTGCTGGGTTTTCTGGGTGTCCACCAACAATGGTATCCCCTTTCAGGGTCACCCACTGCCAATTGCAGTCTCTTTTAAATAGGCTTGGCTTTATAATGGATCCCCAAGCTTAGTCTGTGGCTGTTAGCATAACACTGTCACGTTAGAGTAATGTTGTCAGACAAAACAGCCCAACAATGAGACCAGGAGCCTAGGAGTTCAGTATGGAGCAAGACCCTGAGGTATGGAAGACTTCACTTCAATGGGACCGTTTTCACCTCTGGGTCTGGAGATACAATGGGGATTTTTCAAGGCAAAACATATACTATTTTGGATGCAAAGGACTAAAGATCTCCATGGAGGTTGTTCCTTATTTAGTTTTTTGCCAGAAAATAGCACCTGTTTTAGCCTATATATTTACCATAATAATTAAATTTGGCTGAGTTATTATTATCCACTCTTGAGATGGTAACAAAACTTCCAATTAATTAGATAACCCGGTGTCCAATACAGTTTTTATGCAGATACCCAATTGCTCATATCACTAACATCAATTACTAATGGCACTAACATCTACAACATCTCTATGAAAAACTGAAAGGAAAAAGGCCACATATGTGTACATATGTAATTCCAAAACACATGCCGCTACCATGTTTACTTGCACATACGTATCCTGCTAGACCCATATAAATATATGCACAATATCATGTGATTAGATGATATGATTTAGGCCACGTCTACCTGAACATAAGTCCGTTGCCATGCCTCCAAGATTGCTGCTGCTTTGTCTTCATTCCAATTTATATTAGCAACGTCTTCATACTCCTTGAAGTGCTCATACATTTGTTTAGGTGTCATTAACTGAAACATGGTTTGCAATGCCTGGGCACTGCAGCAGAAAAAAAAAATTATGTAAAAATCATAACTGAATAAAGCGAAAAGGTTACGTTTAATATTAGATCTCTCTTTATAGGGAAGATGTAGGGAGACTGTGCACGTCACATGCAGGTAGGTGTGTCTACGGCTGCATAAACAAAGTGATTTAACTCCTATATGGAAGAAAATTGAGCAGTTAGACTGCAGGGGCATGATCTATACACCAATACCTCTATATTAAGTTAAAGTTGCTTAGGTGCTTATAGTGTTCCTACAATTTCAATAAATATTTATGGATTAGACGGGAGTCATATTTAATGTAGATTAACATTTTGCTGTGTATGCGTGTTACTTGTCTTTAATTCACATCACAGATAGTTTGGTTTTCCTAGGGAATATGCCAGACTAAACTCTTGACATACAGCAGGAATGTGTAAGGTATACAAAAGTATATATTGTTTAAACAGAAATACCCCTATACTACACCATTATATTACCGGTATAAGCAATATAGTTCTCAATACTCATTGCACATGCAATTGTAATTCATTAAACGTGCAAACCATAAAGGTATACTCATACATACAAAGCGATCCTTGCTACAAAAAATAAAATTTAAATTTAAAATTGTATAACAGAAAAACTGGGGGGGGGGGAGGGAAGTACAATTAAACATGGAACTTATTTTTTTTAGATCAGATGTGTTAGATGGTTGATTATAAACCTACAGCTAACAGAGAATTTGGAAATATGTTTGTTCAATACAATATTTAAATAATGCCAATAGTTTTGTTTGTAGACCATGTAAATTAGAGGTTTAACATAATACTATATGTTTACTACTGTTTTGTATGATATTCTGACTATTTTAATACTTTACTTCCATCTTTCATCAAGTTAATTGATATATTATTATTATATTATTTTTATATTGCTTGCAAATTCCGTAGCGCTGTACATATATGAAAATACTTAATTCTGGAACACAGATATTAGGTGGTGCCTTTGTGGATGCTTCTTGTCTATCTTCATGATCCAAACTTGTGCCACAATATAACATGCAAATATTACCAGCTAATTCAATAACAGGTTGTATGGGTTAGAATGTGTAGCTTCATTTGCCCTATACATCCATATACAGACAAACCACCATCAAGTTAAAGAAACACAAACATGTATTCCTAATGCTAGAGTGTTTTATACTAACTATTTTGATTATCAGGCACCCATCAATAAAGTTAGATAGAGTGATTTACTTATCATATATCCTCTGGCGTGCTAGGCTCCCCAGAGCTGCCACTCCTCCACTGGGTGAGATCACCAGTACTAACCACTAGTCATAAATATATCAAGGATCAAAATTTCTATTTACCACTGGCAAACACAAACTTAGCCTGGAGGTGTCAAAATCTACTCCTGGAGAGATTATAGCTTGCAGTGGTGAATAACGTTTAAGATATGTCTGGTTGCAAAGGACTTCAAATGTTAAGTCATGAATATATAACACACTACAGGTATAATGAATATGTCAAAGCTAATAGCTGCCCATTGTAACTATACTCCAGGATCCTAGATTATACTTGTTAAAATGACAATGTAATTTTTTAATACAATTACCTGACAAGTTTTCCGCTTGCATTCTTAACAGTACCACCAATGATCAGTTCCTCCTGCCAGTGCATGTACTTTCTCGAAAGACCATAGCATCCACCACTTAAAACCAGGGCAACATCCAGAGGCTATTTGTTTTTCCATTTTTAATAAAAGTATCAATGGGTGACCAAAAAGGAGAGAAATAAACATTAAAACACACAATTAGGTTTCTATATTTGGTTGAAAGTAATGTTAAGTGAATATCAATTTTAAATTTTGCTTTATACTCACGTTAGTTGAATTTTTATTGGGAGCAGAGCTTGGGCAGTCCAAATCTGATGGGTTAAGGCAAGGGCGGTCCATATAGCCATGACCCACCTCTGCCTTAGTTAACATTTCTTCCCAGGTGTCTACTTGAAACTTTTCGCCCCTTAACTCCTCCAGGAACTCCATAGGGTCAAAGTTTGTCCACTGTAAAGTTGGTTTACCTCTATGAAGAAAATTAATGCAATACATTTAGCCCCCCAAAAATTATTTTACATAGGTACGCAAACATTTACACACTGACCCATAGAAACTGGGGAAAATGTCACAACACAAAGTAAATAAATTGATCAGTTCCTGATTTTGCATGACATTTGTCACTAATGCCAGTTATTCTTTACAGGAAGACACCAGTGATCACATGTGATTTTAGTAAACTTTTGTATCAAAATGCACTTAGATGAATCAGTAGTGAAGGTCAAATGTTAAATTTATACTTTTGTTTTTTGTTCTTAGGGAAGACAGACTCTCTCTGAGCATGGTTACTTACCTTATCCTACCATCCGATTGTTGCAACCACTGCATATAGGCTCAAGAAAATTGATAGTCAGAGACATAAGACATGTTGGCAGCCACGTTTTGTGGGTTTTAGCCAAACTAAATTTGACCGAGCAAGTGTGAGTCATATTGTAGGTCTCCCAAGTAGAAAAACAAATAACATTTCATTCCCCACCCAGAACAGTATGCAATGGGTAGTGGAGAACCACCATAAATAGTTTTTTCAGAAATATGAAAACCAGAGGAAGAACAATTATGTAACATTAACTCCTATCATCATTACCCGAACAATCTTGACAACTACATAAATTAACACTGTGTAAATGACTGTGAACTATAAAAGTTTCTTAAATAAGTGGAACCACATTAAGAAGAATGCTCAATACTTGTTTTAATGAAACCAATTAAATTCTTCTTGATCACAGATGCTTTACGATAGGTACATTATAATATTGATAGTCCAAGGTGGAAAATTAATATGCACACATGCCCGTAAAATGTTTTCAATGGAGGGAGAGAGGCAAGATATCCAGAAATTAACACACGTCAAATTTTGAAGGTACATTTAAGAAAAAAATAACACATGCTTACGGTAGATAGGCCCTTCCAGAATGAAGTTTTGCTCCTTCCCAAAAGCAGTCCAAAGGTGTGATAATTAAACAGGGATATAAAGATTCTATAAACTGTAAAAGAGATTTAGATAAAAATTTAGATCCAGGGACTGCTACAGAATAGAGGTGTTTTGTGTGTCATTTATACTTGACCTACACGGCTCATATAACTTTCAGTGATGAGTTCTCCTGATTTAAAACATAATTCTTCTAGCTTCCATTTCCTAAAAAATAAATACATAAATAATGCTCAATATCATATTTATAATAAAATATAAATTTCATTCTTGCATGCAATAAGTATAGACATTTTTCAAATGAAAAGTATTATAATTGACTGTAAAAAAGTGCAAAGTCCCATTACCAAATAAAAGGATTATTTTTAATAAAGTACTAAACTCAGTATTACAGTGAAAATCAGAAGAGTAGAAATTCATAGTTTACAGTCTGAAATCTAGTCTTGCTCTTAAAAACAAAACCCTTGTAACAAATATGGTTGAAGTTTCCATTGTATATCCTTTCAACTCGAATCTAGTTCATGTGCTACTTATACCGGATTGGGATCTGGGAACTCTTATTGGATGCACACACCTTAGGCTTCCTGTGTAGCCAATAAGACATCACCAGAGAGGTTTGTACTTTCAAAGGTCACCTGGGTTATCTTCAAATGCAAAACGGGATGCTGGGGTTTTTCCTTTTTAAAATTAAAATGAGTTCATAATTATTTGTTTTCTCAAATGTGAATCATGTTGTGTACTTGTACTTGTATAACAAACAAAATAAAAAATATATACATTATTTAGAGCTTATTAGTTGTTCAAGTAGACAGATTAGATGGACGACTCTAGCAAGACTATTTGTTTACTTCTAATTTAAAATATGTCAAAAATCTAATTAAAATTTTCTCTGATCAACATGGTAATAAAGAAAACATAAAGGATGTGGGAAAATAAGGAGAAACTCAGAGAGTGCAGAAAGATGATGGCTTCACTAATGCATGCAATGGTATGACATAACAATACTGTAATTAAAAGGTAGAGAGGTATTTTCTTAAGATTTGACATTTACTTGTTGTACATGAGGACTTGCACCTTGGTGGCTTCAAGTGCTGAATGAAGATGTTGTTTCAAAGCTTTTGTTGTAAGAATATTGGCACCATTTTCTAGAGGGGTCTGGATCATAAGCTGTGGGTTAAACATGGCTTCCTCTCCAATCTTCTGACGGGTGTAATTAAGTTCTCGGCTAACTCTGCCCCCAACTGGTAAATAAAAAATAAAAAGACAACATTGTTATGTTAGTATTTCAGAGAATACAAAAAACATTGAACTGAATGATTTGTACATATTAGTTAGAGGTTATCATGAAATCCTTTGTGTGACCTTCACACTAAACAAGCTCTTCAGTAAAAAAATAAATGAATAAATGTACGAAAGTTTAATTTTACTTGGAGTTTATTTTCCATCTCCCCCCCCTCTCAATATAGAGCTTCCATATGGAGAAACTAAATCACTTGAGGAAGGTTTTCCTTGCAAAGCAGTCTGAAAATTTCTTGTACAATTTCTTGCACTTGTATAAACAGTCTGGCCCAATTGCACATTTCACGATCAATGGTATTTATATACAGACTCCCACGAAAAATAAAATAAAAATATTGGCAGCATGAAAGTAGCTTTCCTTTACACAAACATTACAAAAGGTGGGCTTGACATAAAGAAAGAACGAAAAAAAAAAAAGAAATCTCAAATACTTCATAGTTTGCAAGAATACTATAGAAATCATGCCAAAATGAAATGCTAGAGAAAGCTAAGCAAATCTAGGGGCCCCATTCTGAGTGAACTAATGTACACAATGAAGCCAACGAGGAGAAGGTATCACTACATTTTTAACAATCACCCCCCTCCCCCTCCTCTTGTAAATTTCCTTTAACAGCATTCCATAGTTTTCAATTTAATAAAGTGTCAATTTACAGGAGTGCTGTGGATTTCCCTTATTTGCATGTACTTGCAACTTATGTTGTTTTCCAGATCTGAGCAGGGCCTTATAATGATTAAATCCAGATAGGTCACAGTGTCTATCATTACAGGAATAAGAAGTGATAATAGGTCCTTTACAAAGAAGTTGTGTGTGGTGAATGCAGTATAATTATAGGATGATTTTCTTGAGCTACAGGTGTAGTAAGGTGTATCATCATACTGGAATAACTCAGAATCCATAGGATTGTTCACCAGGAGGAAATTATGCTACTACCACATATTTCAAGCTCTATAATGCCAGAAAAGGCATTCACAAGCCAGAATAAAGTCACCCAGACCACTTTATCTCAATTAAGTGGCCCGGGGGCATTGGTTCTGTATGTTTAACCATTCAAGGTAGAACATTACCGTTTTGCAGAAAGGGCAATGTTTATCTTGAAGTGCCAAACATGCCTCTAGTGGCTGTCATGCTGACAGCCACTAGGGGCACTGCCGCTGCACATGATGCTGCTGCTCATAGCAAAGATAGCAAAAAAAAATATTGGATGCATATGTCACGCATGAGGTCCCCAATTTGAGGAGTACTGAATCAGCCATCAGCCACGCCTGCTTGATGACATCGAGAGAGGAGGATAGGTAAGCAGTGTTGAGGGTGGATGGTGCGACCATACATAAAGACACTAAAATACCAGTTAGATGCATGTCTAGTCTCTTTCTATTCTAGAACTAGGAGTCAGGTCTGTGATTTTTCAATTGGAACTCAAACTATCATTTCACCTTGATGGTTGGAACACCCATTGATGCAGTGAGAGTATGCTGCCACAAGGCCAAGCAACCAAGGCAGTGGTATCAAACATGGAAGCCAGTTGGCATATTGCATTGTGGGTCATAATAGGACAGGAATTCCCCCCACCCCCTTTTTTTAAAAAGCTCTCATGCTCCCTAAATTTCAAGAGAATAGAATTTGTGCACTATGAACATTTGCACCTAAAGATATATATTTTTTAAAGTGAGCAATTCCTTTATCCATGTCTCGATTACATCATATGAGGGTACTACTTGAGTCATATGAGGGTTCTACATTTTTACATTCTACTCTTTCTTCTATGAAGAAGAATGAAACACAATACAAATGATAACTTCTAAGAATTTGCGAGATCATGGTGCTAATATGTATAGTGATTAAGGAGGACTACAGAGTGAATGATTTTACAGATGCCTTGCTTACAACTTAATGAAGTGGTCTGGGTGCCAGGTCCCTCTAGTTTTAACCCTGCAGCTGTAAACATAGCAGTTTCGGAAAAACTGCTATGTTTACACTGAGGGTTAAATCCAGCCTCTAGTTGCTGCCTCCCTGACAGCCACTAGAGGCCACTTCCGCGATTCTAACTGCGAAAATCACAGTGAGAAGATGCTGGACGTCCATAGGAAAGCATTGAGTAATTTGAATGCCCATTCGGCACTGACGTCGGCAGGAGGAGCAGAGGTCGCCAGCGCAGAGGAAGCCCGGCGCTGGAGAAAGGTAAGAGGCTGAAGGGGGGCCATGAGGGTGGAGGGGACCTATTAACCCTATAGTGGCAGGAAAAGGAGTTTGTTTTCCTGGTACTATAGTGGTCCTTTAACTCAAAATTGGCATGTCACCTTTTCACCAAGAAAGCTGTGCTTTGCAAAAAAACACAAAAAAAACCCACAATGCTATAGATTTAACGTTATTTACTAAAGTGAGAAAACTACTAAAAAAATTTAAATTCCCAATAATTCTAATTTTAGTAAATTATTAAGCATATAATTTTTATATGAACCCAAAGAACTCTACTACTGGTAGAAAACAATATGATGGCAGCTGGAGGGAAAAGGATAATCTTAGCTTTAACAAATGTACTCAACCAGTAATGGTTTAGATTTTTCTGCTGTAGATAATATGAATATTCCAGGTGGGGCTTCAAATGCTTAGGTTGCCTAATTCCATAATGAGTAAAGAGCATCTGTGAACATTTTCAAAATCCTACACAGAAAGCTTTGGACTTTATAGGTGATAAAATTGTAGAATAGTACAAGGGCACTCCAGGCACCATAAATACTACAGTGGGCTGTAATTGTTATGGTGCTTTATGTGTTCCTTATAAATGGAAGACCTTAAAATTAAAAAAAAAAAGTCTGAGGTTATGTAAAGAAAGAACATGAAAATCATGGTGCTGGCATGCTTGCTGGCAAAAAAAAGTTATGAATTTATTTGGCGAAATCATTATGAGTTTTTCCAAAGGAAAAATTGATGAAAAACGGAGATGAGCTGTAAAGATGAACTAATGCCTTTAGGTAACACACTAAACATTTCACTAATGTAATGTAATTGTCAATCGTGCTATTAGCAGTCATTGTTAGCGAGAAAGAAATTAAAGGGACAGTAACACATACAAATTGTTAGTATGCATTTAAATATACTCTACAAGATATGGCATGTAAAATCTTCATAAGGTAATAAGTACCATAAAAATCTCACAAACGTCAGGAAAAAATAAAAAGAGATTCAGACACAGGGTCCTGCAATCCAGCACTGGGACAAACTTCTCACTGCAGCCCAATCATACTACTGTGAGATCATGAAACTTAATGACCTATGTCCAATCAATGCCTCTTATAAAGAAGCACTGCGTACATACTACGCATGTACAGCAATTGCCACCTATGCAATGCATTTAATTCTGCCCTAGACACACACCCAGCAACTTGTGTTAGCAAAGTTTACAATAGAATCAATTATTGAATCTTTAGACCAAGTCACCTAGAGGCTGTCTATCGGGCAGCCACTTAGGGCCCTAGAATGGCTAAATGTAAAGCCGTGCCATTTGTCACTGTTTTCATCTGCAAGGCTGCAGGAGCAGCATCTATATCCCAAAATCATCAGGATTAAGAGTGTCTCTTTAAAATGTTTTTAAAACCATTACATGACAGAAAAATACAGTGCAAATATCGTTCCTTCTGTAAGAGAATTTTATTGCGTCTGGAAAACGCAGACCGCGAGCCAGACACGTATGGATTAAGAAGGAAATCCTGACCTGACATGTAATAAGTAGAAAATTGGTTTTTAAATTTCATTGCTTTATTAACTATTATTGTTTTTACTGAACTTCTTTCTGTGAGTATACTACTTTTGAAGTATCTATTTAAATGGAAACCAATAAAAGCTATTTAGAATTGAGTATATCATGCTCAGAGAAAAATAATATAGAATTGTTTGTGAATTGTGTTTACCAAGATAACCAGGTAAGCATTAGGGGAAATATAGTTCACAAACGTCTGCAAAGGCAGACTTTATAGGAATCAGAATCACTGGAGCTGGTCACACCAGTGGTTGCCTACCTTACCATTGGTTTATGGCATTCCAATCAGGGATTTGCTGCTCATATTGCTGGCATGAAGGCTCACGCCACAGCCATGTTAGGCTAGCCACCATGGAAACAATAACAAAATTAGAATAGTTTTTCTAGAAACCATGGAAAACCTACACCATGACCTTTAAAAGGGTCATTTTCTAAAACACTACATCTGCTTCTGAAAAGTCTAGCTTGTTTGCCTCACACTGGACCATCAGGTAAACTGCAGTTTTTCTATGTAAGCGTACCTAGAACATATGCACTGCAGACATCATCATAATGTCAATACAAAACATGAGCTCAGTTGTCCTGTCATATTAAAAACTGCTTATCTTCTGGTAGGACATTTGCAGTTCCTGAGAATATGTTGAGAGATTTATTCAATTTAGTGTTTATTGTCATGAATTCAAAGAAAATGTTACATTTTAGGCCAAAGTAGCCAAACTGAAAAAATTGTCAGCTAGGTTTTCAGTTTGGCAATATTGGCCTCAGATTAGAAATCCAGTTTGCATTCTAGTTGAATAACTCACAGTTGCATATTTTAGTTAACCCCTTCCCAAAGGTTAGGGCGTGCTATGCCGTCTTACAAAAGAAGGGCTTTAATGCCATTAGGGCTGCATACCACGCCCTAACGCTTGGGCCTTCCCCGCACCACAATACTCATCCTCCTTACCGGATCCGATCAGGGGGATTACCTGACGAGGTAGTTCCCCTGCGACCAATCCCGATGACACTGCAATCACATGACTCGGGTCCGCATGATTGACAGATTGCCTGCCTGGGTTGTCAGGCGGATCCCCCAACATATAACTAATAAAAGAATATAATTATACATAAATTATATATAAAATACATTTAGAATCTCTCTCTCTCTCTATATATATATACATACACACACACACATACACACACACACATATATATATATATATATATATATATATATATATATATATATATATATATACACACACACACACAATTTGATTCTAAATGTACATTATATATTATTTCTAAATCATTATATTATTTTATTAATTATATATTGAGGGACCTGCTTGACAACCCAGGCAGAAGTAACAGTAATTTAATTTGCAAGCTCATTTGACCCTGTAACTTTCCACATAAAAATCTGTACATTGGGGGTACTGATGTACTTGTGAGACATTGCTGAACACAAATATGAGTGTCTTATAGAATATAAACATATAATGATGATACCATTAGTAAAAGTGCAGTTTTTATGTGAAAACGCAAAAATCAAATATGAGCACCAACTTTAGCCAGGGTTTGTGGCTGTCTAGTAAAAATGACTGGAAATACCATTATGTATACGTATACCCTGAGTTGTCTACTTTTGCAAATGGTATGCATGATGGGGATAATTCTCTTTTCCTTGACTGCCATATAGTCTCAAAGGCAACATGGGCCCAGCAAACCAATCAGGCAAACTAAAATAGAAAAGCTGTATATTTGACAATGTAACTTTGCAAAACCCCATAAAACCTGTACATGGGAGGTACAGCAGTACTTGGGAGACCTCACTTAATACAAATATTAATTTTTAGATTAGTAAAACATATAGTGACAATGAAATTATCAGTGAAAGTCAAGGTGGATGAAAATTGATGTGTGTTGATTTAAAGGGACACTATAGTCACCAGAACAACTACAGCTTATTGAATTTGTTCTGGTGAGTAGAATCATTACCTTCAGGCTTTTTGCTGTAAACACTGTCTTTTCAGAGAAAATGCAGTGTTTACATTACAGCCTAGTGGTGGCTGTTAGAGATCCTTCCTGGGTCATGGCTGCCTAAAGTGCATCCAAACATTCAGTGTCTCCACCCTCTGCATGCAGACACTGAACCTTCCTCATGAAGATGCATTGATTCAATTCATCTCTATGAGTAGAGGCTGATTGGCCAGGGCTGTGTTTGAATCGTGCTGGCTCTGCCCCTGATCTGCCTCCTTGTCAGTCTCAGCCAATCCTATGGGGAAGCATTGTGATTGGATCAGGCTACCACTTCTGATGTCAGCAGACTGCTTGATTTTTCTTTTGACAGCACGCAGAGTTACAGCTTCAGGCTTGAATACAGTAAGATTTTGATATATTTATGGAGGCATGAGGGGCCTAGATGGTGGTTTTAACAATATAGGGTCAGGAATACATGTTTATGTTCCTGACCCTATAGTGATCCTTTAAATAAGATTCTGATTTTAATCAAAACGATTTTAATGAAATGCTATCATCGACAGTATTACATTACAAAGTTTAAAAAAACAACAGATGGGACAAGCACGGTCTCCAGCCCATTTTCTTGCAAATATTGTCAATGTCCGGTACGAGGGGACAAACCTTAAAAGGACACTATTGTCACCAGAACAACTAAAGCTTAATGTACTTGTTCTGGTGACTATAGTATGTCTCTGTAGGTAGGCTTTTTAATGTAAACACTGCCTTTACAGAGAAAAGGCAGTGTTTTCATTACTGCCTAGTAACACCTCTGAGCCATTGAGGTGCTTCCTGGGTCAGTGCTGCACTGATAGTCAGCATCTCCGTGCTCGGCATGAACTTTATGAACTTTCCCCATTGATTGATTCAATGCACCTCTATGAGAAGATGCGGGTTGACGCAGCGTGGCGTTTGGATGAGCATTCGCGGTAGCCTTCAGTGGATTGGCTGAGATCGTCAAAAGATCATCAACTTTTGTCCAATCCCAGCAGGTTTTCCCAAGTAACGTGTGTGGGATTCAGGCATCGATCTATGGAAGATTCTGCTGTCTCACGGTATCCTCCATAGACCTCAGTGTTGTACACTTGGCACGGCGCCGGAGGTAAAATATGCAAACCTAGAAAGTGGCAGATAAACATTTTACTTATATTAATTTCTATCCATCACAGTTATATATAAGTAGGAAATACTAATACAAATAAGGCGCATAATTTGTGGCATTTTTAGACAATGGGCGGAGCTTACGCAAAGTTCCATTTCAGTTGCTAAGATATTCTGCCCACAATTCATCAGTCAAAAGAATCCCACAGAAGTCAAACAGTAAACATCATGGACAGATGAGAACAAAATGGCAGTGCTCGGATATTAAAGGACCACTATAGTGCCAGGAAAACATACTAGTTTTCCTGGCACTATAGTGCCCTGAGGGTGCCCCCACCCTCAGGGACCCCCTCCTGCCGGGCTCTGGGGAGAGGAAGGGGTTAAACTTACCTTTTTCTCCAGGGCCGGGCGGGGAACTCTCCTCCTCCTCTCCGCCTCCTCTTCGGCTGACTGCGCATGCGCGGCAAGAGCTGTGCGCGCATTCAGCCAGTCCACAGGAAAGCATTCATAATGCTTTCCTATGGACGCTTGCGTCTTCTCACTGTGATTTTCACAGTGAGAAGCACGCAAACGCCTCTAGCGGCTGTCAATGAGACAGCCACTAGAGGCTTTAGAGGCTGGATTAACCCATTTATAAACATAGCAGTTTCTCTGAAACTGCTGTGTTTATAAAAAAAAAAGGGTTAATCCTAGAGGGACCAGGCACCCAGACCACTTCATTAAGCTGAAGTGGTCTGGGTGCCTATAGTGGTCCTTTAATAACCAGCTGAAGATAGAAACAATAAAAAAAAATTAAAAAGGCAAGTGGAAATAGGTGTAATCATTAGGACAGAAGGCGCATAAAGAAAGGAAAACAGAGAAAAAAAAACATGACAGTGCAGCTTTAAGGCATATAGTCACTGTGTTGGTTTTCTACATTAAAGGAAATTAATTTGCTATAGGTGAATGCAAACATGAATTGACATAATTTTAAGAAAGATAGGATTATACACAACGGCTTTATACACACAGGATTATACACAGCGGCTCTCAGTGGATTCTAGTTTCTATAATAAAAAAATAAAAACATATGCACTCCATTACAAATAAGTAAAAGGAAATCGAATAGGATTTGGGTGCAAAAGAAAAATACTAGGATAAATAGCTATAATCTGAGAAGTATATGAATCTAAAAATTAATTCACAAAATAAATCTTTGCAAAATTAAATCGATCAGACAGACCAGAACCCAAAACAAGAGAACAAAAAAAAAAAAACACGTCTCTCCATCGTTCCTTAGGATTCCCTGCCAGCTGCTTTTTATGCCATCTGTTGTTACCAAAAAAGTTTCCTATTGAAAGTCTTTGCAGTGAAGCAGAACTGTTCTCGGTGTCACAGACAATCAGGTCAGGTCAGAACTCTCGCGCCCCCCCCACCCTGCCTGAAAGTACTACTTGTCATGGCTCTCCAAATCTCCATATTTCTCACATGCCCACCAGCTCCAAACACAACATTGGATCTGTCACAAAGCCTATTTTTCACTGGACACTTAAATAGCTCATTCAGTATTGTGAACATACAAAACTAACAGTCAGTGGAGCCCACTTCTACCAGAGAGCTTAACAACCTTAATATTTTTTCAAATAACACCACCAATGATGTGAATTACTTTTTGCCCTACTGTCAATTAGTTGCACAAATAAATGTTCCAGACATAACCTTTCTATTTCTTTAGCACAAAAATATATTCTATGCTAAATAACACACAGTAGTACCCTGTGCAGAATAAAACATAGCACAAATACGTGCCACTAAAATTGAACATCAAGCAAAACTTGCTGACCAAACTGTTCAGAAATGTCTTTTAAACAAACAACAAAATACAACCTCAAAATCCAATACAATACCTGTTCCAAGTTTCTCAATTTGTGCGCCTACACTTCTCATGTCTCTGCTGTTAGGCTGACATCACTCTGTTCCTCTGAACAGACACCATTATGCCTCTATCTCCAATTTCATTGGCTTCCCACTTGACTCCAAATGGGGCAAAAACACAAAAGAAGCACCCGGCTCCCCAGTCAAAGTGGAAGATCACGCTGCACTGATTTGTACCAAAAACTGTTCCCTCTGCATCTGTGCAGGGAAACACACTGCAACGGGGGCTACATTCATGATTTTTGTTGCGACCAGGATTAGCTGGATTAGGAATTGATTCATAAGGACCCCCTGTGGTCATGAGGAAGTTTCATCACAAGGTCAGTGTGGTGTGAACTATATTCTGTCAACACCACTAATACAGACAGAATTAAAAAAAAAAAGTACTGGGGAAAAAAATAAAATAATCTTGCGTGAAACAAGCTTTTTACAACAAAGAGAGAAAAAAATGACAGATGTACCTTTCAACATACTCTCCATTTAAAAATTGATCTGTATTTAATGTAAAAAATACACACAAATCAGAAAAGGTCCTTTTCAATTTAGAAAGAATGTTGTGGTTTTAGGAGTCTCGGGAATCTGTGCAGCACAAAAACCACAGAGGGACATTTTGGCTCCAGTTCCAAATTTAGTTAGACAGCCAGAAAACTGTGTGACACTGACAAGCTACGATTACATTTAATTCTGTCACTTTTTGACTGGCTACAGCGTGCACCTCGAAAAAACAGCAGCTACAAACCAGGCCGCAGAGAGCAAAAATGTACATGTACAAAAATACTCCTAAATACACATACATAAAAAAATGTACAATAACCTACTTATTCTGCTCGGTAAATCTAAAAGTTTGAAATATGGCACACAAAACAAACTTGACACTTTGAGTATTTTGAAGTAAAACAGAATCAATTTTCCCTCTTTTGCTTAAAGCTCAGCTGTTCAATCAAAGCCTTATCTGTTCTTTTTCGGGCACTCTCTCTTCTCTTGCATCATTCACCAACAAGAGAAAAGGGTGTTGCCAAAAGGACACTTTGACCTGCAGCTGTAACACAATACTTTCGCACAGCCCTGTCGACCTCTGACATAAATTTTACACCGCAGCTGGCATTTACACATTTAACATTACCATATGTATAGCCCACTCTGCTAATTATGCTAATCACCTGTCTAACTCTCTGCTGCGAAAAATGGTTGTATTTAGCAGTCCAGTGCCTACCAATGCAGCTTACTGTGTGGCTGAAATGTACATTCAGACTGCCCTGAATGGCAAGATTTTTCCACGTTGCTGGCTTCATTCAGGCAACAGAAAAATTTATTCAAGTCAACTGGTTTCGGTAAGCAACAAAAGTTACGATAAAAAGTGAGTGTGTTACTGCCCTTGCACTCAAGTCTCCTTGCAGGCAAAATGATAAATCAATTGGTGTGGGAAGCAAAAATAAGAAAAGTTTGATTGCTTCATGTCATTTGAAACATTGGCAAAGTTTAATGTGTGCCTATATATTTATATTATAGGCAGTACACTCATTCATTCACATAGATTCAATCAGTGGCGTACACACAACCCATGGGGCCCCGGTGCGAAAAAACTGATCCGTACCCCCCCCCCCGGACTTACTCTGCGCAGGCCGGGGCCGCAACACATGGCGGCGGGCACCTGGTTGCAGGGGTCGTAGGGCTGCGACCCCTGCGACCGCGGTATGTACGCCAGTGCATGCAGATACACGTACACTTAAAGGATCACTACAGACACCCAGATCACATCAGCTCAATTAAGTGGTCTGGGTGCCAGGTCCCTTTAGTTTTAACCCTGTAGCTGAAAACATAGCAGTTTCAGAGAAACTGCTATGTTTCACTGAGGGTTAATCCAGCCTCTAGTGGCTGTCTCATTGACAGCTGCTAGAGGAGCTTCTGCGATTCTCACTGTGAAAATCACAATGAGAAGTCGTTGAACTTCCATAGGAAAGCATTGAGTAATGCTTTCCTATGGGCGGTTTGAAGGCGCGCGGCTCGGGGCGGAGGGATTCCCAGCGCCAAGGGAGTCCGGAACTGGAGAAGGGTAAGTGATGAAAACACACACACTCTCACGAACAGACGCATACACACTAGTTAACAGACACACACACTCAGATGACGTCATATTCCGGCTCCGGTATCAGTGCGCGGCGCGCAAGGGAGCTGAACAGGAAGCACTCAGGGGAGAGTGCTCCCTCGCACGCCCGCCAGCCAGCCAGCCCGCAGGGTGACACCAGGGCCAGCCTCGGGGGGCCCTGAGGTGGCCGGCTCCTGGGCGCCCCCAGGAGAAGAGGCTGGCCACACTGTGTACATACCGGGTCGCAGGGCAGCCGGGCCCCATGGTGGGCCGGTCAGAGCCGCGACCCCTGCGACCCTGGTATGTACGCCACTGGATTCAATGTGCAGAGTACATATTTTTGTGAGTAAAAGTAGGTCTGACCAATTCACATTAACTGGTTACCATTTACATTATTCTTGCTGGAACAGTCCTTAACATTTAGCGTTTCTATTGACTTTTTAAACGTAGAAGACAAATATATATCATTCCGATGATGTATTGTAGAAGAGCAGCACTTCAGACGGATATGTAACAAGATGGCTGCCTGTTTTTTTCTTACCTGTGTATGACCGGTCAGCTGTAACAGCCATTAAACATCTCAAAATAGGCTTGAAGTGTTAACCTGGTGACTCCATTTCTTCTGTTGGTAAATGGTTTTGAACATTCCATTGAACTCCTAATGGCATCTGTTCTGTTTATCAACACTGTACTAGCAAATTACATTGCAGCAGAGGTTGTACTTTGGAAATTAAAAATTTTTGGTGCAGTTGTAGCCTTCATTTTAGCCATGATCAGTATGACATTCTTTGACTGGTTTTCCTCTTACAGGAACAAGATTGTTATTATTATTTTTTAAAGTCCCTCTGGTGATACTGATCCACCACGGAAATGTTCAGATATTGCATATTTTGCAAACAAAAAACAGCCCTGTACCACCACCAACTTCTTTTGAGAAACCTATATCATAAGTCAAGGTATACAGATGCAATTATTTGATAGCCCTGGACTGCTTTTTTAAAATCATGTATCAGATCACTGCATTGTTACCACTGCTGCTTGTAATCTTATTGTTTAATGGTTTCTTTCTCAGAAAGGATAATCACCAACAGCAGTGGCTAAGGTGGCAATCAATAAAGGCATATGTGACCTACAAGGTAAGTCCAAATGCACTGCGACCATTAAGGTGAATAGAATTTCCTGTACAACAAATGTAAGACACAAAACATGTTAAGAATATTTTAGGCGGGAGGAAGTATGGTGCTTGTGGCTGCCATTCTCTTAAAAGCTTACTCTTCCCTGGAAAACAGAGATATTTTAGAGCCTTTACAAACACATTCTCATAATTGCATAAAAATTCAGTCAGGTTTTTAAATGAAACCCCCCAAACTTCCTCTGACTCATGATGACCTTCCCTGTGTTTGAGATTCCTTAAACATATGGTACACTCTTGGTATATAAGACTTGTTGGAGGTTACCCTCATTGGAATATAATACATCTTTAGATTGTAAACTCATGTGCTATCTAGCTAAGCACTTTCCATAAAAGAGTTTCAATGGCTAGATATCAGTTTACAGGCAGGGCCCTCTCTACCTTTTGTATTTGTCTGTGTATATTATACTTCCTCTACTAATTGTACAGCGCTGTGGAATCTGTTGGCTCTTTATAAGTACCAGTAATAAATAAAAATAAATTTCATTAAAAAGTGTATGGTCATTTTCCTGGCCCTTCTCTCCCAAATAAGTAGACTTGTTTGAACTGAATTGGTTCAACACAAATCTGGATAATTTACCTCACCTTTTGTGTTGGGTTGCTGGGCTTTAGGTAAATGGTATTTAAGAGGGCAGTATAAGCACCATCACCGCTACATAATATTGCATGGGTATGGAGTTTGTAGGCTCTTGGTGCCATCCCTCAGCTCTGGGCCAAACCGTCAGACAAAATATCCCAAGCACCTGTGGCTTAGCCCGCTCTCACCACATTGCTAATGCAATGATTCCAATTCCACAAAAACAATGTCAAAAGTGTCCATATTTAAATGGTTGTTTATTTGTGTAGTTTTCTTTGGGGATGTACTTTAATAACCCAAAGGCTATTACATATCCAATGTTTATTGGGATTAACAAAGCCAGAATACTGTGTAAAATTTGCATACTTATGAAAGCATTCATCAAAAAGTGTTGAGCTCCATGACTGTGAAGTCTACTGCAGTGGTTCTATGTCTCATAATATTGTTTACTAATTGTATTTAGTGAGGCCTTGAAAATAAAAATCATAAATTGGTAGGAAACAAGGATCAGAGTCATTTAAAAAAACAAAATTTTTAATCCGAAATAACATGTATTTTGATATTCTTCAAATAATATGTAAATATTCCTGGCACTCATGGCACTATTCATGTGATAAAAGTTATGATTTATCCAAATTAATTAGATTTTTTTATCTTTTTTGCCACTACCTACTGATATGCCCCCCTGAACACAACAGTGAGCCCTATCTTAATACATTTCATTATATGCAGCATGACTCACACCAGATTCACATGAAGGCAAAGTACATGCAATTAGAAGTAGCAGCACAGATATCGTCATAAATTGCAAGCATTTCTGCTTTTCCCAAGGTAAACTCTTTCTCTTGCATTAAGGTAACAGTGTGCTGGGAATAGCATAGTTGAAAGCAGGTAATTAATCATATACACTGTTTTATCTCATACTGCTTACAGTTACTTCAAGCCCTAAGTGAGAAAAGGGAGTTGAGCAGTTACGTCTGAGATAAATTCAGTATATGAAAATTCCAGTACCAACATTTCATCACCTCCATCTTTTTCAGTGTCCAGAGATACTTGCCTTGCAGGGCCAACCTAAAATCTGTATATAGAGCCAAACTACAGACTAGTTTAAATACAAGGGAAAACGTTTATATTGTCTGACTCTCAAGTTCAGTTGGGACAAAACAAAGCATGTAAAGGTTATATCATGGTTAGTGAGTTAATGGATCGTTATGAAAGAAAAAAACATTAAATGCAAATTGCAAGATGTGTTTGTTATAAATATTCCTTTCATAACAGTTTTAGTGTAGGACTACTATCAAAGTCGTGCTTGGAGGAAACACTTGTCATGTTTCCCTTTCAATTGAGGATGCTTACAAATGCATTTTTCAAAGCTTAGCCATGTAAAATAAAGACTAAGCAGCAAGTTTATATAATGTCACAAAAAGCAATCAAAAAAGGCAATATATTTTACCAGGCCAAACTATAAAAATTTGTACCAATGGGCCGTCTAGACAGAGTGGACCAAAACTCAGAGTAGGATTTGACAGGTAAATAATGTATTTGTTAGTAGTTACAGTTTATTGTTGCATGTACATGTTATAACGGAATCTTGAGAGATTCATCATGGGTAATTACACGAAGGAACAACGAGCAAAATAGTGGAATTTTATTGGTGTAAGATATCAGGATAGCATTGAAATTGTATGTTTTTTAGTGGAAAATCATCCTGAAATGTGGTTTCAAGACGATAGGGCTACTGTTATACGGCCAGTGCCACAACTGTCCTCCTGAGACAACTGTTCGATGAGTGGACAATTTAAATAAATTCCCAGATTAATTGGCCATCATGTTCCCAACTTTTTAGCTCCTGATTACTTCCTGTGGGGATATCTGAAGGAGAGGGTGTACATGAACAAACCAAGTACACTAGAGCAGCTCAAGGAGAATATGAGATATTTGAGCGCTAGAGCCTCAAACATGAACTTATGTTATACGCAAGGCAATTGAAAGAGCCCAACTTTGTGAGGAAGCAAATGGAGCTCATTTAAAAGAGGTCATGTTTTGTAGCTAGTCAAATAAATCTCCATACATTAAAGTATTATAGGGTCAGGAACACAAATATGTATTCCTGACCCTATAATGTTAAAACCACTATCTAGCCCCCTTTGCCTCCCTAAAGATAGTAAAATCTTACTTGTATTCACATCTGAAGCTGCTGCCTCTGCCTGTGAACTTCCTCTGACCTCTGACATCAGAAGTGGTGGCCTGATCCAATCACAATGCTTCCCCATAGGATTGGCTAAGACTGACAAGGAGGCAGAGCCAGCACAATTCAATCACAGCCCTGGCCAATCAGCATCTCCTCATATAGATAAATTGAATCAATGAATCTCTATGAGGAAAGTTCAGTGTTTGCATGCAGAGGGATGAGACACTGGATGTTTGGATGCATTTTAGGCAGCCATGACCCAGGAAGGATCTGTAACAGCCATCTGAGGAGTAGCCAGTGAAGTTATCACTAGGCTGTAATGTAAACACTGCATTTTCTCTGAAAAGACAGTGTTTACAGCAAAAAGCCTGAAGGTAATGATTCTACTCACCAGAACAAATTCAATAAGCTGTAGTTGTTCTGGTGACTATAGTGTCCCTTTAAAGGGACACCGTAGGCACTGTATCTGCTTCATCTCATTAAACTGGTTATAGTGTCTGGAGTCCTCTGGTCCCATAATTTCTATCAGCATTAAACAGTTTTTAAAGTTTTAATGTTTTAATGCTAAACAAGAGTCCCTGGCAATCCATCCCCTCTGTGCTGCTTTGGCTAATAAGGAAGTATTAGCCTGAGCAGCAATAGGCAGCTGTGATTGGCTGAGAGTGTCAGCTGACTGCTTTTAGCCTGTCAGAGTTCCAACTGACGGTATGAATGGGTATGACAACAAGGAAGTGTGTAATCTCTGCCTTAGCTACACATACTGAAGGGGCCGGACTGTGGGTGGCCAGGGACTCTTATTTTGTGGCATACTGCACGAACATGGTGCAACACTGAATGGAGGGACAGTGCCAGGGTACTCCAGGCACTAAAACCAATTCAAAGGGATGAAATGCTTATAGTGACTACAGTGTCCCTTTAAGCATTCAGTATGAAATATCATTAAAATTTGTTCATTCATAAAAAGGTTTGACCCTCATGGCACTGGGAAAAGGTAAGTTTTATAACTTTTCAAGGAGGGTAAGAGAGGGCTGACCACCTAAAATGTTTTTAACACTATAGTGTCCGTAATGCACATTTGTATTCCTGACAGTAAAGTGTTTCTTTAAGCTAAATTATTAATTATGAACATATATGAAAGTGACAATATTTTTATTAGTATTTTCTTCCTCTTGATATTGTGCATATGTAATGAATATGTATATCACACACACACACACACAAAAACTGCCCCACGGTTACTTCCTTTTCTGAATTTTGGGCATGCCAAGGTAAGCAATGATAATGCCACATTTAGCGATACAGCATCTTCATTTCATTTCAGATACTGGTCTTTGCCAGTCAAAAATATTAATTCGTCAGTTCTCCTTTACTGTAACTCAAAGAAAAAATAACACTGCAGCCAAAACACAAATAACACTACAACTACTGTGCTGTGAGCTGAGGCATATTTCCTCCTCTCCCCCTCCTAATCTGAAAAAAGGACCACCCTGTTCTTATGGCAGAGAGCTCTGTTTACATTGCAATCTTTGACTGTGTAATACTTCTGGCATTTTGGTTTGGATTCCTGAGCTGGGGGCCAAAAAACCCTTAAGCAATGAATATGGAAGAAGGAAAAAAATCTATATAAAGGCACAGGATTACTTATTGCATATTTACACACTATTACTTTTTGTATGCGTGTGTACATGTTCAATTAAAACCTGGAAAAGAAGAGGGATGTGGCTTATTTGGAGCAGTTACAGAATAACTTTGGGCATCTATGAAGGAACCCATTCAGTATGCTTTGCAACACAAATTAAAGTACATTAGGCTGGTTTAACCCTTTGAATGCAAATTGGCAAAGGGGGGTAACTCATACAAGGGGTCAGAGGGGGAGCAGGAGCACAAATTCAAGTTGATTTGCCGTAGGATTGAAGGAAGTATGCCAGGAAATATCACACTGCTCATATTTGTTCTCCAAGTTCAGTATGATAAATTGCTACATTTAACTCATTATGTGCATGGTGATTAATGTGTCACATTCTGCAGTTTTATTGGAAATCTTTTGCAGACAAGTTGTAGTATTATATGAACCTGCACAAAGATTCAAGCTTCCTTGAGGTTCTGAGACCTTATCAGAACTGTGTGTATTGTTACATCTGGAAATTCTATTAGTCTCACCTGGAGAATTTGGGGTTTTGATCTTTATATCAACAGACTAGGATAATCTTGTGCAGTCTTCATAAATCAGTCATGAGGCTTGCCATCTTATCACAAAAATGTATTACATACCTCCCAACATTTCAAATAGACAAAGAAGGATATGTAAATTTTTAGGGATGTGGGAGAGGGAGTGTGGCCAGAGGCTGGCTGTTCTGAGAAATTTTAAGTGACTTCCTAATAATAATAATTTATGCAGCTAAAATGTAATTTATAACAATAAGAAGATATCTTATTTACACAGATGGACTTCTAAACACATTTATAGTAGTTTAAAGACACATTACTGTAAGTATTACGTCTTTGAAGTTCTGTTAGGCAGTACATTCAAACTCACCAAAAATATGGAGTTCCTAGAAAAGAGTGGCATTATGGTAAAAAAAGATAAATAGATGGATTTGTGCCCAAAATAGAGACTGTCCCATATAAATAGAGACACTTGGGAGGCACAGATCTATATTGGCCTTGAGCCATGTTTGTGAGTCTTGGTAGGTCACAAGAGATGTAAATAAACATTTATTTGTGTTGACAACGAATTCTTAACTATAGTAAAATAGCTACAGTAATTACTCAAGCATCTAAAAAGAAAACCAAACATATATATCCAAGAAAAATGACATATAAACAAAATAAACAATTATGACCATTACTATGTATGCCAAACAAGTCACAAATATATTTTAATGCATATTAAAAATATATAAGGCAGTGTATATATATATATATATATATGTTTTGATCCTGAGGAAAGTCCACAAGTTGGACTGAAACGTCGATCCTTATTTTAAATGACCAAATAAAGTATTGAAGATTTTATTTTTCAACCGTGACTGCAGCTATACTTTTTCACATTTTCTGGATATCCTTGAGCCCACAGTGCTTTATATATTTTTAACATGCATTAAAATATATATATAGCTTTTTTAGCTGTAACGTACACTTTAAAAAGGGCACATTTGACGCTAATTATGTATGATTTATCCATACTACACATAAGCCTTTGGATTTTTTTACTAACTCAAAAAACCTTGAGTGGAACCGCACCATGAGAGTTATGCACGAATGATTCAGGTTGTTAATAGAAATTTGAAATTAGTTCATGTTTGCATCTTTTGTGGATGCAAATCTGGTAGGTCAAGGGGAGGTCAGCTTTGAGGGAGAAACACAAATTAAATATAAACATGGCATTGTGAAAACCAGACATACCTCCCTCAACTTTGTCCAGCCAGCACTAATCTAGTCATCAGCTGTACAACATAATCTAAACAAACGGATCAGTCGATTCATACATCTGGAAACTTTCATACTGTGGAGTTAAACCATAAAGAACCATATTTACTTGTTATTGCAGCAGCTGACTTGTTCAGTGAATGAATCCTTCTACATGGAGTGTCACAGAGGTGTAAAATTGCCCTAATGCCTGTAGCTCTGAAAAAGTTAATATACTAAATATAACAGCTTAACGTCAGTGTTCACCTCATGTAACTGGATGATGTCCTATTCAGCATCACTGTCCAATTTCACATAATGCATCACTCCATTAACACTCACATTGTATATGATTTATATAAGATTTTGTGAAATGGATGGGAGGCCTAGGCGTAGGGGCTGTCTGAACACACAAAATGTAACTGTGACGGATTACTATAACCATGGATTACCATTCATTTTTTGTTTATGCATTCAACTATATGCTCAGGACATTGCATTTCCCTTTATTTTATTTCTCCCTGTCATCCCCTTACCGAACAAGAAATGTGCCACCTATTAACATTATGTACTCAATACCCTTCGAACTCCTGAACAGTCAAAACAGGTCGAAGTGGTCGCAATTCGACATTCGAAGACGTGGCAGTGGCCATCTTAAGCCGCGAGTACTATGAGCGGTGTTTGGTCGTCGAGTTCATGGAACTCAAATCGGACAAGCGACGGCACGAACACCGCTAAAGTTTCACCTTCCATGGATGTTCGACTATTCGAACGAGAGTCGAACGGCGTTCGGTGAAAAGAAACTCCAGACCAAGAGAGATACACTGAATGTACAGCGCTACGGAATGTGATGGCGCTATATAAATAATAAAATAATAATAATAATAATAAAAATAATAATTATATTCACCAACGGCCACGAGGATTTAGAATCCTCGAAGTAGACTGGCTGCACAGCCTGATTCTCTGGAACTGCTCTGGGCATGAAACTATACGTGCAGTCGGGTCAAAATAAGACCTCCATAGAATTTCTGAACCCCTGAACTGATCTGGGTGATTTTTGGATATGTTGGTTACCCAGGGGATGAAACTCTTGTGGGTATTTTATGTGTTTTTGGGGTTTTGCAAAATACTTCGGCCTGGAGATAATTATTTCCTAGGCAGAGGGGAGGGGATTGTATGCTATGTGTGGCATACAATGTGCCTTACAGTGTAAACGTGTAATCATTGGTGTATAATTTTGTGTCCCTGTCCCCAACAAGGTCCATATGGGCATACACCTTGCTTGGGGACTTGCATAAAACACCAGTGTGGTTACCATTAAACCAGTCCTGCTTTACACTCAACATAGAGCCTTGCCTCGTGTTTGTAGGGACCTACTATACATGCTATATCACTAGCTCTTATAAGAGCTTTACAGCTATGCCTACTCTTCACTGCTTGGATTGATGGTTGGGAATACTTCAGCGCTCTCTACTCTAGGGGAAAAGGACATCTCTGGTGGCAGGGTGACAGTTACAGTAAAAGAACACCAGATTCTACAAATTAGTTGGTGTTGTTTAAAAGGTAATATAGGCTAAATGTAATCGGCTCTAAAAAAAAAATTGCAAGAATAAATACAGTTTATCTGTATGTATTAGATTTGGAATTTACCTGCTATGTAATTTTGGACTATTGTGACCATAATATGTTAAATTCATAAATCAATTTGGTCTTGATCCCAAAGAAACTGCTGTAATTAGTCGATTGATGTCCCAAGAAGAAGCACATGCATAATTTAGCAACCCTATATTTCACCACTGACCAGTAAATGTTTAGAGGAGAATAAATTAGTACCCCCTGCTTTAAATAAAACAAAACAAAAAGCATGTGATAAGATTTAGAGCTAAACATTTCTGAAATGTTATTTTATAATTATAACTATAATTGTCAAACTAGAATTATTTTCAGGCATGTTTAGCTTTTGCATACTGTTGGGGCATCACCTTAAATAATCCACCAGACATTAAATCGAGTTTGCATGCGACTACAAAAAATTAGTCATTGCATTGCATATAGATACCACTCTAAATGAATCAGTTTTCATGAATGAAATGCTACATACTGCTGTATGGATTATTTGCCATGTGAAGTTAAGTTAATTACTATCTCTCTGGTTTACTGCCAGTGGTCAAGCATAACCATGAATGAAACTTGGCCTGCTACTTCTACTTTCATAAATATATAATCACCACCTGGTGGACGGCTATGATTTTGCATGATAGTTTAGCTGGTAGTTTAACTGTATACATTGCTCTGCCTAAACTCCATGCACATCCTCCTAGTAACTTATGGCCATTCTTGTTACGACCCTTCCATCCATGCTTCTAAAATAGAATAAAGAAAATGGGCTAAAAGAACTGTTGGAAATGGGTAAACAGGAGGAATTTCTACGTCTTACTATGCTTTCCAAGATTGTCAGTACTTGTGTGTACTTATACTCACTGGGCTGGTGCATGCGTATCACATCCCTCCTGTTCTCTCCCCAGCTCTGGATTGAACCCAAGTCGCTGCTTGCCACATGTGGGGTTTACAGCTTTTGAGATCACTGCACACTACACTGCTTAAAAAATACTGAATGGATCTGTGAATAAGCTGATAGTAGCAAAGTTGTGAATGCTATAAGCTTATGAGCATGCCACTAAAACTCAAAGTGAGCTGAGAGGGTTTTAGCTTTTAGTTGAGCAGAGTTTACCACCTATTCATAGACCGTGTAAAACAAATGAGATGAGGTTATAATGCTGCTTAACCCCTTAAGGACCAAACTTCTGGAATGAAAGGGAATCATGACATGTCACACATGTCATGTGTCCTTAAGGGGTTAAACAAAGATGTAGCAAGCAAAAGACCATATAAAATAATCTCTATTCATGATGTTTAATTTCCATTCTATTAAGCTGCAAGGAACTCGTATAAACCTGGCTTTTCTCTGCTAAACCTTACTATCCCAAAATCACAAAATTAGAGACTTCTTAAAACAAACCCCAGGTATGGCAACACCAATGCTGAACGCATTCTACTTTCCTCAGGCTTTACAATCTAATTTTTATCTGCAAAGTGACAAAACCACTAGTACTTTTCACTTCTCACTGTAATACTATCAGAATTATCTATAGTTTCCAGAACTTTAAAAGTATTACCTAAAACCAAATCAATTTCCAGAGGGTAGCACCTTTTTACTCATACAATCTGTCCCACTGAGTGCACTCTACTTAGTTTGCACTTTTTTTTTACTTCACAGCTACATTTTATCTCATTATTTACACATATACTGTATATAGGTGGTTCCAGAACTATCCATCTGGATATGTTGCACTATGCTATTTGCCCAACTATACTTCAGTGCTTCTAGGCAAATGTGTTTGAGCAGAACCCTTCTCACCTCATGTTTCCATTCAACTAAATTTAATAGACACCATGTATTATTGTTTTTATGTGCATTAAACCAATATATTCTGCTTTATTGCACAATGGATTTTAGGAACTGCAGTTGAACTGCTAGGATGGGCCTTAATAGTTTGTAGTAGTTTAATTGCTATTGTGTATAACCTATAGGCCTTTGAGAATATAAATGTCTGTAAGGTTGACAGTCAATGCAGTTTTCAGAAGGTGTATTTTACTGGAAAGTTAAACATTTAAAACATTGCTCCATGAGGCTCAAGTACACAGGATTTTAAAATATTACCATATTTTGTACCGCTTCTCTGGCTACCGATATAAAAGCAGACACCATCATTTTACAACCATTTAGCATCTCATTATTTACTAGAATGCTATCTAAATGGACTGAGTCACTGGCACAGTCAGGTATGCATATGTTTCAGACCGGGCCAGATGGGGGCATTTGAGGACAGAGAGCAAAGACTGATGCATTACATTTAGCAGAAAATAACAGCTCTGCTGCATTTATTCCTTTTTTTTTTAAATCTTTCTCACACAGTACTATAATTGTCATGTATGATAATTACAAAACATTTATGAGAACACGTGTAACTTTTTTAAATGTTATTTTCTTTCTGTCTTGTCACAGATGATCTATAATCCATCTATGTCAGGCACACATCCCCAACATATACACATATACACAGACATCACAGATAGCTTTTACCCTTACACACCACATTTATTTTACCCTGACATGTACCATCACAAAGTACTCCACTCCCCCCAACCCACATGCATAACCACAGCTTACGTGGGGGAATAACACCACATGGACTACAAAACCCCACAGAATAACCATCCTTCCAGCCAAAACACCACAATTTTGTTTAAGATTCTAACTATATGGAAAAGTCATAAGTTTAAGTTTAAGTGAACAGCAGCTAATAGCAAGCTTTCTGGTAAAATTATATCCCTCAAAGTCTTTACCTTAGTATGTCAAACAATAACACTACATATTATATGGACAGTTATATTATATATCAACAGTTCAACCTAAATGTGATAATCATTTAAATAATGGTCATGCAGCCAGTCAGAATGGGACATACACTATCCTTGACTGTATAACTTGCCATACAATAATGGTAAGTTGAATAAAAAACACTACTTTACAGCTATTTTGATAAAGTTACAGCACTGTTTGATTATTATTGCCATTTATATAGCGCCAACAGATTCCGTAGCGCTTTACAATATAGCGCCAACAGATTCCGTAGCGCTTGATACGCTTTATACATTTGTTAAGTGTTACCATGGGATATATTGGTTTTCAGTCAGGAATATCTAATGACTACATCTTCTTTGTTTCTCTGTACAGTGAAGAAATGTAATGTTTAAACCATCAGAATATGTTGAGTGCCCAGCATGCCCACATAGGTTCAGGTTAGGAATCTATTTCTTTTTTTAAAGGGACACTATAGTCACCAGAACCACTACAGTTTAATTTAGCCTGTCCTTGAATGCTGCACACTTTAAATGCTGCCTTTTCAGAGAAAAGACAGTGTTTAAATTGTTGCCTAGTCACACTTCTAGTGGCAGTTACTCAGAGGGTCACTAGAGGTGATTCCTAGTGGCTTTCAGGGTCTCCACGCTCTGCATGGAGAGGCTGAATGTTCCCCATAGAGATGCTTTGATTTAATGCATCTCTATGAGGAGATGCTGATTGGAGCACCGAAAGCTTTGGAGTTGCTGAGATTATCAAGATTCATAATGTCAGCCATCCAGGAGGAGTCAGGTTGGCTCAGCCATGACAAGTCTGGCGTTGGAGAAAACAATGGAGATCTGAGGGGGACGGTCACCTACACAGCCAGTTCAGGACTATAGTGTCAGGAATACATGTTTGTTTCCTGACACTATAGTGTTCCTTTAACTACTACTGAGCAGTATTTTTATAGTAACAGTATGTTTACGGCAAAGTAAAATCGTAATTGCCAAATCAAATTTGAGACACTTTCCAATTTAACTGATATTCCATCTTGGCTACTCTGGTCTAATTTTTTTCCAATTCAGTTTTCAATTCACCACAGTTTACTACTAGTGAAAACATTTTCATGGACAGACAATACGTTTTGTTTGTAAAGTGTCACAAATGATTAATACAGGTGTATTGGTTTTAAAGAAACCTTAGATTTAATAGAATGGTACATTTTTGTATATTGAGAAATACAGAAATGATCGGGAAAAAAAATTATAATCCTAAACAAACCACTTAGCCAGTGCTTTAAGCCTTGACATATCTGAAGTCCCCTGTAAACGTGTTTGTGCTTCGTGTATAGCAGTAAATGTAAATACTATAGAATGAGACACAGACACATATATTATTAGATAAGACTGGGGCATTTTATTTTGGGTTTATGAAAAATTAATAATATAATAAATATAATTTTAATCAGATTACATAAAACCATAAATACCTCAACGCTCACAAAGTCAATCTGCCATAAAAATATTCAGGCCAAATATATTAGTTCTCTATTACCATCCATCCCCACAGTTTGAGAATAACTTCTACGCCCAATAATACCACAACAAAATTGCATACTCTATAACAAACAAACAAACAAAAAATTTAATTGGGTGGGGCTTAAGTGCAGAGGAAATTTTGATTACGCTCTTTTGCCTGCACACATGAACTGTACAAAGATCTTGACGCATGTAACCAGTCAGCTAGCACAAACCTATATACAAGTCAAATTGAAGCCAAAACTGGGCCTTCTCTTTCATGCAGCCATTCAACAGTGCGCTTGGCATAGACAGCAGCATTGCAAAAACACTTTGTACCCAAAATTTAACCAATTGGAAGCTGATTTCTATTATTACTGATTTCTGAGGTTACTGCGATAGGACAAATATTTCAGACATCCAAATTAGGTGTAAAAGGAGAGTCTGGGCAAGTTATTCATTAAATTGTGAGTTGTTGGGAATTCAAAGTGAATTTGCATATAATAACCAAACTGAAAACAATTTTACTATTTTGACCTAAAATTTTAAATTGACTTCACATAAATCCAAAAATCATGCTTTACTAAATAACCTTATAGGTCTTACTTTTTACAAGTGATCATATGTGCCTTAGAAAATTAAACTGTGTTCAATTATGCAAGTTTGTTATTGGAGCATAGGCAGGAGCTCAAAATGACTGTATACACCACTGTACACATAAATAAATGTAAAATGTATTTCAGTTGTCTTTATTGGTACAACATGTAAAAAATGGTATTTCTGATAATATACAGTACACATTATACATTATGGAACTGAAAAAGAATAACAAATCTGCTTAAAAACAAAATCTCACATTATCATGCCACTACTAAGCCTCAGCTTTGTGCTGGTTAAAAAGTAATCATTAATGAATAATTCCATTAAAACAAGCCACCTTCCAAAGCAACATTAATCTAATTAACAAACATGTGTTCTGGCCTGTGCCTTGCTACTCCCCTTTCTCTGCTGCACCCCCACCCTTCCTTTACCTTGAGACATATGCGCCACACTCCCTTCCCCCTAGAAGTAAAAACTTGAAAGCTTTCCAACACAGGACCACACACAGGGCCCTACAGGCTGCAATGTGCAAGTCTTTCTGCTATAGTCTTTCACTCAGCAAATAACTGGTTTAAATCCTAATACACCAAAAGTGAAAAACTATGCACACTATGAGCTGAAACAAAAACACCCAGCAAATATAACTTTCTAATCAAAACATTGATTAAATAAACTAGTGAAACACTGTAAAGGATAGACTGATCAAAATCAATGTTTAAATTTTTTTTTAAATAAGCATCCAGAATGCATTCACATTAATACTGAAATCTGGCCTAAAAATGATCCCTTGAAATACTGTGCCTCTGAAACATTGTAAATCAATACATACATTCTAAACCACCTGAAAGTGGACTGGTCCAGTCTCATGCCATTATTTGCTATGCATTTTGCATGGCTGGGCAACTCAACATTGTTCGTCTAATCATACTATATAACGCCTTTCGGGTGACATCAAAGATTTAAACAGCTAAAAGACATGTAAGACTCAAAACTGGGCACCTTTATTCCAAGCAACAAATAATAATGAAAAGATTTCTTACCTTCAACCCAAAGCTCTTCAACATTAGTCTCTAGATTTGCAGCTCTTAATCCCACAGCAAAAGCACCAAATATCAAAAGGCCCACAACCAAAAACTTTCCGCAGTTTTTTTGTATGTAACAACCAAGTTTAAATAATAGTCTTTGAAACATAGCTCTGAGCCACAATGGAGCTTTTCTGCCTGTAGCCTTCCCCTGTAAGACAAAATACCAGGTTAAAAAGAGGGTACAAGTTTAAAAACTTTAATTCATCATAATTTGCTTTTGAATGTAAACATTCTGCTTCAACATAGCCATTTATAATGATATAGGTTAATAGATTTTTTTTCACCAAGGTAAACTAAAATATTAATAAAGAGTTAGAATGTGTAGATGCTAATCCAAATATGTGCAATGTACTTTCTATAAATGGTGGCAAAAATAAATGATGTGAGATGAAAGAAATGTGATTATAAATTATGTTAGTAAGTGAAGAAGAGGTGCATGTAAATATGTTATTTTTGGGGTACCGCACAAATTTCCAAAATCTTTTCATCACAACACTATGCATATGTAGAAGACACAAGTATCTGCTTTATACCATATCAGTGTCTTTAAAAGTGGTCTTTAAAAGTCAGGCTGGAAAATAACATAAAATTATAAATAATAATGCAGATACAGCAAGTACATCTCTACTGGGATTAATGTCTTTCAAATCCCACACACATCTGCTAATCACAAATTGGGTCAAGATTCAGGAGTTGCAATATGAAAAGTTCACATCTGACTACCCTAGGACAAGTTATAACATAAGCATATATCATTCGTGTGACTCCTAATGTTTATTGTGCCCTTAACTAGCAAAAAGAAGAGTCTTGCTACATTCAGAAGTAGAGGAGGTACAAAGGTCAATGAATGAATATTATGGGAAGTTAATGAGAGATTAGCCTTCATTGGCATTTGGACTGATTTAAAATAACTTGTACATAAATAAGAATGATTAATGAAAACACTGTATTGTCACTGTTACACTCAATGGTGTAAAAAAAAAAAAAAACAATTGTGTCGAGAAATTATTTACCACTGAAAAACTGCATTTGTAAAACAGAGATATGAACTACATTTTGCAGCTGTGATAGGGTGCTCCCCGTGATAGGCAGCCCTCATAGGGTGCTTAGGCAGTGTATTGTTTGTATCATATCAGTGTGTGCTTGGTAGTATAGTACAATCCACGTGGTTAGAAATGAATTTAGTAATTCCCATAGCAGTTTCGAGCTGCTGTGTGATCTGAATTAGGAAACAGAGCAGCCAACTGAAACTCACGACACTATTTGTGAACGGAAGAGGGCAGCCACATGGCCTTTTCTTGTCTCTCTCCCTCTTACACATTCCCCACTGCACAGCTTCGGAGGAAAAAAAAAAGGGGGAACTATCCCCTGTGGCAGATACACTGTGGAAACAAACAGGATGCCTGGGTGGGTTTACAATAGAACCTGTGTGCATAAGGAGCATGGAGAGCCCACCCCTAACCCAACACTCTCCTCCAGATCTAAAGCCAGCTAGAAGGGGTCCTCCCGTACAAGCACAACAATGACCCAATGTGCCAATTTGTTTACAACTCTCAGTTTTCTTACTTTCCAAGCCGCCGGAGGTATTATTCAATAACTCCCACCAACAGGAGTGGGATTAGATCCAGGAAAATACACCATTTAAAACCCACAAAATCAGCTTGGCGGCACTTCAAAATTTTATTTAAAAAAAAATAAAGAGGAGGGGGAGAGGTACGAAGCTGGGATCATAACACAAACATTGAATTTGCAAGCGAGAAATCCAGATGAGTGTCTGTTAAGGACACAGCTTTGCACAAAGTGTAAGCAAGGTCACAAACGCAGCAGATGATGCTTCCTGGTCTTCCGAATCCTCATGAATGGTGCACTGTGAGCATCATCTTCTATGTTACCTATACAAACATCAGTGCTGGGACAACGTTCTAAAAGGGGAGCAGTCGCCATGGAACCCTAAGAAGTGTTCCTGCTGAACGTTCCACGTTTAGAACTCTTACCCAGGACAGTGCTTGACTGATTTGGTCCAATGGGTCTAGTTCAATGATCGTAAAAATCAACATGTCATTACATTTCCATACTACTATTACTACATGCTGAAATACGTATATAAATTGACAGTCTGGTCATTGCTAATACTATAGTCCCAAAACGCTATCATTCCGGACCACTAACGCTCATTAACCCCTTCACGGATAAGGAAAGTGCGTCCAAGCGTTTGTTTACAGTGGGTATCAAATAAATGTAGCGATGATGTGCACTTACCTCCGAGATTTGCTGCAGAGCGAAATCCGCATCGCAGTAACTCGGCCGCTGAAGATAGTCCAGGTCAGGCGGCGACACAATTCTGTTTCTTCCCCTCCGCCTGATTACCCTCGGTCGGGCAGCTGGCTCCCCACTGCCCTGCAATTCAGTAGCATAGGCAGCCGAGGCCATGTTGTGGCCGAGTAGGGCAGTGATGGGGGGCAGCCCGGGGACTGTACTCCGTGATCCCCCCGAGGCTTAGCTGGTGCAGGGAGGTGTCAATCCTGGTGGGGGAAAAGAAGGGGTGCAGGCGGTAACTTCTTCTTCTTCCTCGGCTGGCACGGCTCTCAGCGGGCTCTGCTTCATGCTGCTCCAGGCGAAGATGTAGAGGGCGGCGAGTCACACTTTGCGCCTTCCATCCCCACATTTCGCGATCCGGGGGTCTCTGCAGCTTCCCACATTCAGAATCTGTTTGTTTATGTGTGAGAGCTGGGGAGGGGAGCACACTAGCCTTGCCAGAGATCACTGAACGGGTCTCCCTGTGACCTGGCTTTTCACACCAATCTGCATGAATCCACAGGCTGGAGGGACTAGGAACACAAACCAGAAGCACCTAAACACAGACTGCTTCTTCATCCAAACACACAAGCTGGGGAACCACTGCCTGGCTAGGCAGCACACAGTGTGGAGGATGACTTCTCAAACAGCCTGGATCTCCCCTTCAGGGTACGACACCCAAGTGTTCTTTGCTCCTGGTGGTGCCTATGGTTGCCTGTTTCACTGCAGCTGCACGGCTGGCTTCATAAATGAGGCAATGGAGGACTGGGGGCTTATTCTTTCCTTAGCTAAGCGACGTTCTCTGGGTGCAGGCAGTGACCATGACTTTCCAAGCAGCACCTAAATCCCTAATCTGTAGCTCGGGGGGCCCTGAGAGACTCGCTGGGCTGCCTGTGTGCTCTCTTTCTCCCTTGCTCTTTCCTTGCTTCAATAGATGAGATGCAGGAGAAGGAGGGGGGAGGGAAGAAGAAAAACTCTCTCTCCATTTGGAGAAAGAGGAAAGGAGGGGAGAATCCAAAAAGAGCCGCCCCAAGGGCTGTCAGATGGCTGGGATTTCTGGAATCCCATTGGCTAGAGGAGGGCAGAAATTACTCAACAAACATGACTATTATTAGCTGCTTAGCAACAGCTCACCAAAGTAGAGGGACCACCCAGGCAGACAAGCCTTGTGTGTGCATCTCCCAGCTTCAGGGGGAGCCTTAAAGGGATCCAGCCCTCTCTCACATGCAATCCAGCCATTAGTAGCCTTTTACTCTTGTTCCCTTGTCTCTCCCCCTTCTATGCTTTCCGTCTTATGAAATGCAAGATCCGATTATACTATCTACCCCCTTTCCTTTTCAGGACACCCTTACTTGATACTCTTACTAAATACAAGATTTTCGCGTTTTTAAAGCTCACGCGGAGTGATCTGCTCAAAACACAGAGAAATAGAGAGAGAGATCCTTTTATAAATAAAAGAAAGAAAGAAAGATGCAACTTGGCCCTAAATTGGAATAAATACTGGGAGGTCCAGTCTAAATTCCCAGGCTTGCACAAATAATGACAATGTGCTTGTGGGAGAATACTGGGGGATGCCAGAGTCTTTCTTCTTTACTGACAACCTTTTTGTACAAAGAAAACATTGCTGTTAAACTGTTTTTACTTATTTAATATGTCAATTTTAATCAAAACCACTTGATTTTCTCCTTTTATTTTCTCTCTCCAGTCCTTTGTGGACATGTTTCTGAAATATATAGGAAATGTTACTCAGAGATACCCCCTTCACATATTAGTATGGCCCAGACCCCACACAGCATGGCATGGTTTAACCAATCACTTCACGCTATGTCTCAGAATTCCAGAATAACACATGATAGAGATTTGTGGCAAGGATGTATACACAGCAGACATTCCTTCTGCTAGAAATAATGTATGTATTTTGGTACTGATACTTAGGGCGTATGTGTATACTGATACTTTGATGTGCAAAGTACTGGGATTGGGTGGGGGGAGAAAGGTTTCCTACGTGGCTGTAATAATACATCAAGCTTCTACTGATTTATGAGTTCTTCTAATCTTGTCTGACACATTATTATTTTCTTTACATCGATTTTGATATATGTATAACTTTGTAGCTCACTGCTCAACATGAAAAGCAATTTACCAAATGCAATTCTCTGACATTTTGATCCATCTATAGTACATATTTATATAGTTACTGGGGGTATTGGAAAATCAAATAGCTGTAAGTCCACATCTACACCTGCCTTGTTTGCTATCGTGCTTTGCCAGGTGGGGTGAGTCTTCCTTCCAATAATCTAATGTCATTCTTATGCTAAAGACACAGGGAATAGAACTACTCAGCAATAAAAACTACTCACATACTAGCATGTAGTTTATTTATCAAAAGCACTAAAGTGAGCAGTTTTAAACCCTCAATATTAATTACTAAAGGCACTGAAATGTCACAGGCACTGAAATGTTCTGTTTTTATGACCCCGTCATATATGCATCGTCATGCTATACGTTGCAGAAGCATTCATTGTGGTTCATAATATATGTGTAAAGTACTATATATATTTTTTTATTTGCCAGCAATTACACTTATTTTATTATAAATAACCCAGAAAAAGAGCTTTGTGACTTTTCCATGTTGATAATTATGTTGTTGATTTTATAGGAGGGTTGCCCTATGGTTGTTGTCTTTATAGCCATTTCTATACATTTACTTGCCTGAAGCTATACTCCCATTAAGAATGTAGCCCCAGCTAAGCAGGCTTATAGGGCGACGATAGGGTTAACGCAAACACTGTGTGTGTCCATTGAAAAAAAAACAAAAAAAAAACAAGCGTCTCAGGCTGGAGGGAGGGGGAGGGAGGGATGGAGGAGGAGGAGAGGCTACAGGAGAGAGGCAGGGCCGGGGAGGGCAGAGACTGGAGTCACGTGACGGACGGGCCTCTGAATAAGGCGCGCTGCCCCCAGTCATCCCCTCTCTGCTTTCACTATAGCACTGAGAGGGCGATATTTCACTTCATTAAATGAATATGCTGGGGGTGGCGACCTATAGCCCGTCAGGGCATTGGACAGACTAGTGAATAACTGTGTCTGAAGCCAATGCCTGGGAGACTTTAAACAGGTTCAATTCCAACTGGAATGCTGCTACTCTTTTGGGTGAACAAGTAACAGTATTGAATTACATTACCCTTGGCTATGTTTTGTTGGGATCCTACTCCTCCACCCTCCAGCAAGACACATTATAGATTGGTGGATAACCTCTTGCTTTACAGCTGCTGTAGCCTACATTTCCCCTAATGTTGGCTGAGCATCATAGCTAAATTTCTCCAAAACATACAGGACGGCCATGCAGCAGATCCCCCAGCTGTTGCAAAATTGCAATGTTAATAAAACGGTGCCTGCCTTATTTGAAAATTATTGTGGGAGTATCAGTTTTTTTCAAAGGCACTTGCCTTCTAGCCAACATTTTCAGTGACACATGTAAGTAGCCACGGACATAGCTAAATGTTAGGTTTTTGCCTTCTTCCATGATACATAGCCAATGCTATAGCCCAGTATTATGATAGTATTCTGCCCAGTATTATGGCAGTTTTCTACCCAGTGTTATTACAGTGTTCTGCCCAGTGTTATGACAGTGTCCTGCCTACTATTACGGCAGTGTTCTGCCCATTGTTATTGCAGTGTTCTGTCAAGTGTTCTGACAGTGATATGCCCAGTATTATAGCAGTGTTCTGCTCAGTATTATGGCAGTGTTATGGCAGTGTTCTGCTCAGTATTATGGAAGTGTTCTACCCAGTGTTATTGCAGTGTTCTGACAGTGTTCTGCCCAGTATCATGGCAGTGTTCTGCCCAGTATCATGGCAGCGTTGTGCCCAGTATCATGGCAGTGTTCTGCCCAGTGTTATGGCAGTGTTCTGCCCAGTATCATGGCAGTGGTCTGCCCAGTGTTATGACATTGTTCTGCCTAGTGTTATTGCAGTGTTCTGACAGTGATCTGCCCAGTGTTATAGCAGTGATCTGCCCAGTGTTATGGCAGTGTTTTGACAGTGATCTGCCCAGTGTTATGGCAGTGATCTGCCCAGTGTTATTGCAGTGTTCTGCCCAGTGTTATTGCAGTGTTCTGACAGTGATCTGCCCAGTGTTCTGACAGTGATCTGCCCAGTGTTATGGCAGTGATCTGCCCAGTGTTATGGCAGTGTTCTGCCCAGTGTTCTGACAGTGATCTGCCCAGTGTTATTGTAGTGTTCTGACAGTGATCTGCCCAGTGTTATGGCAGTGAGTCTGCCCAGTGTTATGGCAGTGATCTGCCCAGTGTTATGGCAGTGATCTGCCCAGTGTTATGGCAGTGATCTGCCCAGTGTTCTGGCAGTGATCTGCTCAGTGTTATTGCAGTGTTCTGCCCAGTGTTATTGCAGTGTTCTGACAGTGATCTGCCCAGTGTTATAGCAGTGATCTGCCCAGTGTTTTGACAGTGATCTGCCCAGTGTTATGGCAGTGTTCTGCCCAGTGTTATTGCAGTGTTCTGACAGTGATCTGCCCAGTGTTATGGCAGTGATCTGCCCAATGTTATGGCAGTGTTCTGCTCAGTGTTCTGACAGTGATCTGCCCAGTGTTATTGCAGTGTTCTGCCCAGTGTTATTGCAGTGTTCTGACAGTGATCTGCCCAGTGTTATAGCAGTGATCTGCCCAGTGTTATGGCAGTGATCTGCCCAGTGTTATGGCAGTGATCTGCCCAGTGTTATGGCAGTGATCTGCCCAGTGTTCTGGCAGTGATCTGCTCAGTGTTATTGCAGTGTTCTGCCCAGTGTTATTGCAGTGTTCTGACAGTGATCTGCCCAGTGTTATAGCAGTGATTTGCCCAGTGTTTTGACAGTGATCTGCCCAGTGTTATGGCAGTGTTCTGCCCAGTGTTATGGCAGTGATCTGCCCAATGTTATTGCAGTGTTCTGACAGTGATCTGCCCAGTGTTATGGCAGTGATCTGCCCAGTGTTATGGCAGTGATCTGCCCAGTGTTCTGGCAGTGATCTGCCCAGTGTTCTGGCAGTGATCTGCCCAGTGTTCTGGCAGTGATCTGCCCAGTGTTATTGCAGTGTTCTGCCCAGTGTTATTGCAGTGTTCTGACAGTGATCTGCCCAGTGTTATAGCAGTGATCTGCCCAGTGTTTTGACAGTGATCTGCCCAGTGTTATGGCAGTGTTCTGCCCAGTGTTATTGCAGTGTTCTGACAGTGATCTGCCCAGTGTTATGGCAGTGATCTGCCCAATGTTATTGCAGTGTTCTGACAGTGATCTGCCCAGTGTTATGGCAGTGATCTGCCCAATGTTATGGCAGTGTTCTGCCCAGTGTTCTGACAGTGATCTGCCCAGTGTTCTGACAGTGATCTGCCCAGTGTTATTGCAGTGTTCTGCCCAGTGTTATTGCAGTGTTCTGAAAGTGATCTGCCCAGTGTTATAGCAGTGATCTGCCCAGTGTTCTGACAGTGATCTGCCCAGTGTTCTGACAGTGATCTGCCCAGTGTTCTGACAGTGATCTGCCCAGTGTTATTGCAGTGTTCTGCCCAGTGTTATTGCAGTGTTCTGAAAGTGATCTGCCCAGTGTTATAGCAGTGATCTGCCCAGTGTTATGGCAGTGATCTGCCCAGTGTTCTGACAGTGATCTGCTCAGTGTTATTGCAGTGTTCTGCCCAGTGTTACTGCAGTGTTCTGACAGTGATCTGCCCAGTGTTATAGCAGTGATCTGCCCAGTGTTATGGCAGTGTTCTGCCCAGTGTTATTGCAGTGTTCTGAAAGTGATCTGCCCAGTGTTATAGCAGTGTTCGCAGTGTTCTGCCCAGTGTTATTGCAGTGTTCTGACAGTGATCTGCCCAGTGTTATGGCAGTGATCTGCCCAGTGTTATGGCAGTGTTCTGCCCAGTGTTCTGCCAGTGATCTGCCCAGTGTTATGGCAGTGTTCTGCCCAGTGTTCAGCCAGTGATCTGCCCAGTGTTATGACAGTGTTCTGCCCAGTGTTCTGCCAGTGATCTTCCCAGTGTTATTGCAGTGTTCTGACAGTGATCTGCCCAGTGTTAAAACAGTTTTCTGCCCAGTATAACGACAGTGCTTTAACCAGTGTTTTTGTAGTGTTCTGCCCTCTGTTATGGCATTGTTCTGCCCAGTGTCATGGCAGTGTTCTACTCTTTCTAATGAATGTTTCCATTTATAATGTCTGAGTGTCACTGTTCCCTGTGAACCCCTCGTTTCAAACTAGATTAGCCTACATACACATACATATAGGCACATGCTTGGTCTGCTGCGTAAAGAAATACCATGCAAGCCATAGTACATTCCTAAACTGAGGATCTGCTCCCGTCCCCCTTTACGTTACCCAATGCAGTGCAAGGGCTGACAGCTACTGGCCAATAGCGAGATGAAAGCATTTCTCTTGTAAGGTACTTCTGTTACACATCATAGGAAATGCCCCTCCCCGGCTACCAGCGAGAAAGGAGCCCACTGAAATTTCAGCAGCACCGTGCAACATCTAAATCATGGACTTATTGAAGGTCTGCTGTTAACAAAGAGAACCATAGCGGAGAGCTTGGACAATAAACCGAATTATTCATATTTCAAGAGAAGTTACACGTATTTTTCTTTCCAAACAAGTATACTTTGATAAATCGAGCAATTCTACGGTAAAGTTAGTGATCTGTAGTCCTTAGTGGAGCTGTGATACAATGGTGTGCTGACACATATTGAAGGAGATAGGGTGAATTATTTGATATCCTGTAGAAAACGTGTCTTAATTACCGGTAGTTCCCTAGGAATGCTAAGTAAAGTAGCTGGCTGTTGTGTCGATCCTATTGATTGCCATCCTTATGATTATCAGCAAGCTACACTTTTTTCCCCCATTAAACGATTGTAGGCATTTATTGCGGTGTTTAGAGTCACCTTTACCTTAGAAATATTTTATGTTGCAATACATGGAACGCTATTGTACACAATAAATCACTATATACATTGTAACACACACAATTTACTTCCCAAAAAAAGTAAGGTGTATTCGCTAAACATCGAATTGTGATAAATTGAAAAGGAAACTGCAAAATGTAGCTGTTGAACTTACTTTTGCTATTCAGCTACTAAGTCACAATTCACTGTTTAGTGAGTAAATCTAATTTGACTTGAAACTCATAATTGCCTGAAATGGAGAAATGTATGCATTAAATCCATCTTGCATTGTAAACCTATCAAACATCCACAGGAATTGTATCAATAAAAATAAATCCATCCCTAAGTTATAACATCGGTTTAATTATAAGGAACAATATGGGGTAAGGTTTCAAAAGAATGGAACAATCGCAATGTAAACCAGCGGATTTTTTCTACCAATTGCTCCCCTTTTAGAGATGTGTCTTAGAATCTCTTGATATTGCTCTCTTGTTTACATTGTTCGTTCTTAAGCATGATACTGAATTACATACTTTTATATTGACACGCTATCATCCACATTTGCTTGAGGTAGGCAGTATGCTAATGTTATTGCTGTTTAAAAATTATATATGTAGCATATACTCCAAAAGCTTGTGTTGACATGTAAGATGTGTATGTTCAAAACTACTTATATCATGGAGAAATTGTAAAGGTGAAAAATGTAAGTAGGGAAATCATAATTTTCTGTTTAATAAAGATAATTTAAAAATACTAGTAAATATGAAAGAAAATAGATCAATCTCAAATTATATTCATCAGAATGTGGACCAAACCAGTGGAAACAATCTAAATAGAGTAATGCATATCCATCTGATTTCTACTATGTAGGAATAGCATTTTATTAGATATACAATGTTATTCTTGTGCAAGATATGTCACCACACATTTGTACCCCATGAGATGAAAGAGTCCAGATTGCTCCAGAAAGCAGTGTCTGCACAGCCCTGTTCTGTTCGCACAACTGGACCAATGCATATTTCCTGAATGGCCGAGCTTAGAGAAACAGGCTTTGGATAAAACAGGGCACATAATAAGCACATTCTGGGCAGATCATGAATTAAAACCTCTGCTACTCACCCCTCATAGCAAACTAAGAACGATTATGCACAAGAGACTCATTTTGGCAGGGGCAAGTTCTGCTGGCTATATTGTGAGTGGTATTTTGCAGAGGGCACAATACTCTTTGAAGCGGTTACATACTCATTCTTTCAAACAATAATGATGGCAGAGAATTCCTTCTTGTTTCTTGCAGAGCCTGATCTGGAGGCTAGAATTAAACAATCACTATCTTAATCGTTTCTCTCCCTGTGGTCTACTTGCTTCATACACAAGAGATGAATTACTGTGGGGATCTAATTGGCCTTGTTTCTGTAATGTTCAAGAAAAAGGGAAGAGGTGTCATTGTAAGAGCCTGTTTTCAACTTGGGTGGTCAGATTGATGCCTGCATCCAGTTTCCTCATTGATAATTGCTACTAGTTTTGCACTTGCACAAATAATGCCTGTCCTTATTCTGGCTCCCTTTACATTTGAGAGCATTGTGGTGCATAACATGATTTGCACACTTAGCTTGGTCTGCTGCACACAGGTTTGTCAACAGAGAACTGTGATGAATGAAAATCCAAGTTTGTTGAATTTAAAGCAAAACAGTTTAACCGGAAAATGTCTCCCTGTCATCATGGATATTCTAGTCTAAATGTTTCCAAATTAGTTTCTCAATTCACTGCAGTTCACCGTTTAGTGAACAAATCCCCACGTGCCTAGTGTGAATGCATATTATATACCTGTAGGCTGACACGTTTAATGTAAAACTTGTTTTTAAGATAAACCTTGACCCTTTTTGCAAATGTAGTATTTAGGTAGGGTTATCACCAAAGCAAACGCCTTTTTTGTGCAGTAAAAGATAAATTGGAGTCGTGGACCTAATTCCTTTGGAGCTGAGAGTCTGAACACCGAAATTGTAAATTATGAGAAATACAGAATTAGTCAGATTCTTATTGCTGTGGCGTAATGGGATTGGTGATCCATAGATGCTGTAGTACCAGAGGTCCCTACACCTGTGTAAAAGTATACTTGATTGCCCAGAGCTGCACTAATTTTCTTTACTGCTTCACCGGAGACATGTGGATTTAGTCAGTGGAAGCACACCCTGCAACTTTATCTATATAATATTTATGTTCAGTGTATATATCAGGACTCAGCCATCACGTCTATTCCACTTAGATCACTGTGTTTTTATGGTTATGACAGCTGTTACTTATCAGTGAAAGATGGTGTAACCTACAAAATGTGCGTGTTTTCCATAAGCAATATTCTTAATAAAGTAGTGCTTTGACTATTATACAATGTATCATACTGTGTCTGTACTGACATTGTGTGGCCTGGAGCAGACTGCAAACTGCCAGTTACATAAATACCATATTAATGTCTTCTTTTATGTCACCCGATACTGGCTGGACTTGTCAAATCAAAGCTTTTACAAGACATGCTGTGCAACACTTGCACTGAGGAAACAAGTCCATCTATCTATCTATCTATCTATCTATCTATTCTATATATTTTACGATAAACTCATACATGTGTTGCATAATGTAATATGAATTTATAATATATACCCACATAAACTTACACTCAGGTTACAAACTCTGGATGGAGTATAATTGAAGGGATATTCCAATACCTATATAAATCTCTAGAAAAGTGTGTACATATTTGCCCTCTTCCAGATAGACTGTTCTAGAGACTAGATTCTAGTAGTCATGGAGCACAGGGCCATGAAGCACAGATTAAATTTAAAGGGCCATTATTTAACATCAGTGTATGCATATTCACTGCAAATTTACCTATATTACCGTAAATCAAGCACTGACTATGTTTCCTATGGAAGTACAAGAACACAATCCATTATTTGTTTCCAGGTGTGAAATGATTCCTCCATATGGAGATATAGAGATACATTATGGGAGGGCAGGCTGGGGCATTACAAGTATATCTAGTTTAACACCATCCCGTGTAATACTTATTAATCTGTATTGGTGAAGACATGGACTTAGATTACACTCTCTAAATAATGTATACAGAGTGATAACATAGTGATCCTATCAAAGCTGTCAATGATCAGTCACTGCTATAAGTCAATACATAACATGGGGTACAATAGTGACCAGGGCCTATGGAAAAAAACAACAACCATACAGCACCAGCACTACTGAATTTCTCCTTACAAATCTTCCATTATACCTGCCGAGGAGTACAAGGCCCACAAAGCTCAGCCGTCTTGCAGTGCACACAGACTGAAAATCTCTGAAATGTTAGAATACAACGCATTGATACAATGCTGCCATTAACCATGATATCTGAACAGAGATTGACATAGATCAGTATTGATTATGGCTAATTATTTAGCATATCGTGCTGTGAGCTGTTCTCACCAATCTGAAACACTAGGACAGAGATAAGAAACCTTCGGCACTCCAGATGTTGTGGACTACATCCCCCACAATGCTCTTACACCCATAATGCTGGCAAAGCATCATGGAAGGTGTAGTCCAAAACATCTGGAGTGCCGAAGGTTGCCTATGCCTGCACTAGGAGATCCAAAGGCTGGCTGACCAGCCTGCTGCAGAAATCAGGCATGGACCCTGCTGCAGAAATCAGGCACAACAGGAGCAGTAGTAGTACTTTTATGGCCTGCCTCTCCAGCTTCAGCTCTGCATGATTTGATACACAAAGGCATGGGCTTCCTGTGTATCAAGTCATGCAGAGCTGAAGCTGGAGAGCCAGGCCATGAAAGCACTACTACCGCTCCTGTTGTGCCTGATTTCTGTAGCAGGGTCCATGCCGGGGGAAAGATCCCAAGTGACACGATCCTTTTTAACTCACTGCTGGAGTAACACATTTATTAGAGATATAAGCGTGAGCAGTGAAAGGGAATTAAAACAATTCAGCCTCATTGTGTGGCTTTCTTTCATTCAACTAATCCGGTTTACACATCACGCCCAAATGCCTCAATAGGACTTTATCAACTGGGACAGGAGCAAGGCAGGGTAAAAAAGGTACATAGTGTGTGTATGTGTTTGGGAGTGAAAGCAAGATTAACCATTGATCGTCATGCCATTGAGCACTGTTTGGTGATAAAGGGGTTAACACATCCAAGCATTTGGACCCAGCTCTCTACCCCCTTTGTGGATGTGCCTGTCAAGTTTTCTATCAATCACCACTTTGAAAGAGGATTTGATTTCAGGGCTGTGTATCACATAATACCTATTGCTGCCCAAAACTATTATCACATTATAAACGGTTAACAGGAACAATCCCAAGGAAATGAGTAGACATATATAGCTTAATGGCAACGTTGTTAACTTAAACAGCATCAACACTTAAAAATAAAATAAAATAAAAGATATGAAGTCATAATCAGTGATAAAAACACCGATTCAGTATGTACAGGTTTTTGAAACAATTTATAATAAACAGATCTCTAATAAAATATATACATTTTGTTGGGCGAGGGATAAACTCTACCAATATTTGTAACCATAGCCAAAATGACTTGAAATATCACAATCTCCTCTATCTATCTATCTATCTATCTATCTATCTATCTACCTATCTATCCATATATCTAAGTGCTCACAAATAACATATCTGAAGTGTCGATGTCTAGGTGAATAAATGGTTTTATATTCCTATCACAAAACCCATCCAACCTATTCAACTCAATACAAAACAAATCCAACTCATTTTAACTTTCAATTAAACAAAGAAATGGTTTATTGAGCACATAATTATTTATTTTAGAATATCCACTTTTCCTTCTCTGAATGTGAAAGTTGACATAGTGATGACTGGGCTGTTGGACTAACTGGGGGTCCGAAGACATACTAAGGGAACCAGTTAACGTGCTCTGGTCCATTTACTATTGGTATATGAATAGAGCCTCATACTGTCCTTTCAAGGATTGCCTGGGTTAATCCTCACCCCCAGATCCTGTATCCAGACACACATATACACACACACACACACACAGCTTCATCATGACTTCCCTGCCAACTCTTCCCTGCCCTCTATGTGCTCCCAAATTTAAGTCCAGCAACAGTAGCATGATCACAACACAACCGGTGCCATTTGCCAAGATCCCACTTCAGAGAGAAGCCAGTGATTATCCCAGGCTTTGCCTCCCGTATCCCAGCACATTGCACCATCGATTTACTTACCATCGGGCCACCTCCGTAATGTGCCAAGCCCCAGCGAATATTGCAGGGGAGCAGCTGATTTGATTCCCCCTGTCTCTTTGGGGGGCAGGGGGGACCTGATGTTACACCGCCCTTTGAAATCACATCAGCTTCTCGCAGTCAGGAACTTAGAGTGTAATAATCCTTCTGGTTTGCAGGCATTCTGCAGAGTGCTGGAAGGTCTCACAATTACACGACTGTTTCTATTAAGCAGCTTCATCGTCTTCCATGTGGGTGGTCTGCCTCTCAATAGGCAGGACCTGTCAGGATCACGTGACAGAGAGAGAGAGAGAGAGAGAGAGAGAGAGAGAGAGCGAGCGAGAGACCTCTTTAGAGAGACTGATGGAGAGACTGCTTCAGAGAGAGTGATAGGGAGGAGAGAAAGATTGAGGTAGAAAGAGAGAGCAAAAGACAGAGAGAATTTGAGAATGATTGAGATATAGAGGAATGAAACGTTTCGTTTTGCATGAAAATCTTCAATGAAATATGCTAAATGAAGGTATTATATTCACTAGCCCCATGCTGAGTATCATACATCCTCAGAAAACAATTATTGCAAATTATAAGTGTATATGAAAAATAAAATATTCTCAGCTGCCGATTGCAAGTTCACTTAACTGAACCTATGAATATGCGAAGTACGAAAATATCATTTGTGAAATTACAAAATATTAGAAAAATCCTATATAAAATAACAGAATAACGACCATTTGTTAGATGCAAGTACTGATAATCTTAACAGAATTCATAACTGTGAAGCTAGTCGGCATCCTTGACGTGTTCAGCTTTAAAGATTAGAAGTATTTTCATTATTTAATGAACAATCACACTCATGGAGGTAGTTGGGATGGGGCAGAATGAACATACAGTAACAAGTCCCTCCTGGGAAAGAGCTGTTTAGTTGTCAGTGTTTGGAGGAAATGCCAGTCAGTCATGCTCTATTATCTTGCATCAATTAATCACTGTTCCCTGCCAGCAGTGCATTGGGAATTTGGTAAAATGCCTGAAAATAAAGACATGAAAGTGTTGGAACATTATTTTCATGTGATGATTTATGAGGCTACTGTGTGTGGGAGAAGAACTGGAGGAGATACCGAGGTGAGAGGGCTGATGTAGTAAAATGTGAATTAACCTGTGAATGAAAAACTCTGGGTTATTTGTACCTTTAACTGCCAGAAAAGAAAATAGACTTAAACTTCCAGAGCCACATGTGATCCACACCTGTCCCTACTTTGAATTTCTGTTCATGCGATTACAGTCTGGATGCCAAACATATTGATTCAAAATCTATATTAATCATTTTAATACTATTTTTATTAAAATCAATCAGTCAATCAAGCAATCAATCATAGCAACTTACCTTTCAAACACTAATTTAATAGCTTACACAAAAACATAAAGCAGAACAGCAAATATGTTTATAGATCTCCATTTCTACATATAAAAAAATCATGTAAAATGACATCACTTTAAAGGAACAACCGCTGTAGTGGTTATGGTCCAAGGAGTGCCCTGGCACATTCCACTGTAAGATGGAATGGTTTGACAGCTTACTTGGATCATGCTGGCATTCTTCCCACATACTTTGCATCCTGTCTCTATAGAACAATGCACAGTCTTGCATCAGCCAATGAGCACAGTCATGAATGGCTCTTCATTGCTCTATAAGGCAATGTGGATTATCCAGAAGGAGCAGTCAGGTTGCTCAGGTGTCTAGCAAGACCCATGTAGGTTGTCAAACTGTACTAAAATGGTATGAAAACAACATAAAATGGTGCCAGGGCACATATGGCACCATAAACAATGCAGGTTGGAGTGGTTATGGTGCTTGGAGTGTTATTTTTAAATTTATTTTATCTTGTTTGGGTGAGGAGTAGAGATGTCACGAACCGTCCGCGAACTTCCCGCGAACGGTTTGCCGCGAACCGTTCGCGGCGAACTCCGGTCAGCTGACACATCCCTGCCAATCTCCGGCAGACCCTCCCTCCCAGACGCTCCCACCTCCTGGACAGCATCCATGTTGAAGCTGCCTTCAACATGGATGCTGTCCAGGAAGTAGGAGGGTCTGGGAGGGAGGGTTTGCTGGAGATTGGCTGGGATGTGTCAGCTGACCAGAGTTCGCGGCGAACGGTTCGTGGCGAACCGTTCGCAGGAAGTTCGCGGACGGTTCGCGACATCTCTAGTGAGGAGTGGGGATTGGGGGGAGGGAGGGGGAGGGTTAATTAATGTTGAGACTGCACTTTGTCCTTTAAGGTAGCAGCAAGAAGACCTCTCCACACCAGGATGAGATGCTCTAATATGGACATTTCTACGAGATAAGTAGTTATTTCCCAAAGAGCAGTTCCAATCACATCATATGATGACTGGGACAGCTAAGTACTGCAGGTTTTATCATTTTATACACAGCCCAGTTCACTGTTTAATAAACTGGACTGTGTTCTATTTCTGGGAAAGCCATGGACTGCGCATGCATAATCCTTAGGCTGGATCTGTATACTGAGTGAAGACGGAAGGCCTTCCCTATTGTAATTGCGTCAAATTTGTTTAATCTTTAGATCAGGACCAGCACTGTAAAGGAGGAATAGCTAGTTTAATCTTTAGATATTGAACTGCCCTGCAATGTAAACTGTAGTTGTTATTGGCAGTGTAGTAGCCAGAGAGTCAGAGGCAAGGAAATGTTTACATTTATTTAATAAAAAAAATTATTATTTTTTCTATTCTTTATTTTTGCTGTGCAAAGAATAACAAATAAGCTTACAATGCCACAACAACATCGACAAGCTCAGAAATAACAAACGGTATAACAATTCAATGTGGCATGCAGATTGACAGCACAATTTTATGAATAATAGATGATATGTAGCAAAGTTGAAGCTAAGTAACAACGTCTGTCTCATTAATTTACTTTGTCGATTAATAACAGTGGCTTAAGGTTAATATTTACGTAGAGTGCCATCGCTTTAATATCTAGACAGTAACCTGTTTATGCTTGACTATGCATAAGTGAGAGGCATACATTTTATACAGTAACTGCTGGTCTAAGTGGTCATGACATGCAGTAGATCAGACAGTAGGTTTGCATTTCAGGTTATGATAGAGTATGCAGTGCTGACTACCGATAAACATGTAATTCTATTAAGGATTCCAGCTTAACTAAGATTCTCATTAAAACAAGGTGCCACCAGACAGAGCATCTTACATTCCGCTATCGCCTCAACACACACAAAGCTCAACCAAAAATCAACTATATACAAGGTTGTGTGCAGAGGATGTGCAAGTCACTCAGTGGCTGCAATTACAGTGCTATCTGATGTGGTTAGTCATGGCATACTGTACTTTATGCTTCTTATTATGAATGGCTGGGATCACCGCCAGCTCCATCCCGGCGCAAAGCATGAGATAGTTGGGTCATAGTCCGTGTCTAAGTGTGGGGAGAGTCCCTTGAGGCTACTCCACGAGATCCGCTGGGTCCCAGAGTCCCGCCATAGCTTCCAGGTTGCCAGGTAAGTTTGAGTGCTGTAGTACCATGCGGTCAGTGGATGGTGTGGATTTTCCCGTTTGCCCTCCCAGCATTTCTCGTTGATGAAGCTTGCTTGGTCAGAGTGCGCCTCAGGGATTGCTGCTTTTCTGTGGGTATATGAGGGAAGTGCTGTCTTTGATGGGTTTTGTCTGTCAGTATGCGTGTTCCAGGGTCGTTGCATGGGGACTCAAGAGCCCTCTCGGACCTCCTGTGATAGCAGTACCGCTGTGTCACCTCATCAACGTGTCTTAGCGGGAACGCCGTCTCCATCTGTGCTGTTGCTGTACAGCTGTCAGCCATTTTGATAAGACCGCGTGGGAGCCTCACTCCTCCGGCTTTGGGCCACCCAGGTAAATTGCTTAAATGGTAGCCCGCCTGGTGGGGACCATTTCATTGGTAGTTTATTGTAGGCAGGGCGGAGAGCGAGGCAGCGGCCGTCCGCCCCACTCCCCTCTTGGGTAGGTCTAAATTTCCGAGCCCCGGAGTCTCTAACCATGACCTAGACCTGCCCTGCAGCGGGTGCCCCAGCTACACCGGGACACTCCAGAGTCTCGTGCCATGGACCCCCAGGTCAGCGTAAGCCGAGTAAGATGGGTATATACCCTATTTTCTATCAATTACTCGGGAGCCCTTGTGATATGCAGCCTGCTGGCATGGCCGCCCGGCCCAGCCCCCTCCCCACCCCAAAAAAAATATTATTTATTAACTCCATGATACATTAAAAAAGGGGGTCAAGTCTACCTGTGTTATGGGCAAATGTAAATATTACAAGTTTTAGAATGAAATGTTGTATTTCTTAAACTGTGTACTTTGTCTTTAAGAGATATTGCAAACTGACAAGGTGTTAGAAATGGAACATAGTGTTAATCATAACTGTTTCTTTAAGCAATAACCTCGGTGCATATTATGTTTACGCCATTTTGTCCCAGACGAATTACAATAACAATAATGCATAAACAAGCTTCAAGGCTATACTACGACTCTTTCAGTACGTAATATACTGTGGTAAACTTAGTAGATAAGGATGTTCAGACTTTAAGATGCCATCTTGAACTAAGTCAGGAAAATTTCCATGACGTATGCACCCTTTAGTTGTGGACTTGTATTTTTGCCAGGTTAAGGGAGGTCCTAAAATGAATAAAGTAAAAGAAGTGTTACTTTTTCATATATGAACTACGGTAACCCTAAAATGGAGACACCTAAGGTATAAATAGGTGTACTTTTAAATGTTAAGACACAGAGGAGAGACTTGGAGGCAGACGCTGCTCCATCTTAAAATGAGAGGCTGACATGATGACATGTTCAGAAGGGTATGTTAACCTATTAATGATATTTGCAAGCATTTAGTTTAATCTTATAAACTCTGCTATATGGATTTTATATGTCTATATTTATATTTTTATATAATAAATATCTAAAAAGACAAAACTTTATTGCTTCCAAGACAATCCTTATTTTATATTGTATTCTCAATTATTTATATATGTTAAATAGAGGATCTCTTACACTAACTATATGAAATTATGGCAAAGATATCTGTATGGTTAGCCCTGCTAAGTTCTATGCTTTAAGATGTTATAGTGGTAAATAAGGGAATCCGCCGCGGTTACACCTGTAGTATCTGTTTAAACATCCACAGGCAGTACAAGGCAATATGACAGTTTCTGATTGCCTT